TAAATAAAATTAAATAAAATTAAATAAAATTAAATAAAATTAAATAAAATTAAATAAAATTAAATAAAATTAAATAAAATTAAATAAAATTAAATAAAATTAAATAAAATTAAATAAAATTAAATAAAATTAAATAAAATTAAATAAAATTAAATAAAATTAAATAATTAGTTTTATGAAGATTTATTTAATATTATTTTTAATATATATTTTAGATAAATTAAATAATTAGTTTTATTAAGACTTATTTAATATTATTTTTTATATATATTTTAGATAATTTATATCAACAGCCTTATAAATAATATAATAGCTTAATAAAGGGCTTCTTAGGGTTCTTATTTAAGTCTAAGTATTTTCTTATAATGATTAACTCTACACCTGTCTTAACGATTAGGAACTTTTCAAAGGATTTTCTATACTCGTACTTCTTCTATAGCAATCCCTTAAAAGAATCCATCCTCTACATTCTGTAGACCACTTCTTCACTATATTCCTTCTTAGTTATATTACTTGACTATGTCTTCACTAGGCTTCCTTGGGTTCTTGTATCTACCATACCCAGATTATCGTACTGGCTTCTGGGGTGTACAAACATCGACGCTCAATTTCTGTGAAGAGGTAGCTTGATATCTCTCTTCTCAATATTCCCCGTCCAAACTCATTGTTTCATACAGGATTATGCGCTGTCATTTTATTGCGCCGAGGTCGTCAATGTAAAGCATCGCTCCTACGCGGATAGGCCGGATTGTTAAACCACGAATTCCTTCGTTAACGTGTGTACAGGCATCGACGAATGCATTGTTCATGTGGTTGGGGTTCAAGGGCATTCGTAATTGCTTGAAAGAGTCCCATGATGGTGTCTTCTTGCTGGCTTACGTTGGCTACATTCTGGTCGGCCTCGGATCTATATCTTTTCATGCCACCCTGAAGTGTACCACTGCCAGACGCACCTCTTGTTCGTGGGCATGACTTTGCTGACTGCATCAGATCCCATGCAGCTCGTGGATGAGTTGTCTATGATATACACCACGTGCCTCATGATGCACGCAAGTTTCGCCTACTTACAGTCGACTTGCTTCTCAACCATGCTAGGACTTGCACTCCTGTGCTTGTCGGGCACCATTACAGCAAGCTATCCAGTCAGAAAATCATCGTATTGTGGCTCACAGCACCTAGCTCCACTATCACAAAACCAAAGATCCGGTGTTTCACCAGGTCGCGTATGCTGCGCTGACCGCGACTGTGGTCTCCCGAAGCATATGGGTAATGGAAAATCAACTGCGACCTGCTCTTGCGACTCGCAACAGTGATCGCGCACGACATATACTGCAGACCATGTGGACAATGGTGGCCACAGGTGACAATGTCCCCGCACGTGGCCCAGCAAGTGAACATGAACAGACTGACAATCGCAGGTCTACTAGTGTTTGTAGGCGGTTTCCTGATCTGGAATCTGGACAATGTGTTCTGTGGTGAGATCCGCCGCCTTGTACGGGCAGTTGGACTACCCTGGGCTATCTTACTCGAGGGCCACGGCTGGTGGCATCTGATGACTGGAGTAGGAGGTGAGTGTCCTTGTCAGGCCCCCATGAGGAACGGTCGCACTTAATCGGCGCTGGCACTGACGCGTGCAGCATACTATTACATCACCTGGGGCATATGGTTGCGGCATTGTCTAGCTGGTCGTGAGCTCCAATATGTGTTGCACTGGCCTCATATTCTGACTTCAATGCCCGAAGTTCGGCATAGAGAGTCGACGAACAATGTGCCCATTTTTATCACAAGAAGAGTAAGCAGTAAAGTAAAGGCAAAATGATTGAGGGACGTCGTGTTTGTATATAATATGGCGTGGTACCGTAGCTATCTTGTGGTAGTGATTTTTGGCAACATTTCATGTGAAATGTGAGCTCACACGTGTGTAACAAGCGATCGGCGCGAGTTTCTAGTTGCTGCGGGTGCAGATGGGGATTGAACACAAGCAGAATTGCTTAAAGACGTATCAGGCAGTAACACGGACCGGAGAGGAAGTGTGCCAAGCCACGTTTCTTTTCTGTCACACGTACACTGTACACCGCTTACCGCAGCGTCGTTGGTGGCTTGCCGTTACCGTGTCTCCTGAACTCCGTTTCGTCCCCGTTTTCACTTCTGGTGCCGCAACCGCGAGTCCACATTTCGGCCCCGTTTGATGAATGAAAGTTTCCTCCCCGGTCACCGACCATTTACTGCCATGGGGACATATCGAACCGACAGCGAAGTCGCACAACTCTGCCGACTCCCTGTTGCTGACCTCGGACATCATGTCAATTCCAAATGAAGCTCTTCAAAAGGTGCGTGATTCGTCTCAGGTGGCCACAGCTATAGTCGCTGTCAGCCCAGCTCAGAGGCCACAGTGCGGCGGCACATGACAGTCTCCCACTGAGCCATCTTCATTATCACTGGATAGCTGACAACCCTACAGCTCGTCCATGAGATCGAGAGCCAGGCCCTGGTTGCTCAGCAGCAGATTGGGTTGACCAAATCTCAAGTGGCCTCGAAGCAACGTGAACAACGTCTCATCAAACTTACGCTGGGTGAAGTATCGAGCTTGCCAGACGACACAGTCATTTATGAGGGCGTTGGAAAAATGTACGTTACGTGCGCAAATCATCACAGTTACTCAAGACATCTGAGCAACAGAACAACTCTGCCCGATGCTGACGAACAAAGGTTTGCCTCATTACCTGTCGATTCACTGAGGGAAAAGCTAGATGTCCAAGGGAAAGACATCGAAGGCGAGGTCGAGAAACTCAACAAGCGACTGCTGTATCTCGAAACGACCCAGAAGAACAGCCGCGAACACATTGAGCAAATGCTTCGGGGTCGCTGAACACTCAGTGCTTTTGGTCAAAACTGCACACAGGCGCATCGCTGATGCATTCTAGACTAGTCTGTCTAGGTGGCGCTTGGTTTCACAACTAGGTAGCAGAATGCACCAAAAATTGTCAAGTAGCCTGCAGCGAACTCGCAGTGGTCCAGCTCAATGTCCTTGCCGGCAAAGCGACGTTCGCGACCGGGTGCTGTGTGGCGTTGCTGCTGCTGACTGGCAACAACCAAAAAACAACCGCGCTGTCTGCCCCGCCAACCGCCCGGAGGTCTGGCAGCCTGCTTTCTCCTGCGTTCTCCTGCTGAATGTTGCGCACCTGCAGCCTTATCTCAACGCCCAGCGGAGAAGAGCTTGTGCCGTCGCGTATGTGCGGTGCGGCGTGCAGGCTCTATGTTGCGCGTGATCGCACCCTAGGTAACTACGTAACGACCTTGCTAACCTATCCGTAGTTCGAACTGTCTGTCGTCCAGCCCTGCGAGGCCAGCGGCCCCGCCCACTGCCCAAGACTCTCATACATGGTTGGCCCCCAAGCATGTTCCTGGGCTGAACCCCTCTTCTGCTCCTCTCCACTCACGCATCTGCGGGTCGAGACTCGCACAGTCACAGTCACAGGCTCATAGGCTATAGCTGCTATGGGTGGTGCCGCCGCAGGTCAGGCCCCTGTCCTCGGTCCGGTCCTGGCTTAGTGGTGTCCCCCACCTTTCGGTATACAATGATAACCATGCCGCTGACGACGTCGTAAGCACGAGTCTGACCCTCCGCTGCTCCCCCTCTCTCGCATCGTACAAGAAGTGATCGCTTGACTTGTATTCCATTCTGTTCTTGAGCGAGTTCAAACGCCCCAAAGTAGATGCTCCGAGGATAGGGTCTGTCGCCTATCCACCTGAGTCGACCAGACAAAGTATTTGAGATCCGATTCCCGAAGATTGCGAAAGCCACAGTCAAAATGAGCAGTTACTACGACGATGACGAGGACATTGACATCCACGTCCGCCACCGGGGTCACTCACCTCGCCCCGTGCGCTATGTTCAAAGCCCACCCAGGCCGCGATACTATCAGCCTGCCGATCCTGGACCGAGCTGGCTTGCACCAGTCGATCATAACCGGACCACTGTGATTGCCCGCTCACGCTCACGATCTCGTGATCGGCGTCTCGCGAGCCCACCTCAAGCTCCCGCTCAGCCTCAACCACAGCCTGTCATAATCAACAATCAGTTTTACAATGAGTACTCGTCTGATGACAGCGAGTACGACAAGCGCAATCGCCGTCGACAGGTCACTCGCGGGGCAAGGTCGCCTTCGAGCTCCGAGTCTCGCTCGCGGTCTAGGTCCAGGGAACGATACCGAAGGGAGGCGCGTGAGCAGTTTGAAGCCGAGAGCGCCCGCAAGGAACTCGAGGCGCTGCGTCTCTCGCAGAGTCGAGAGAAGGCCGAGAAGAGCCTGGCTGACAAGTATCGCGATGATGCTGAGCTCCAACGCGCTAAAAGAGAGCTCGAAGAAATTAAGCGCAAAGAGGCTCAGCTTGCCGAGCAGAAGCGAATCGAGGAGGAGCTGGAGCATAGGCGCCTCAAGGAGGAGAGAGACGCCGCTGAAGAGAGAAAGCGCCTAAAGAAAGAGGCTGAAGCTGCCATTGAGAGATATAAGCAGGAAGAGCGCGAGAGGCGGGAGAGGGAACAGGCAGAGAAGGAAGCTGCCGAGAAGGAATACCAACGCCGGTTGCAGGAGGATCTCATCAAGTCTGGCGTTGACGAAAAGGCTATAGCAGCCATTATGAAGAAGGAGAAGGTTCCGGAAACCGAGGCTGAAGCACCACCTCAACAACCTGGCGGTCGTGCGACGTACACTCGCATGTTGCGCAAGCATCTGTCCATCGAAACGTTGAGGACCTACCACGTTGAATGGGAATATGACGATGTGCGTATCCCATAACCTCCCCCCCCCAGGATACTGGTTTAGCTACATCGTTACTGACAACACGTCAGAATCCTGACAGCATCCTGATCAAGCGTTGGGTTCCCGAATGGGAGCAGGACCAACTGTGGAAGCATACCCGTGACCTGCGCAAGACGCGCGGCAAAGCCCTACTCATTGAGGAAAAGCGGCATCAAGAGGAGGACCCCCGTTTCGAATGGGTGCGTAAGAAAAGCCACTCACGCAAGCGGAGCAAGTCCCCCAGTTTTCTGATGTATTTAGCTGGTGCGCGTCCGGCCTAGAGTCAGATGTGAGGCTGCCAGAACCGGTCGAGTAGAGAAGCTGGGCTTGCGCGAGACATTGTGTCTCCTTGACCCAGGGGTGGCGATCATGGAGTTCAATAAGCAATGGATGACTTCTCCGTAATACACTTGTTCCTATTCGAGACATTACTTATTCTTCAGTTAGCAGTGGGGCGCGAGTAGCTCTTTTCTGTGCCAGGGTTTTACAAGATGCCTGATCTTCGTATCAGTTCTTCATACACAGTCCACGCCAGCGCGGAGCTCATAGCCTTCCGACTCATACGGAGGGCCAGCCCATCGAAAAATGAACGGAAGCCATCCTCGGCAAACATTTTTTGTGCAGCATGAATGAGGTTCTTGTACTTTTGCGGCTGAAGCTGGATCCGCGTCTTGACTGCATCAAAGGGGTTGGAAAGGGCGGAGCAAATCCCAGCTGCTAATGTTGCGGAAGCGAAGTTGACAGAGCCTGATACGGAGGCGCGCATAGCGGTCGGCTCAGAACTATCCCGGGTCGGACTATGGAGCAGACGCCCGAGCCTAGGTTTGAGCAGCTCATAGACCAGAACATAGGTGCCAGCATAGGGTGCGTCGCGCAAGGCCGTTGCTCCGAATCCCGAAAAGAAACCTCGGAAGCCATCTGCTTGTCGGATGCCATTCGCTGCTGCCCATACTGTGGTGTAATTGTAGTAGGTAGATTCGAATCGGACCTTGATGACTGTGAGCGGCATGAGAATGAAACCCGCAAAAGTACGAGCTGCTGCGCCCGACACGAGATTGGCTGAGTTGCTTAAGGTAGGCAACGCCGATGAACCGGAAGTTGGCGAGTTACGGCGCCCGAAAATGGTGGACTTGGCAGCTTCTTGCCGCATGGCATTGAGCGTGGTAAAATACACCGCTGAGCCGAGCCCAGTCCGGAGGGCTGATGGAACGGTGCCTCTCCAAAGCCCTGAGAGAACACCAGATGTTCCTCGCAAGTCACGGATGGCCTGCGCAAGATTGGACCTTCCAGACTGCTGCATTCGTGTCTTCAACAGATCAAGCGGCTGCAAGATCACGGCCGACGCGATGCCCGACCCAAGACCAGAAACGAAATGTCGACCTGGCAATATCAGCCCTGCGAGGTGTCAAGTTGTCACAGAAGCAACTCACTTGATTTGGATGGACGAGCTGACCCCGACGATGTATCATTCGCAGCCGCCTGACGGGCTTCATTCTGATGCGCAACATGTTGCATTTTGAGCAACTGACGTCATCCGAACAAATCCACAATATACTATCGGCGTTGAGTTGGAGACCGTGAAATATACAAGAGACGCAGGGTGAAGCAGTACCAGAATGGTGATGTCGATGATGGAATGTTGGATGAATCCGAGCCGTCGGCAGAGCTTCGGCCCAGTGCAGCCCACACACCTCATGCGAGCAAGTCGGGTTGTTACTGGCGCGTGGCGCATGGCTGGCCACTACTATTCCTGCACGCAAATGAGGTGCGAATGCTTATTTGACTTCATTCAAGCTATGTGACATGCGCAGACCGACGTGCGCAGTTCAACTCTGCATCGTGCCCCGCGACTATGTCAAAGTCAAGTGTGTGCTCGTATGGGTGCGCGGCTCGACTTGTAACTAGGTTAGTGTCCGCTAGATGGTGGTCGAGACAGGATAGCTTCTGCTATGACAGTTCCTCCTAGTTCCCAAAGTTCTTGGTTTGCAAGTCGCTAGCCTGAACATGTGAACGGTGCTGGCGAAGCCCCTTGCTATGTCGCATTCGTTTCTATGACCAGGCAGACAGGACCAGGCGTGTGTTTGTTGCTGGGGCTTTCCAAACACTGAGGTCACCGTGGTGCACCTTGTTCTTCAGGCGCAAGGGAAGAAAAATCCCCGCTTCTTTCTGGGGATGGAGGCGATCATATCAAGCTTCAGCCTGGTCGCGGTGGTTCTGGTCGTTGACGTGAAAGTGTCCACCCATGAATGTTACATGTTTGTGTGGCTTAGGTAGTCGCCGTGGCTTGCCCGCGATTGTAGTCACCAATAACCGACTCTAGACGACCTGCGAGTAGTCGGTGGCGCTTCACCAAATCTACCCACTCGCCAACGCCTGTCGTGGCTAGAAGCATTCCAAAGTCAGCGCCAAGTCTGCCCAAGCTACCCGAGCAGTACAACACTTGCGTCAAGATGCTCTCACGGGCCGCTTGATCTTGCACAGTGGGCAAGTACGTCTGCAAAGTCTCGAGGAGCATGTCGACCAAGTGAAGAGGGAGTGTTGCGAGTGTCGACGGCAAAGGCTGCAACGGGTCTTGGTCATCAACAGCGACAGCAGTGGAGCTGAAGCTCGCGCTGACATTCTTGAAAACGGATGCAATGCTGAAGCTGTGTTCCCGAAAGATCTCGATATAGCGTTTGAGGTATCTTTCAGTCTGCTGCCCCCCGAAAGATGATTGCGCAGATTTACCCTGGCGTGTCCTCTCCTCGTCGGCCAACTCGCGCAGGGGGCCTAACGCATCCAGCAACGAGACAAGCGTGGCCACCCGACAAACCAGGAACAGAGGCGGTAGAGATTCTTGAGGCAATACGTCCGAGACGAGGTCAGGTATCAGCCGTTTCAACCAACCAATTGTCCGCAATGCAGCCGCAAGCTTCAGATTCGGAGCTTTGAGGGAACCGACTAAATCTGATGCCATTCGACGGATTGCAGTGTCCGCTTCCCTCAGAATTGATGTGATCAAAGGCGATTCGGGATATAGTGAGGCGAGCCGGCGGATAAGGGCGTAGAGGTCAAGAGTCGATGCGTAGTTGACCGGATTCGCGGACATGGCGGATGTGAGGAGGGGAGGTAGCTCCATGACGTCGACCAGCCTTTCCGAATTGTGCAAGAGCCGCAATGCCTCTTTCCTCTTGACCAAAGTGGTGTTTCCCATTGCCTTTCCGAGCGAATCCGAGAAGTGCTCAGCCTGTGAGTCAAGCCGCGGAACCGCTTGGCTCAGCTCGGCCGATATGTGAGCAACAGTCGGAAGACTCTTCTTCAAAGAGGCATGAGTTGTAGCGGAGTTGACGATAGGCCTGTAAGATCGCTTAGATAAGCTCTGTGTGGACAGCAGCAGTGTGTGCGATGCTTGTGCTAGCTGTTGTGGCTCCAATGATCGCAGGGCCTCGACGGATTGCTCAGCCAGGTGAGCGAGGTACTCCAGTGCATCTTTGTCGGACGCCACTTGCTGGAGATCCAGTAGCTCTGCTAGCATTTCCGCCATGGTGTCGAAAGAAAGTTTCGGGGCCCCTCAAGCCTTCACTGCAGTCGACCCAGCAGTAATCAGCCCTTCAGAGCCGCGTCCACAGACAAACACAGCCTACGGCTTGCAATTTCAATATCGTGCTCTGTTACGAGAGAGTTGAACGCATAACTCATGCTGATGCAGTTGCCGCTGAGCCTCCAGTGTTGAGCAGTACACGCGGGCGCGGGATGCGCCTGAGGTTGTCCGGTGATGCCAAGAACTGAAGATGAGGACCGGCCTTGACCTGAGCCAGCCAGCCACATGCGGCTGCCTCATGATCCAGTCAGATTGGTCACGGGAGCCCCGCTTTGGCTTATATAAGGCAAATGACAACTTAACGTAGCAGACCAACCTCCAAAGGCCCTCCAAAGGCTCTAATTAATTGCCCCAACAATTCCAGCCCGCGCCCCGCCAGCTACGTATGGACCCGAGCACATGCCCAGCGCTGCCAACAACAACCTAGGAGCCGGGGCAGTCTACAGGCGGCATGTGCCTCGTCATCGCACACGACACGGCGGGACCTCGTGAAGCTGCGTTCGACTCGACTCGGCCACCCTGTCGTGACTTTCTTTGAATAGACCTCTCATTGGAACCCCCGCTGTTGTCGTTTCGAACACATCCATCTACGTATCTACCTGAACGTCCTCAACAAACGAACCACCTATCTTGGCATCCGTCTTCACTGACTGAACGCGCCCACTGCAGCTCGCAATCACGAAGGATGAAAGACCCTTTTGTACTACCACCGGTACCCTGGTTGTCAAACTTGGTTCAACCTTGGTGTGATTCGCTAAACCTAACGACCCTGCCTCTCCACGTACACGAAATCATCGCCTCAGCCTTACTCTACACGGTCGTATTCTGGCCGATATCACCCATCGTATCAAAAATCCTGGCCCCTGAACACTATGGCAAACTATCCCGCAAGAAGAGACTGAATTGGGATGCCCATGTCGTCTCCATGGTACAGAGCTGTCTCATCAACGCTCTCGCCATCTGGGTGATCTGGGCGGACGATGAGCGAAGAGCAATGTCATGGGAAGAGCGCGTCTGGGGTTATACGGGGGCTTCTGCAATGGTGCAAGCCATGGCCGCCGGATACTTCGTGTGGGATCTTTTCGTAACGAGCTTCAATTTGGATGTCTTCGGCTTGGGGACGTTGGCGCATGCCGTCTCCGCCCTTTTGGTCTACTCCTTAGGCTTTGTAAGGCAATCCTTAACCCAGATCGTCGGTCATCGCGATGCTAATTTGTATACGTCCTCTAGCGGCCTCTTGTCAACTATTACTCCTGCGTCTTCATACTGTGGGAGCTTTCGACCCCGTTTCTGAACGTCCATTGGTTCATGGACAAAGTTGGGATGACGGGCAGTCGTGCGCAGTTATACAATGGTGTTTTTCTCCTAGCGACCTTTGGAATCTGTCGCCTGGTCTTCGGCACATGGCAGTCCTATTTGGTGATGAAGGACCTTTGGCTCGCTGTCAACGCATCTCCCATCTTCGAGAAAGAGGGGCTCGCAACGATGATGTATGCTGATGTGCACACGACAGCGCCATGGTGGGCGGCGGGTGTATACCTGCTGAGTAACTTGACTCTCAACGGCCTCAATTTCTACTGGTATTTTGCGATGATTCGCGCCGTCCGCAAACGTTTCGAGCCCACCAGAGAGCATAGCCTAGTGACTGAAGCTGATCTGGACCTGGCGACTGTCGGGACCGGTGTTGCCAAAAAGCAACAGGCTAGACGCCGGAAAGCTTAAGCGTTCCATCGGAAGGCTGCAAAGCTCTTGGCAGACGTAATGCGTCTGCGGAATGGATACCCACTTGACACTCTTCGATCAAGCAAGAGCGCAGCCATATGGTGTCAAGGCATCTGGCAAGCGGTTGCTGAGGCCTGCATAGGCTCCCCATAAGACATGCCACCGCAGGGCCCACAAACGTGAGGCAACTGGATGTTGCACTCGTGGTTGAATCCGGATAGATTCTAATTAGCGTGGCGCTGCATGGTTCGCGAAGTACGGCACTGCGGATAGGACGACAGGATATCTTGTTCAAAGCACATGGAAGGGTTAACCTAGACACGATAGGCGTACGGTTGGTGCGGAATCCTGAAGACAACAATAGTACAAATGAAACGCTTTCTCTCGAGCTGAATATGTAGGGCTTCTGGTAGTAGTCGTATGTTCAGGAGACTACTACACAGGACTGACCATGCCACCTTTGCCAGGTCAAACACATTGGTTGCCAATTGACAGGGTTCCCCCCAGATGGGCACTCAAAATCCAAAGGGGTTCGACGGGGCTGTGAGCCATGTTAGTACTAGAGGCGGCGAAGATAAGAATCAAGACCCGAAATTGCTTACTAGCTTGGGATAGATTTGCTTTCCGCCCTGTGGGCTGGGGAACTAGCTTCTTCTCGGATACACCAAAACGAATTGGCGGTGCTGGACCAGTCTGCTGTGGCTGCAACGGCTGTGGTGTAGGCACCATGGTTTGCTGCCCGAAGCCAGACATACCCGTTTGCTGTGGTTGTAAGGCTGGCATCGCGGTTCTTTGAGGCTCATGGGGTTGGGGCAGAAAGCTGTTGACACCTGCTTGCGGCTGCTGCTGGAAGCCGATGGGCTGCGGCTGGAAAGGCGGCTGGAAACCAGTAGGCTGTGCTTGAATCGGCGAGAATGACCCAGCACGGCCTGGGTCTGCAAAGGGGCTCTGCTGCGGCATCCCCTGCATCATAGGCTGCATAAATTGTGCTGCAGTGCCGTTTTGGTATCCTGGCATCGGCTGAGCTTGGCCTCCCGGGAAGCCTGTATAGTTGGGTTGCATTTGCGCAGTGTACTGCTGCTGGAGCCTTGCCTGTGTCATATCGTGGAGGCTTTGGCCAGGAGGAGCCACTTGTCCCTGGACTAGACCGGTCATCTGAGGCGCCAACATCCCGGGTGTATTGTATGCGCTAGGCTGTGCAGACTGAGGGGCAGATAGCGGCCGTTGAGGAGGCTGTGGCACAAGCGAGCCACCCAGTGGGGAGGTCTGAGGAGGCGCTGGACGCTGTCGCAGAGCAGATTGTGGTGCTCCTTGTTCATTCTGGCCAGTCGGTGGAAGGCCAGAGAAAAAGCCCGGAGAAGCTCCTTGCGGTGGCGGCGGTTGCTGCTGCTGTGGTGCCAAAACAGGAGGTGGGCTAGCGCTCGACAGCCCGGTCGGCTGTGCGCGAATTTGAGACTGAGCCGTCGTGAGCGTAGGCTGGAGAGGCTCAGACAGAAGGGACAAGTCCTTCATAGAACCCGACAAAGGAGCCGGGGGAGGCGAGGCAGCACTCGCAGGGGGCGGAGGTGATCGAGCTTTCGCAGCAGCTTCGCCCACAGTTTGTCTGATGGGCTTAACATCCCATGCATCATCCTCAAAACCACCGCCCGGCGAGGAAGCTTTCTTTTCGGGAGCGGAGGCAGGGGTAGGGGTAGGGGTAGGACTGAGGCTGGCTGGTCGTGGCGATAGAGCCTCTCCATCTGTTGAAGTTGGCCTGTCCTTCGCAGAAAAAGCGGAGGCATCCACGACGTCGCTTGTTTGCACTGTTGGTGCTGGGCGCCCCTTTCTTGTGTTGTTCCGCAGAGCACCCCCGGGACCGGAGAACAAGCCCCCTTCACCGTCCTTGTGTCTCTGTCGACCATATTTGGCATCCAGTGTGCGCATGACTTTGATGATGTCGCCTTCACGTAAGCCAAGGTTCCTCAGAATGCCTGCATCGACATCTGGCAGAACGCTTTCGTCCATGGAGTCCTTGTTGAAAGCTTGCGCATATCGTTCGCACAACCCTACGGCGACATTGCAATCAAGGAAGAACTGGAACCAGTCATACTCAGGTTTCGAATCTCTGCCAGCTTTAGATTCGTTTTCGCGCGAGGCCGCGGCCGATGGTCGCGCCTTTTTAGCTTCCGCAGATACTTTCTCGTTCTTGAGCGAAATGCCTGTCATACTTTCGACGTATTCGATGTCCTCGGTCGACATCTTGCTCAGAGGCACGGCAATCTTGACACCGTTCAACTTGTGTAAGTGTATTTTACCATCCCTGAGACCGAGGAATTGGGCATCAACACTGAAGGACTTTGAGCGGTCGGTCCAGGTGTGTATCTTGGCAGGATCTGGTTCTGTTTGCGTCGGTAGGCAGAGTGTCAGCCATCGACCGACGTGAAGAAGACACAGCGCTGCTATTATCAGCTGGGGCAGACTCACTTGACTTTGGCTTCGAGGCACCATCGCTTCTTCCATTCTGGCGTCGGCTCTGCTGATCCGAATCATTCAGACTGCTGCCTCTTTCGGGAAGCGACATCCCAGGGCCTACCTGTGGTTCCTTGCTCGCCCTTAAAGCTTCCTTGGTCAGTCTGATCTCCTCCATGCGGTTCTGGTCCACTGTTGATCTAGCCGAGTCGACACCCACAACAGGAGGCGGTGTCATAGTGCCCGTGATCTCGATGTAACTGCTGGGGACCACTCCCTCCTTGCCATTCTTCAAGCGACGAACTTGCCACCATTCTTCACTCTTGGAATCGTCCAAGACGATGACTTCGTCTCCCGCAGCGACCGTCACTTCATCCTCACTCTGCGCCATGAAATCGTAGAGGATCTGGCCCTTTCTGACGCTCTTTTTGGTTCCTGCGGCAATCACTTCCTTCAGGCCTTCAGCACGAACTGCTCCGGCCATCTCACCGAGCGCTCGGACAATCTCGTCAGCTGTATCCTTGGCTCCGGCGTGAAAGTCAATGCTCTTGCTGGGCCTGACCAATTCCATGAAGACATGTTTGCCTTCCCGTGAGTAGTGGGTCATCTTGTCCGCCGTCCATTCCTGGGAAGGTCCATCCTGAGTCTTCTCGGGAGCAATCAAGATCATGCCGGTCCTCAGATTGATGCCCAAAGTGGTGGGCATCTTGCGCTTCTTGCCCATGACAGAGACCATCTCGTTGACATTATACATATGAAAACCACCAGGGGCCCTGTACGAGTCGTTCTGGTGCTCTTCTGGCTGCACATGACTATCGTACGTCGACTCCGGGGGAGGCTGCGGCCGGCTTGGCAACGGAGGTGATCTTGCGGGGGGGTCATCGTCGGAAGCATGGTGATAATCCTCGTACTGGGATACGCCCCGCGTCGGTTGTGGAGGAGGCGATTCGGACTGCGAAAGACTGCGGCCATGCATCATGCCAGCGAGCGCGGCAGCAGGACCCGAAGGAGCAACAGGCGAGGCGGCCACAGGGCTCTCGGGTTCGTGGCTAACCGATCGTGGACGAGCAGGCAAAGCAGGGGCAGCAGGCGATGACATGGTCGCCGACGCAGTGTCACCGCTGTCCATGTCAATGTAGTTTGACGGGACAAAACCATATTCCTCTTCAAGCCCAACTAGAATCCAATCCGGGTCGGAGGTGTCGAAGATCTCGAGTATGGCGTCTTCAGGAAAGGACAGCTCCTCGTCCGTCTGGCGCGTGTACTCGTACAAGGCTCGGGCTCGTCCGACGGCTGGGAACTAGAGCAGGTAGCATTGGTCAGTGTCTGTGCGTGAGTATTCGTCAATGTCCATGGAAACGACGCACCTCCTCAACATAATTGTGAGGCACAAGGCCTACAGGCTCGTCCTCATCATTTGCGCCAGCCTTCTTCTTCGCCTTCCACCAGCCATCGTCGGCGTTCTTTTCGAGAACATATAGCAGGTCATTCTCCTCGATCGTAAGCTCCCCTTCGGCTTGGGGAGTGTAATCGTACAAGGCTCGGTAGACACCAAGGAACCCCATTGTCGCTTTCGTCCTGGGAGAGGGGCCTTACGCCAAGCTCTCGTTTCGCGTCAAGCGTCGCAGTATGTATGAATGAGGGTTCCCAAAATGTGTAGTGTCGCCGCACGAAGCGCAATTCTGTTGATGATATGATGATAGGAGCGAGATCGTGCGAGCCAAGCCAGGTTCGTGCCTCCGAACCTGAGGATAATAGGGGAGCTGCCAGATGCTTAGAGGTGCTGCCGTCGGGCAAGGAGGCTGTCAGCTTGTGAATACTCGAGAAATACGCCCAAAAAAGGTGTCTAGTGGGCGGAGCAAGTTTGGTAAATCGACCGCTGGCAAGGTGCAGCTCGCTGTTGGGAATCGACCGTCGTCGCCAGTTTCCCAGGCTGGCGTGTCCGTGACGATCCAGGTTCCGGTAAAGTTGGATCCACTTCCTCCAGCCACAATGCGAGCACCACTAACTTACTACCGTGACCATCCTACATACTCACTTGCCTGACCTACGGCGTACGGGCAGTGTGTTTGCTGCGGCACATCCGCGTACTCATTGTTGCGCATGTTGGCAAGTACATTCATTTGTGCTGCACCTGAATTCCCCTCGCGTGTCGTAGACGTTCTTTCTGCTCGTGCTCCGCCGTCCACCTTGCGCCACAGGGTGAGCTATGCACTCCAGTTACTCGGCTGCATTCCCGACGTCATCAGGTCCAGTGCGTGGTGATCGATCCGCTCAAAGGGGCGGCCGCTTTTAATCCACTGAGATACCTAACCATTCTTGCAAATCGTACACTTGCATATCTAGCTGGGAACATTTGGTAATGATTGTTTGTGCAAATTCCGATAGTCAAATAGGCCGAGTGACTCCGACGATGACTACAAAAAGATCTTCTAAGGACTATGATTGATTGAAAGACTAGGCTAGCCGTTTCTGCAGGTAGAGAGGTTGTATGAGCCAACAGCAGTTGCCTAAAACCTGCATGAGGCATTCACTTCCGTTTCACTCAGAGACCGGAGCCGTCCACTGCACTAAGAGGCGTTTCCGTCGCTGGGTGGTGCATGGGAACCTGGAGCTTAGTCGTCCTTCCGCAGGCTGCCTGTGCGGTTCCCGCGCGCGAACACACCAGGAAATGCGCGCGCCTCGTTTCCAGAAAGATGAGCGCCGTAATCGCTGTGATTTGCCTGTGCACTCCGGAGATCTTCCACCGTGCCCGATGGCGCCCCGTTTGTCGGGACATCTGCGGGAGTCTGGATTCCTTTGGCTGGCGTACCGCCATTGATGTTGAACTCGGGGCCACTTGTGCTTGATGGAACTGTCGTCTCTTGACCGTGATTTACATATTGTCGAAGCCTGTCAAATGCCATGTTAGTCGCCAGCCATGCACAGCCATGTTTTCAAACTTACACATCCCTCTCCTGGAGGAGCGTATGATACCTAAACTCGTCTCTTCGGTCCGGCACGTTAGTCTTCACCATAACATTGCCGAGTCGTCCTGGTCGATCACATCCATCGCCCAACCACTTCTTCTTGATCGACAATTCATAGCCGCTCTGCAAAACAGAGTTCTTTGCGAGTTCACACATATCCACGGAGCTGAGCTTGTAGATTTGGGCCGCGACAGAGTACTCCTCAATCAGAGGTTCTTTGGTGAAGGCAAACTGAAGGGGATCGTCGGTCGACAATGACACGTTCAAGCCGCGCTTGAAGTACTGGTGAAATGGATTGCGGTCGTATGCGAGGAAGAGCGCGTTGTTGCTCAACGGGGACATTGCAATGCCAATCTGCTCCAGGTAAAACACATACTGCAACAATGGCACCTTGCGCAAAAGCAGTCCATGGCTGATGCTGTGGCAGCACAGCGCTGCCACGGCCAAGTGCTCACTGTCACCGGCTTCGCCGCAGTGCGGGCGAATTACCAAGGTGTTGAAGCCCCTCTTTTTCCTCCAGTAGTTGAGAGACGCTGTGTTGGAGTAAAGATAGTAGATCCAGTACGTGTATGGCGGGTTTTGCTTGGTGTTCCATTCTTTGGGGACCGGGAATTTCTTGAACAGCCGTCTTTCGACCTTGCTCTCATCATCGACACTGTCGAAGCCAATGACGCGTTGCAGGAACACATGTAGCTTGGGATGGCTTGATGGATCCTTGGTAACCTCGAAAAGTGGTTGGAAGATGTTTTGTACAATCGACTCGTACGTGTCCATCAAGCCGCTTGCCTTATAGACATCGTAGAGGCGTGGTATCTGAATCAGCCATCTCACATTGTGAGAGAATAGCTTGTTATCAACCACCCACGCAGCGAGTTTATCCCATTCATCGATAGACTTTCCGTATATCGAAACTCTCCATTCGACCATCTGGTACTTGCTCGACTCCAAGTCAGAGATGACTTCTTTCGTGATCTCAGCCAGATAGCGGCCGTGGATGAAGTTGTCTGTCTTCAGAAAGATCGTGCGAAGACGTGACTCCCCGATGGGGTTGTACTTCAAGTTGAACTTGTCGAAGCGATGGAACGAGTCTGTGTGAGCCTACAAATATCGTCAGTATCTGCATGTGCAATAGGTTCCACCTGACTTACATGCATATCCAGTGTGTCAATGCTCAAATCGTATGCGGTCAGGTTGATACTGGCAAAGACCTCTGCCAGCGTCAAGTGCTTGCCATCCCTGTACAGCACCACCTCGTTAGGGAACTTCTTCATCTTGCTCTTGATAAACCGCAGAAGATGCTTCTGATTCATGCATGCCGAATGGTGAACATGGGTATCGACCTTCCGTACGTTATAGAAGTCTCGGTGCGGCACTTTCTTGCTGTCTGCTGTCTCTTGATACTCGTTTAGTAGAACATAGAGATTGAATTTGCCTTCGAGGTATTGTAGTCGTCGAAAAGCAAAGCTTTTCGTGGGACCATCCGACGATGTGTTCAGTAGTTCGTCTAAGTCCATGTAAAACTCGCGTATCGTGGGCACTTTCACCGCGGGTTCCTTGGCATCAGCGCTGTCGAAGACTTGATAAACACCACTCGCATCTTGCTCGAAGATCATCCCATCATCCCCAGGCAAAGGGAGAAGGTCTCCCATATCAAAATCTTCTCCGACGTCTTGGCCTGGTTTGCGCTTGCGGTTTGGTCGCTTCTGATCCTTCGCCTTTCCTTGATGGCCACCAGCATCAAGACCGTCTGGGCCATTTTGACCCTCGTTGCTGCGAGTCCAGGCGGGTTCAGGCGGTGGTGGGTAAACATCCCAACCTGGCTGGTCTCTAGGATTGTCGTTCGGGCCCTGGTTCGACAAACTGATATACTTGCGCCTCAAATCTAGAATGCGCTGGATATTCTTCGAAATTTCACTCAATTCCGACGTAATGTGCGGTTCCGTGTCGAATAGACTATTCCCAGACAGCCCGACATTGGTGACTTGGGGACCATGTCCTTCGAAGGACGCTTGGGTTTCACAGGCAGCTGCGCTTCCCTGGTAGCTGGTGGCAGGAGAACCCTGAACCTTGGCCTTCTGAGGGAAGCTTGTTGGCGGTGTCGATTCAGCATGTTGGGAAGGTGTCTCTGGTCGGCTTTTCCAAGACCCTGGGACGTCTGAGTGACGACCGTCCGAGTCTAGTACCAGAGAGTCGCCTCCATATTCGGTTGCCGTATGGGAGCCAGATGCTATCATGGGACTGCCGAAGGGCGTTGTGTGTGACCAAACAGCGCTTCCAGAGCCACTTTTGGGGTCGGCTTTGCTGCGCTGGTAGAAGAGCTTGGCATCGGTCTGACTCATTTGACGCTCGGCCACTGGGTCGTAGAATGTTGTGCGTTTAGGTAAATCTCTGGGCAGCATTCCCTCCTCCAGATCGCCCTGTTCGTACTCCATAGCAGAATCATTCCATGGGCTGGCCATATCGTCTGCTATCTCTTGTTGAGCTGCTCCAGAATCGACACCGCCTTCGTCTTCCCCGTCCGACTCGCGTGTGCGTACATGATAAGCAATCGATTGCTCGGGATTGTCATGCTCTGGATGTAGGTAGACGGAATTAGGATACAACATGGCCAGTGGAGGTCGCAAGATGGTGGGAGGACTTACCGGCCATGACAAGCAGTTGCGTATCCCGAAGCCCGCTGTCGAGAACTTAACAGTCGAGCGGGCGGTGTCAATTGGAGTGCTTGCTTGGAAGTGAAGAATTGATACTCTGGATAATCTATCTTCCACGATCGTTCGAAACCTGGCAGGATACAATCAAAAAAGTCCCACAAGCCTGCCGAGAAGAGTCACGTCTTGGGGTCGAAGGCTGTTCTTATCGATGGTTCCCTAGTAGCTGCACCGTGAGTCCGTGACCTAAAGTTCCACTGTTACACATGGACCGTCACTAGGCGTTGGCGGGGACCGCCACACTTGAGGTACCTCCCGGCGGAGCATGCCTATATGCACAATTATGCGTATATCGGTGATAGATGTCGTCGACTGCCCGCCAGTACCACGACCATAATTATTAAGGGGGTTCTCCGGTTCGGCCTAGTAATACGTAGTATGGACTGTGAAAGACGTGGTATATACAAGATGGCATACTTTCGGTGGTTGATCTCCTGTCCGGAGACCAGAACTACTTCAAACGCAGCTGTCACAACGTCTAGTCCGAGAGAGACGGAGTCCCTGTCACGATGCACCCACCTCAGCCCACCTGAGCCAGTTCGTCTCGCTAGCCAGACTTTTCTGATCCCCCCTGGGTTTGAACTCGCTTACCCCCCGATTCGCGACCGAAGGAGTAAAGGCCTCCGGCACTGAACACGATGACCGCCCCAATCAGTGTGCCTGTCGCCAGCGAATTACCGAACAGCCAGATACTCAGTAGTAGACTGACGAGTTTTCGAATATTTAAGACAATGGTTACTGTCAAAGCAGAAGACACGGCGGCAAGTAAGTTGACGCCCCGAATACACGCGTATTGTGTGAAAACGTTGGCCCACAGGTACACAACCTGGCTGGGAACAGCGTTGATGAGGTTATTCAGTACAGTCCATGGAGTCAACACTTCCAGCGGCTCTGTCATGGCCATGCTCTTGTAGGTGGTATACATAGACCCTAAGAATGGCAGGAAGAGGGGCAGGGATAGCATGTGAGAGTAGAAGAGGTTCTCTTTCCACTGGGGACCGTACTCACGGTAGGTCACTTCTGTGTATATGCCCATGATCGCCGACAGAACTTGTGCCAGAAAGAGGATGATCAAGCCCGCTCCAAAAGCAGGTCTCGCCTCATCAGCCAAAGCAGTCTAATATATAGTCAGTACGCAACTTTGTGAAGGCAATAGGCAGAGTGAGGCGATATACCTTGGCTTGAGCGTCGGACCATGCCGCGAGGATGACACCAAAGGTGAGCAGAAGTACTGCGATGACTTGAACACGCGGATATCGCTTCCCCCAGAGATAGCCGGCTCCCATTGTCGTAATACTTCCTCCCGATCGGAGGATGATATGCACGGGGACAGAGATATCATAGCTGAAGGCATGGTTGTTCAACACGTTGATACCAAAGAATAGTACAATATTGACAAGCCATCTGCGGATTGGCACTTTATTCGGCGTCATGTAAAAAGGAGGACGTGACCGATCAAACTGCGCAACGTACCCAGTCACGGCCACAAAGAGAAATTGTGTGAAGGTGAGAAGGATGCCTACGTTTATTGTGAGCTAAGAACCTCATCACCTTTGGTTCATGTTTGCTGAAGACATACCGCTGGAAGCGTCGAAGCTGACAACGGGTCAGCATGACGAGAGAGCTAATTGATGATTACTTACTTGACAACCTTCTCAAGGGCATAGACCTTATTGCCAATCATTAGTCAGGGCGCGATGCGACAGTATGCCGGTACATACATTCGAGCAGCAGCCTCCGAAAATCAAGCTGAGCATGACTGTGGTCGCGAGGAGAGTCGGTGCCATTTCGGAAGCGACCCCTAGTATCACACCTCGTGCCAGGTCTTTCGGTATCGCCGAGCCATTCTGATTTGCCTTAGATGACTTCCCATCACTGATGATCCGGCGCCGCACCTCAGTCATTGTGAGCAAGGTTTCCAGGACGGCTTTCTTCTTTGACGATCGAGGCGAAAATAATGGCCCTTGGGAGCGGCCTATCGATGCCGCTGCAGAATGTCTTTGAAGTGAAAACGAATGCACTTCAGGTCGGGATTGGTGCTCGTCCCCTGCGGTTGTGGCTGTAGAAGAAGGGTTGGGAAGAGAATGTTGGAAATTATGTCACGACACGACCACGGTCCAATTTTGGAGGTCCGGCCAAATCCTCTTCAGACCACCCGACACGCCCTGCTGTGGAACACATGTCAAGGGTCCAGTAATACGTAGCTACCTTAAGAAGGCCCTTGCGTTTGATTGCATTCCATAATCTTTTTTTTCTTTTTTTTTTTTCTCTCTCATAGGAGAACCGTTGGAAGCTCACCAGGACTGCTATGATACGCGTTCACACGTGTTTTGTATAATACCTCACTCTGATCTCTGACTCACGGAGTTACGATGCGAGCAAGTTCTACGTCGGCACGGACGATGCGCGCCAAGGACCATTCCGCGCCACCTCGGGCCATGACTTAGAGTTGTTTGTCTTCATGTACTGTATTGTAGTTGACATCTTGACGTTCTCTCAGCGGTCTAGCAAAGAATACATACGTGGCACGCGTGAAGACGCAACCCAGCACCCCTGACTAATTCTACCTGCAATACGAGGCGAGGCCCTTTGGACCGCTGAGCCCATTCGACCCTTGGTCCAAGGTGCATGATAGCATGAGAAAAGCTAACGGTAACACGCTACTGGGTTGTGATCATTACCGCAGTCGCGGCATGCTCGACGTTGATACGGTTTCGCCAGGATATGAGTAGTCGCATTGACGCCAAAGCGCAAGGTTCAGCACGTGCTTCCATGTATGCCCACACCCCTGACCTCACGCCGCTGGTTTCCCGCAGATGTGTGGAACGATTCGCGAACCCTACAACGCAGAGAAGACGAAGAGCTTGGACTACTGTTAGCGCGTGTGCACCAATCATAGCATGAGGGAAGTAACTCACATTGTTTGTCGCCGCAATGGCAATACTGTCCTCGAATGGATGCCAGCTCATGTGAAGAATCTTCTTGTTAAAGTCCATTTGCTCAGCATCTGTTTCCCTCTTCATGCGCTGCGCGCCCCCCGACGGGCTGCCTGCTCTTGATCCGCTCTTCTTGCCGTTGGAAGTAGGGCTCGTTGCTGAATTGATGGGCGTCGGTACTCCAATCTTCTTTGCCTTGAAAGCCGATTTGTCCGCCTGTAGTACGACCTCGGTTTCCGCCTCAGGATCTGAAGGGTAGATCATGAAGTTGTTGTTGTAGCTGCCAGTCATCACGTTCTTCGCGTCGCCGGAGAATACGACCTCGAATTTGTCGAAGATACTGTCGTTTTCGTAAGTATCGCACAACCTAGGTCGCAGATGCTCGTGTATCGGTATCGTCTTCAGCGGCTGACGTTCCATGTTGATATCCCAGATCTTGACAGTCAGGTAGTCGCGCGATAGGATGTAACGGCCGTCATGCGAGAATCGCACATCAGAGATCGAAGATATGATCTCGGAAAAGAAGGATCTGGACTGGGGATCTTCCTCTTGCTCGAACACTAAGCAATGTCAGTAGATGGCACCGAGACGAGACGATGACTATCTTACTCTTAGCATGCTGGTCGCAGAGTGCACTCTCCCGCATGTCTGCCAGCTTGATCGTGCCTTTTGAACTGGCATACATGAACCAATTACAGCTTTGAGGGTGGAACTCGGCCGCTGTGATGACTTCGGTCAGCTCCTCCATGTTGGCTGGTTTTATATCCACAATATTGAAGCTCTGGTCCTGGATATTCAGGTTCCATAGGTTGATCCGTAAGTCATCACTGCTGATGTACGTTTCCCCGTCGCTGTTGACTGAGATGCTGTTGATGTGGTAGGCATGAGCATTGGCATAGGTCCTGCGTGGCACAGCAGCAACTACTGTGTCATGATGCGTCAACCGCGGAAGCTTCAAGTCATCGGCTGTCTGGAAAGAAGAAGATGGCGGAGGACGAGGGGCGCCACCGCCACCGGCGACATTGGCAGGCGTCAAATCATGGGAGAGGTTGTTCTCGGCCACGACCTTGAGTGACTTTTCGAAGACCTTCCAAAGTTTGATTGTCTTGTCGTTGGTCGATAGAAGATAATGCGAGGCATTCTGTCGGCGGCACCATTTGATCTTGTTAATCTTCTCCTCTATCTCAAGGGATTTCAGATAATCGAACTCGGGCTCGTGGGACTGGAACTCGGTATGGAACTTGTATTCGCAAGACTTCTTCTGCCACAGGTGTTAGTGCACGCTGCCGCGGGGGTTCGCTCTCATGACTGCTATCCATCGACCCTCGGGGGACATACCGTTTCGTTCCTTTCGAACAGTACGACTCTTCCTCCTTTGTCGCCAGTGGCGAGATAGTTGCCAGTGTGGTCGAACTCGACGGTGGAGATAATATCGGCTGTGGTACGCACGAGGGGTCAGTAGTTACCCTGGCAGTGAGTTGCTCTTGTTTGAGGTGTCACGTACCTTCCGTGATGTCTTCCACATCTCCCTTGTCGCCGAAACATCTGTTGCACCATGTCGGTTACCATTGCGCGCGTGATGGTCATCGGTACCTACTGTGTGAATTTCCACGTCGGGGAGTTGACGTCGCTGTCAACCATGGTGTTGAGTCGCTCGCGTGCTCTTGGCGAGACAAGATATGGACGGTTCGATGACTATGGTACAGATGGCGCGACGTGACGTGCTGGAGACTGCGAGACTACGGTAGAAATCGAGGGGAGCGAGCGGTGATGGAGCTCGGAGCGTATTGTATGGAGGGGAGTGGGGAGCTCTCAAAGTGGAAAGTTGAGAACGAAAGGCGGCGGCAGCGACGGGAAAGGACGAGATCACGGTCTTGCGACGATAGCGTTCAGGGCGAGATGGTGACTTAGTGAGCCTTTCTACAGATCAGTGCCAATTGCGTTCGATATTCGCTGGATTGCGTAGACGCCAACAAAGACAGTGTTGGCGGCGGCGAAATGCTGGATGATGCACCTTGCGTCGCTGGCTTAGCCTGACTGAGGGGAGGATTTATCGCGTTTGATTGACCGCTGCCCAATCCAAGGCGAAGTACCTTATCTCGCTGTTAGTGTGTCGAGTGACCACTGCACTTACCTTAGTGAGGACTGGCGGCTCCGGGAGCAAGCTGGAACAAAGCCCCGCAGCTTGGATCTTGTTTGCCTATTCCCTACCCTGCATCCTGCCTCCTATGGGTTTGTCAGTTCCCAAGCGAACGGCAGCTGTGCTAAGGTAGGTAGGTACCTTAATGTTATTCACCATGTGTTTACCCCTGGTAGAGTATTACTAGCTTGCCTACTTAACGTATTTTATGGATTGTTCAGTTCGCTGGAATACATGCTGGCTTCTATAAAAGAGTACGTCGTCAAACCGAAAGAACATTTTCGTTGTGCTTGTAAAGGGGGCGACTTAGTGTTAAATACAGGGAAGCGTGCGATATTCACATGCTGCTCACACGGCTTCCGCGGCGATTAAGTCAGTAGGCGCCAAGATGGACAGTCCCGACCTATTTCAGGGAGTCCCCGTCTTCGCTAGGCCTTAGGGCTTTTTGGAATCCTCCGAGTCATTACTGAGATACCGACGACTCTTGATCGGAAAGAGTGGGACCGGCTTAACCGAAGAGTACTGCATTCGGGCCATACTTGTACTGCCGTGAGCCCGACCCGAGACCAGCCCGACATATCCATGTCGTCGGATTCAAGCTTTCACGATCGGCCTCGTGATATGGGAAAAACGCCACAGAAAACAGCAACAATGACCAGGCATGTTACAGATGAGACGCCCCCGGAGTTAAATGCCAATTCCGTCGAGAAGGACGCGGGCCAAACTGCGAATGCCAAAGGCAAGGGCAAGGACACAGGCAGCAGCACCTCCGCCTTGGCTCGTTTACAATCGTCTAGCAACATGCTATCCCGAGCCGTGCTCTCGGGCTCCTCGATAAGCGACGCACCAGAAACTTCGGCTGGAGCAAGTGTGGCCGCAAAAGTTGGAGGCAGCAGGCCGTTCAACAGCCAAGGGGAGTCAGCACACGCTGCGTACAGGAGTGTAAATGGTGGACTTGAAGCACCTGGTCAGTCACCTGGATTTCGGAGAACACAAGATGCCCCGCGCGCAGCGGAAGATTTCGAGAAGTTCATGAGCGGTCATGATAAGGACCCTGGGGTCATAACCTCGCACTTCAAAGGCAAGGGCATCGCTGAAGCGGATCTGGATGAGGCCAGGGATGGCTCTGGTGTCCTCGAGCTTCTGTCTAGTGCTGATGCGCTTGAGGAGGTTTACTCGATGTCGGAAAACGACGACTCAGTTGATCCCCAAGCCGCGGACATGCTGCGCAAGGCGCTTTTCGAGGCACCGAGATCGAGAAACGTCCCATGGGACCATCTGCTTAACTTCGAACCCGACTTTATCAGCACCCCAAAAGGAGACTCCAATGAGGCTTTCAATCAGTTAGGGACATTTCATGTGGACGAGGCGAGGGAGATGTGGGTTGATCAATGGCGAGACGTCCTGTCATCGTATACCGACGAAGTGTGGGGTGCCCTCGAGCCATTGGTGGTTGCAGCCCGACAGGAGGTGGAAGCGGCACCTGGTGCGAGCGATACCGTCCACAAAGACAAGAAAGCTAGCAACGGAGCACTGCAGAGACTGAGAATGATATTGGCTCACGTCAGAGGATCTCCATAGTCCAATTCATTCCCACGGGATGTTCAAGTATTAATACTTGCTCAGAGCGAAGTGAGTGTGCAAGAGGCACTTCTTAAAATCTGCGAGTGTTCCTTGACCTTCGCAAGCGTTGTTCGGCCAACGACAGGTGTGGGTAGTCCGAGGACCAAGGCTGGGTCAGCCGGGGTATTATGACGACTTGGGACCGGGGTCCAGTCGCCTCATGATTAACTGCGAGTAGAGCTTCAATGTCTGAACAATCTCAAGCGTCTCGTGATCATTAGAATGCAATATCGCAGCACTGTTCACAGCCGCTGACAGCTTCTGTAACGGATTTCGAGCGCTGGTGTCAAGTTCTCCATAAGGTATCCGTCAGGTACTTTGCTTGAATCAGCAGCTGCAGCGGCAATATTCGACAACTGGCGGGGAGCTGCATCCCTCCAACATTGGACTTCATAAGGCCCCGGGAGCCATTGGGCTGGCACCAGCTTCCTCCAGCTCTACGCTTGAAATCACGTTCTTGGCAGTTCCTCAGACGCGAACCACCTCAATTGCCCAACCAGCTACTATCAAGAACACCCACCGAAACGTTCCTCGCCAACATTCAGTCGTCCCAGCGCACTGGGCCACGATCCTGTGCAAGTCAACATGCGTGACAAATATGCGACTTCGTTATGGCTCGTTGCTGCTTGTGCCACCACAGCCATAGCCTCGAGTATGCCAGCACCAACCTCGGCCCCTATGCCGCCCGTGCTTCTCGCTAGGGCGGAATGCCCCTCGAACATGTTTCAGTGCCCAACCTCGCTCGGCGCCGTGTTTATCAACGTATGCTGCGAAAATGGGCAGACATGTGCTCTCGACAATGATGACAAGGCAGCTTGCTGTCCATCGGGGTCAGTGTTCCATTGCTCAGCTTATACTAGTGCAGAAGGGAGAGCTAACTTGGCCCCAGCGTCGTGTGCACTGGCGCTGCGCCGACTGATAACAACCCAGCCCCAACCCAAACTCAGGCTACATCCTTCGTGTCGAATTCCTACTTCTCTTTCCCATACGCATTCACAGACTTTGACGATAGAGCGGCCTGCACGTCCGCTCAGGATGCTTGCTCAGACAACTACGAGGTGTGCACATCGAACCTTGGTGGTAATCAACGAGACCTTGCCGTGACGATCGAAGTGCCAGGTGGAGGCGGAGTTACAGTCGGTGGCTCTAGCGAGGCGCTTGCAACTTCGGAAGCTGCTTCAATTTGCTCTAGCCTTTACAACAAGGCCTGCTCTGCCGTAGAGACGGCGGATTGCGACGAGTACGAGAATAGTGCAACTCCGGTTGAGGCACAGTCGGTATTATTTACCAGGACGGCAGCATTGCTGATGGCGTATTCGCTCGGTCTTCTCTTAGGGTGAATCATGACCCTCGACGTCTCAAGGGCTTTTGATCGAGCCATCTACACCGGCGAGCCAGCCATTGGTGCACGACAGGCTCTAAAGTGTTGTCAGACTATGTGCGCCAAACCTCCACGTACAGGGAGAATCGCGCCGACACGACCAGGAATTGCAATGGCTACAAGAGGAAGCAGCGCGCCGTGCACTGCGTTCACGATGACCCACATGTGCTTGATGCTGTGTCACGAGAACCGACCTGTATTGCCTGAGTCTCAAGAAACATGAAGAATTCCAAAGCAGGTTACGACAGTTCCCTGGAATTTATTGACAGGGTCAAGCTACTGCGGTCTCCGATCAAAACCAGCGCTGTCAAGTCAGTGCATTGTCATTATAAGATAAACGAAGAGGACCATAGTCTCAGCATTCTACTACGCGTGTGCCACTTGCCCCAACACCGACGCGAGAGCTTCATTAAGTTTGTCCGGTTCTTGGTCTTCGAAATTGAGTTCTAAAAACCGACGGGCCGCAGATTCAGCACATTGCAGCTGTTCTTCCTCCGACTCAGAGAGCTGCGCGCAGGCGAAGCTCAGATCCTCATCAAGTGCCACAAGGCGTGCAATAGCTTCGGCACGGTTGACCACAGCACTCGGAACTCCGTTCATAAGGGCGCAGCGGCTTCCATAACTCAAGTTGCTGTGCCCGGGCGCTAACTTGAACAGGTAGGTGATCTGGTCGTCAGTCTTGCGCGACTGTCCATCGCTCAAAATTTCCATGTGTGCCACGTCAAGTCCCGGGTGTTTCGACAGCAGCCCAGTCTCGAAGAGCTCATGGAAATGCGTTGCCAGCAAAAGCCGAGGGCTTGGCTTATCCTGATCCATGAAGAAATTCACTGCAGCTGCCATAAGCCCAGCGCCTTCCTCAGAGTTTGTGCCTTTACCAAATTCGTCTATCAGTATAAGACTCTTGCGCGTCGAGCTAGCCATTGCAAATGCCATTTGTCTCAAGTCAATGGCAAAGGCGCTTTCGTTCCGTGAAACACTTTCTCTGGTGGATATGCGCGCGAGGATCTTGTCCGTGATACCGATTGTCGCGCGCTCGGCTGGCACAAAGCTGCCAACGTGCGCCAAGTACACAATAATGGCGGTCTGCTTGAGGTAGACGCTTTTTCCCGAATGATTGGGTCCTGTCAAAGCCAAACCCGCTCGACCTTTACCTTCACATGCCACAGTTTGATCGGCATCCATGTGACAGTCGTTTGGCACGAAGCAAGGCAGAACAAGTTCCTGAAGTGGATGGCGGCCTCCAACGATATGCAGCTCTGCTGCGTCAGTTAGACGAGGACACGTCCACGAGTACTTTTCAGCACCTCTGGCAAGGGACAAGAGGGCGTCGAACGCGCCGCAGACTATTGACGCTTCGATCAGGGAAGACTCATGACGAAGTACTTGCCGGGCGAGGCTGTGAATGATCTCCACCTCTCTGTCCCCAATCTCGCAGTAAATGTCGCCAAACTGCTCGTCAAGCTCTCTCATGTAGTTATTCTTGTAACACACCGCACCATCTGCCGTAAAAACCTTTTCCCACTGGTCATCGCCGGCAGCCTCACCTTCATATCGTCCTCTTCCAGTCTGGATATCAGGCTCCACAGCCGTTAGGAAACCAAGTTGTGGCAGAAATATGCAGGATCGGATATACTGCCTTGCCCATGCTGGAAGACTTTGTGTGATGTGGTTGATAACTTCAGTGAGGAAACTACCCATCCCGTCATAACGACGTTTGAGTTCGTCAAGTTCCGGGTCAATGCCCACTCGAACAGACGGTCGCTGTCGGGATTTGGACTGCTCGAAATCGATCGTCTGGTTGATGAGACTCCCAATGACCGATAGGGACTCGGGGTGAATCTCATCGAGAATCTTCTGGACAATTTGGATTCTTTGACCATATGCCAATCTACCGACTAGATCCCTCAAGCGGAGCGCATACAAAGCAAAGTTCAGGAGTCCGGCCCACACGCTGCGATCTGACGAGTGAGTAGCCGATAGGGACTCGGCACCTCTTCGTAGATGTGCAATGAGCGAACTCGCATTTTTGATCTTCGAAAGCGCAGACCCAATGTCCTTGATATCAGTAGCGAGCTCCGGCTGTAGAAAAAACTCAATTGTTTGTTGCCGCTCGGCTATGAGTTTTTTGTCTACTGACGGACGAATCAACATAGACCTCAGGGCCGAGCGTCCTTGTTGCGTATAAGCGAGGGAGTGAAAGAGCCCGTAAATAGACAAGATTTGCCTCGTTTCTGTGCCATTGCCGTTGGAGTTCCAGGTTTGGCCATGCGGGTGAAGCTCTGGTCGAATGATCTGCAATGATCGCAAAGTGTCAACGCCAACCATCATGTGCCCAGCCAGCGAGAACTGCCTCAAGGTCCGCACATGGAAGACCATCTCTGCTCTCTGACCGTCTGGTAAGAACCCTACAGACCTTCGTTGATGAAGATCAGAAAGAACAGCACCGGCGCAGCTGACAGAGACGTCGTTGTCGAGACTGATGAGACCCCCACAGCGCAATGCTCTAACGTGGTTGGCTTCTCGCGTGCTGCAGCCGTCATGGGCCAGGTTCAACTCGGCGGATGCAAAGGTCCCGTCGTCCATCTTTGTGAACAACGGATGGGATGGCTCAGCGGAATCCAGAACTAAGTGCATTAACTTGTCTCGAGCCGTTTGGTAATCGAAGTCCGCAGAAGCTAACGCCTTCAGCGTGAACCCGTTACCTAAAGCCGTGAGTCTCATGTGCGTATCATAGTTGTCTGAAACAAAGATTGACATACCGCAGTCCATCTGAGATTTGTTTTCCAACAAGTCTACGAGGCTCTCGACAGCTCTGCCAGAGACGATTACTGTGGTCGGCTCAGCCTGCAACAGGAATTGCTCTGCGACTTCCAGGTCTGCCATTATTATGTCCTCAGCGATCATAAGATCGCCTACGCCGGTATCGAAATAAGCACACCCCATAGCGACCTTGTCGCGCAATTCAATAGCCATTATCACTTCGTTCATTTCAGATCCGTCCCAGGTTTCACAGTGCTCGGTCGTTCCTCCAATGCCGCCATCCCAATCTGCTAGAGATGGCGTTGTAGTCCCCTGCGCTTTCATTTCTGAAAACGATTGGAAGAGCGGGCTGATCTGGAAAACTTGGTGCGCTGGGGGATGTGAGCGATAGGGAGAGTGCTTGCTTCTGTTTTGCCTGCCCCTTGAAAAGTTATAGCATCGAAGCGGCTGCAAATGCTGCGATGTCAAAAATGTCACGGTGAAGTGGGCAGTGTCAAGCTCACCGAGTTAGGGCAACTGCGTTTACAAAGGGAAGCAACAAACCATGGAGCGTCGATTTCTGTTCCAGTGGCACCCTTTCATAAGGAAGGCGCGATGGGCACCACGGGTATAAAAAATTGGCGCACACTAATTAATTGCTGACTTGGGTAGATATATTCCCAGAGAACGAATTCTATGCTGTCGCGAGACTTTGGCGAAGAGAGAATGGTGTCATCCATTTCCTGTATGATCTTTCCTGTGATTCGTAGCTCCCGTGTGCTTCAAGCTCGTACCACCAACATCTCATGTGGTCGCAAGTGCGTAAGCATAGAAGAATCGGTAAACCAGAATTAACACCTTTGGCGACTATCTCGCGCGAGCCTCTTCCTCTGCCGTTTGTCTAGGTGCTCCCGCTCTTGGCCCACTCGGCAAACTCTCGTCGTTGCTTGCGAATGTCCACGAAGCCGGGCCTCGACTCCAATGTGCCGAAAGGGTTACCCCTGTAGTCCTTTTCAACAGCTCCCGAGCTGTCCCGAAAGCCTTCTGCGCCCTCGCGTTCGATCTTCCCAGCCCAAACGTTCCACTGAATTGGTCGAAGGTTCGGTGTGTTGAGGACGAGTCCGATGCAGACAGCCATGGTAGCAACTATAGTTTCTATGCTGATGTCGATGGGTAACGAGGTCGAGGTGCCTGCTTGATTCGAGTGCTGCGCTGTCGCCGATGCTAGGGCGGCATGTTCTTGGGCAGAGTAGCCTCTATAGAAGATCATTAGACTCGTCCGGTAAAGAGCGTTTGGCGACTCACGCGTGGGCTAGAAGAACCAAGCCCGTGAAGGTGATGAACCTAGGTATCCATGTCATCTTTGCAGTTGCGAAGAGTCTCTCAATGTCGTGACAGGTCGTCCCACTCAAGAGATCTGATCTAACCTTACAGATTGGGGGGTCGGCAAATGACTAATCACCGGGAAGTGGGGAGAGAGAGGTGGTGACGTTGCGCGGTGCCGGGATTGGTCAGCATTCGTCAACGAAGGACAAACAATTTGGCTGACTTGGGAGATGGTACAGGAGTTAGTATCTTGCTGTAGTATTTTATTTGACACTATATTGAGCGAGTACCCAATAAATGCACGGGGATCCCATATGTCTATTCCGACACTGGACGAGTTGCTTCAAATAAAGCATGTGAACATCAGTCCCAAACTGCCTAACACCGCCAGACCGTCTCTGCTAGATAAGTGCAAATCTACCAACTCCCTCTATGGACCTGAACAAATACCGAAACCTGAAATCCGTGGGATAAAAAATTTAATGGCGAAGCAACAAAGAAGGACAGAAAGAACCATGAGACACCCTTTCACTTAACATTCCACCAGCCGGAAACGCTACACCTGCGCTGATCGCTCAATGCATGGCGAAGCGCCAAGGAATAGTCAAGTGACTTGCTCCAGAGGATCATCCTCCAGTCCCCGTGACCAGATATTGGCGTCCCAAGTGTAATTGTGGTAGTCAGACTCGTGTTCTACCGGTTCAACATGCCATTCATTTGCGTCGGAACCTGGGAGTTGCTGGAACAACATGGCTCCGCTGGGAATAGACGAAAGCACTGAGCCACCGCCTTGCCAAAAATCGGCAGAGTTGCGACGGGCTGTATCGACCGTCGAGTCTTGGTAAATTGACGGATCAAGGAGGTCTGCAAAGTTTTCTTTTGGCGGCTCACCAGCGGGTACCCGGGAGAAGTCGATGCTGGGCATGTTGGTGAAAGCATGAGCGGGCACGACATAGCCTGGTTCCTCCGAGGTTGAGCGTGAAGGAGCATAGTCTGAAAGTGATCCAGAGAGGCTCGGGTCGACAGCACCGTAGTCCCACGTGGAGAGAGTTGACTGCTGACTGAAAGCGGGCGATACCGACCTTGCTAGACGATCTCGTACAGGTGTGGACCACTGTGACCCAATACAGGGCGGTGATGGGTTCAGAAAGCCCTGGTGTCCTCCGCCTAGAGGATGGGAGTGGTACCCCGTTGACGTCGGGGCCGGACCAGATGGATCGTAGTAGGCCTCGTTGTCAGAATAACGCCCGGAATCGAACCGGGAAGATCCTTGATAGCTACCGCTCCGATTCGAAGACCCACCCGGCGTGCCGGAGTAGTCACTAGGTGGGCAGCTGCCGTTGCGCATCGGCGTTGCAGGCGCCTGACGGCCTTGAGGTGATGGGTCTTGACCTGTGTGGGGTTTCTTTGTGCCTGGTTTGTACCTGTAATCGGGAAAAGCCTTCCGTAGCCCTTCCCTCTCGAGCTCAGAATACTTGGTATATCCCCGTTTGAATTCTTCCGATTCTTTAGCCCAGGACTCTCCCACAAGCGTCACCAGCGGTGGCTGAGTTCTGGCTAGACTGGGGTGATGGATCGTCATCCAAGCTTGCGCGACATTCGCATAAGCCTGCTTGTAGAGGAAAAAGACATTAAGATTCCGCTTGACGTATCCGTCTTTCACAGCTCTGGCAATCCTCTTCTTGATGTCCCTAGTCGCGAAGTTATGCACACTAAGTGGCTGCACTTCATGATCCTTCGCCCACCGGGAAAGGGGCTCGACCAGATCCGGAAACTGTTCTTTCTTGTCTCTCCGTCGTGTCTTTCCAGGCGCCTTACTCTTGCCCTTCACTGTCTTCTTCGAACTCTGGAGAGCAAGCCCAGCATTTCCATGGTGACTCGCTGGTGCATAGCTGTAACCTTCCTGTTGCTGGGCCTGATGACCTACCACCGGCACTCCACAAGTGCTGAGCATGTCGTGCTCGACAAATGATCCCTGTGGAGCCTCCGAATGGTGTTCCGTGGTGTGAAGAGTATAGTCTTGAAGATTGAATATCGGGCGAAAACGGGCATCTGCGCAGCCAGGTCCATCATCCAGCGGAGGGGTGTCATACCCTAACTGAGCGTGTTGGAACCATTCGTTGCCGCAGTCGCTCGTTGACATTGGGCAGGTTCGTGACAATTCATCGGTCGGTGGTGTTGGTGACGGTGTAGGCATTCGGGCCATCCTGTCGCTTAAGGTGGGATGTTACGCGAAGCGAGGGCCTGGTTCTTAAGGTGTATGAATGATCGAGAGCACAGAAGTCTCGATGCTCTCTGCCGCCGCAATCTAGCCACAGCTTCAAGCGAACAAGATTGTGTCTGCGATCTAAAGTAAGTACAGTCAAGAAGAACCTGGCGAGGCGAGCTTGTGGAGATGTTAGATGAAGGAGGAGTAGAACAACACATGGGCCAGCAGTGCCTTTTGTCGTTACCGTCTAAGAGCTGCAACGGCGCCTTGCGTCTTCTCCGTACTTTGTTTCCGGTGAGATCTGGGCTTCCGTCGATGCTGCAACCTATAGCGCTGCGGCGCAGCGCTTGTAGGCTCTTGTCACGATATGATGTGCAGCTGTAGGTGCCATGACTATTGCCACAAATAGGCCACCAAGCAGACTAGTTGCGGCTTGTTGTTGATGTAAGGGGGCCCTGCCAAAGTGGGTGCTTTGCGGCTCGCGCCCCCAGAAATGAGCTCAAACCACACGAGCGATGTTCATTGTCCATGCCTAGCAACGGTGGTAGCGTTTCACGCTACAGCAATCAGGGAGACTGTTGGTCCGAGCATCGTTTATTTACCAAGCGCCACAAGGCTACGATCACTAGAAAGACTAGGGCGTTGACGAAGGGCTGTAGATATGACCGTTGCGGTTCTTGATTGGCTTCGTCTCGCGTTGACCCCATGTCGGATTCTCTGCTCAATAGATGTCAAAGGTGCGTTCCTTAAGGAGCTGAGATCACCTACCCGACAACATAAGTTGCCAGAGACAGTTGTCAAATGTTGCTCAATCGATGCATGAAGTCGGCTGGTCCAGTCGTTGATCGCCGCGTGAAAGCGACTAGTGGATTGTTATATCTCCAAAAGTGGTATTTCTGTTTGCCCTCCAGGCTCATCCATGATTGTGAGCCGACCAAAGCAGTGCGATAAACGCAAGCAAACGCCGCCCTTGCTCCAAGGAAACGGCAGCTGCGACTCTGTTCCTCATTGCTCGCCTTGGTTGCATCCATAACGCTCAACAATCGTTGTGAATGTGGAGCAGTGACCACCAGGTGATCCGCTCCCTATTCATTTGTCTGGTGGCAGGTGCACGTTTCCCGTCAACCGAGTTGATCAAAATTAGATCCAGTCAGTAGCGTATTGCTAATTATCGTAGCGTCATTCTGTCTTTGGATGTGCGCACATGCTGAGCCGCAGCAAGCATGGGCACAGATTTAGGTCATCCCCACACCGGTGACTGTCCTCGTCTAGAACCATGGTCGACTTATTGTTGGCTATTAGGCCTGCCCAATTCTTGATGCTTGGTCGGAGGTGTCATGACCGTCTTCTGAGGCGTTGGCGAGAGGGTGATGCCTGGCGGTATGCGGATTGGTGTAGTTCCGCTATGGACAGTGCCGTTCGAAGTGAAGGAATTCTGAGGGGATGGTTTTGTCGGAGACAGACCACCGCTAGCTGGGATGTTTCCATTCTGACCATGAGTGGCACGATATATTTCGCGACTAATGGCAGGCGTATTGAGTTTTGATTCAGACACTGGGTGCATTCCCGCGGACGGAGTCGTAATCCCATTTGATGTTCGTTCAGGGTACGTAGCGCTGGGAGAATGCACCGGCTCGGCGGGGATAATGCGATCCTTGATGCCGGCATCGCTTTCCCTCAGCGTTACAGCCGACTTTACATCAGTTTGCGTCATACATGGCATGCTAGTGCTCGCAGTGTCATGTACCTCCTCAACATTGTGTTTTTGCGGAGAGGGAGGGCGAGTACCCGAAGAACCCACAGACTGGGTCGAATCCCCCGTATCGTTGTTTCGTAGGTCGTCGACCATATGTAGTTGCGTATTGCTTGTATTCTGATCACGTTTGACCTTGAGCTTGATGGTTGTATGTGGCGTGGCATTGCTGGCTTCAACCTGACGTCGCTTGCAAGCAGCGCATACGAAATGGGACTCGGGAGATTCCACTTCGTCCTCGCTGAGGCCGAGGCATCTGCTGTGCTGCCAGACATTGCAGCTCTCGCAGGCCACGCTGTGCGTGCCGTCGTCCACCTTACCATAGAGCCCACACACACAGTCGAATGTCCATTCGTCGTCTTCATCGTCCAGATCCTTCAAGGCTTGCTGGGCCCTCTCAATCTCGGCTTGCCTGCGTCGTTCAGACAATCTACTTTGCCCATTTTCCTGGCATTTGCTGTCTTCAGAGAGGTTGGCGAGCTCCTCCACATGCTGTATTCGTCGTGCTTCTCTTTCTCTTAACCTCTGGCCACGGGAGGCCATCCTGAAGTCTCTCTCAGTCTCGCGCTTGAGGCGAGCTTCCTCCTCGTGTAATCTCGTCAAGGCGGCTTTCTGCTGCTGCTGCTGTTCTTCCCTGACCTTCTCCTCGTGCTTCTGCTGTTCAAGTTTGCTGGCCAGACGGCTGGACCGCTTTGCATTGGCCAATTTCGCCATGGTAAGCAGCTCGCGCTCTCTCTGAGCAATCCTGCGCTGTCTGCTCTCCTCTTGTTTTTCTAGAATCGGCAGAAGGTGTTGTTCGAGCTGTTTGCGTAGAATCTTCTCGTTCTCGTCCCGACTTTTCCGAAACCCTTCGATCAACAGCCGGGCTTCCTCTAAGGTCACAGCAAGACATTCCCAAACCATACCCCCCAGCCCATCTTCAGGAGCTTTGGCGGAATCGTGATCCTTCTGTGGTTGCTCTTGTTCGCTCATCTCATCCAGTTCGGCGTCCAGTTCTGCATTTGTTTGTGTTCTTCGTCTCTTGTTCGATCGACGACCGCTTCGGAAGGCCTTCTTTGATCTCTTTATTGAAGTGGACGGAGGAGCTGGCGGCGGCTCTGTCAAGCGGTAGACCCGATTATCGTCGAGCACGAAATAGGTACGATCTTCACTGTCCCAACCGTAAGGTTCAATGCGCTGTTTTCGATTCGTCAGTCTCAGTCCCAAGAAAGTCGGATTAACGAAACGGACCCAAGTTGTTTGGTCGATGTCACGCTGCTCGTCCATTCTCTCTCGAATGCGCTCGGGGAATATCATGACCCACTGAGTCAACTGCTGTAACACGCGGATCTGTCTCGTCAGCGACTAGTGACCTGGGTGTGTGTTTGCCAGCAGACCTTTGTGGGTACATCGAAGTCTTGAAATCTCGCAGGCGCGTCATCGTTCCCAAAGGGATTTGCGTCGGGTGCCTTATCCAAGTACTGCTTGCGAGCCTGGCTATCGAAAATATCGTGACTGTATACATGGGTCATCAGCGATTGCTCGGAAGGGTGGGAGGAGGACCAACGTCAACCCCCGATGCGAGGATATAAGTTTGAGGAGAGCGAGGGCAATGTCGCAGAGCAGGTTCGTTTCGGGTGTCAGGCAGTCAGATTCAATGTCCTAAATCCGATTAGACACAGGATTATTATCATTGGAGAAAGGGTGTACAACCTCGATGTCAATGTTTTCGTCGATCCGCGCAGCTTTACCAAACGTGTAGACCCATTGGCAAAAGTTGGCGAATTGCCACATGCCTCGAAGCGTGACACGAAGAGAGTGATCGGGCTGACCACCCTCAACAGTGTCGGTAGGCCTCTTTCGCGTCGGCATACTGGCGTTTTGGGTGCAGTGTTGCAGAAGTTGCTATGAATGAGCCACTGCTTGAGAAAGTTAAACCGAACGTGATGCGGCTCGCTGCCTGAACGCGTTACGACATGACATGGACTTGAGAGAATCGGGTCCAGGTCAGATTGTGGCGCGCCTGTACGCGCTAGTCTAGATGAAGACGGCACTAACCAGCCCGGGGGGCAGCAGGCTGCAGGGACCAGCAGGGCAGGCCCGGCAGGCCAAATGGCCTGGAGCGACTGGACGTGGTGCATCAGACGGAACGGAACGGGCACACGTAACAACAGGGTATTGCGCTTTCAGGGGCCGTCGCGTGCTGTTGGCACTGTATTCAGCGCGTTCTTCCGATGCTAACCCCCCGCGCAGCACAGTGCGAGACCAATCCCTACACGAATTTCCAAGAATAACAATACCCTGCAGTCGTGCTGATGAGCCACGCAATACGGAGTACAGTCCTGGAGACCGTACCAGTCTGATCACAACCCATCGTGTGGCATGTAACGACGTGCATCTAATTACAGTCTTGAACCTCCGCCTCCCACCCCGACCAGAATCAACATTCTCACGAAATATGCGGCACCGTGCGTTCTTGCTTTCCCGACGCATATAAAGCTGAACCTTCTCGATATCCTCCAGTGCTGCCAAGCGCCCTTTGTCCCTTCCGCCAATGCCTACCGGAACCCATGGGGGCTCGTCGACACCGCGGCGCGGGTCAATAACATCGCGAGATTTGAACAACTCCGGCGGAAGTGACAATGGAAGACATGGCTCCTCTCAGCTCTTGGGGGCTTCAATGGCTGCGGCTTCGCCAGGCTCCCCATCGAACCTCCCAACAGTATCGCCTTACTGGGATCAGCCATACGACGCCCGTTCCGACGGTGGTTTGAGTGACGATTCGTACTTGGATCCGACGGCTCTGCAGGCGGCGCTTCCTCCCGACTTTCGCTCCTCTCAGGGCTCAACTGGGGACCACAGTAGAACCTCGTATAAGGACAGTGGACCTTTCGCCGGCGAAGACGTCCTGTCGCGGGGCCAGATTGGCGCGGACGCAGACACCATCCCACTGACATCGAGCGCTCAGCCCATATCAGGGTCCCTCAGTGTCAAAAATTATCCCGAGTCCCATCCCAGAGATAGCTTTCAGACGGTCTCCGATGTCGACAATAGCACCCGCGGGCCCAGGGACACACTCCATCCCGAAGATGTTGAATTCGGACGACGTGGTTCCAGACACCGCAACTATGGCATGTCTCTCATGCCGAACGAGTCAACGGGGTCGCGCCCTTTATCGACGTCAGGTGCGCTGTCTCGCGCAGGATCTATTGTGCGAGCTATGTCACAGAGAGTGGTCAACATCAGCGGAGAAGCAGAACTGGCGGAGCAAATTGCCTCGAGGCATCGGTCAAGGTCACCTGCAGGATCAGAGCGTGGGCTTGGACGTGATCGGTCGCATTCTGTCTTTGAGGACACGGCGTATCACTCGCCCGCAGCCCACTTAGCTTCTGAGAAAACGGAGGACCAGCGACGCTCGTCAACTGAACTGCCAAATGAAGTTCCTCGACAACCGGCACCCAACCCACTCAAAGGCCGCACGCTCAACACATTCAGTGCAGACAGCCGTGTACGGAACTGGCTTTGCGACTTGCTCGTGTATCCATATACCGAGCCGCTAATTCTACTGCTCATCGTCCTTCAGACAGTGCTCTTGATCGTCGAGTCGGCCACTAGTGTTTATAAGGATGGTAATGGGCGGCCCGATCGGTGGGGTCAACGTTGGACCGACTGGGCACTGCTTGCTTTATTCATCATCTTCACCATGGAGCTTGTTGCGCGCATCATAGTCTCGGGCTTCATCCTCAATGCTGCTGAATACAGCACCATCGACCGGACGAAGGGCCTCCGCGTTGCCTTGACAAACCAGTACAGATCTATTTTTCAGCCCGAGAAGCAGAAGTCCGGCAAAACCAACAGCGTGCACTTGGCTCCGGAATCTTCCACGATATCGAGATCTTTCACTACACTTGTTCAAGGGCAACAAGCACTCCCTGAAACTTTAGAGGAGCAGCAACGATATCACTTGGCGCGCCGCGCCTTTCTCCGACACTCTTTCAATCGCCTTGATTTTGTCGCAGTGGTATCGTTTTGGATCTCTTTTGTCCTGGGCGTGGCCGGCCTCGAAAGCCAGTATCACCTGTACGTCTTTAAGATGATGAGCTGCCTGCGTATTCTGAGGCTTTTGGCTCTGACACATGGTACTGCGATCATTCTGCGGAGTCTCAAAAAGGCTGCACCACTGCTGGTCAGAGTAGCCTTTCTCATAATTTTCTTCTGGCTACTGTTCGCCATTATCGGAGTTCAGAGTTTCAAGTCAAGCTTGAGTCGACAATGTGTGTGGCTTGACCCCGAGAATCCTACGAGTTTGGAAGCGTCATATCGGCATGATGATCAAACTTGTGGCGGACACCGTGATAACGACACCGGCCATGTGCTTCCTTGGGTTTGGATGGTTCGCCCTGGGGACCTTGCTGACCTTGTAAATGGTACAGACGGCGGTAAAGGCTATATTTGCCCAAGAGGCCTGATCTGTTTGAAGCAAGACAGCCCTTACGACAACACTGTCAATTTCGACAACATTCTGCAATCCTTGGAGCTCGTCTTTGTCATCATGAGCAGCAATACCTTTACAGGTTTGATGTACGACACGATGGGATCTGACTATACCGCAGCTGCTTTGTTCTTCGCAGCCGGTATCATGATCCTCACTCTTTGGTTAGTCAACTTGTTGATCGCCGTTATCACGTCGTCATTTCAGGTCATTCGGGAAGAAAGCAAGTCTAGTGCGTTCACAGCGGACCATCACCGCGCCCTCGTACCGGATGCAGGAGATCAGCATCGCCGGCCTTCACAATTGCAGATCATGTATAGCAAAACGCGCTTGTTCTGGGTATTGGTGATTGCGTTCGGCCTTTTCTGCCAAGCACTTCGTTCAGCAAGTATGTCAAGAGGCCGAGAATGGTTCATCAACGTAGCAGAGATCGTTGTCACTTTGTCACTGGATGTCGATATGGTTGCCAGGATCATCACAGATTGGAGAGGATTTCATCGCAGCCGCCAGAACCTGTTTGATCTTTTCCTGGCTGTGATTACATCGATCATCCTTTTGCCGGTCATTAGGCGACACCGCGCCTATGCGTGGCTTACCGTCTTCCAGATCGTGCGAGCATACCGCGTGGTCCTTGCTATCCCGATTACGAGGCAGCTCATTCTTCTGGTGGTGGGCAATGCAGCTGGTATCGCCAATCTGATGATGTTCGTCTTCCTCATGACCTTTCTCATGGCTGTTCTTGCCTCTCAGCTATTTCGCGGGGAGCTACCCGTTTTCGACGATGGCGAGCTTGTGCGGGCGTCATTTTACACCATCTATAACTCATTCCTTGGCATGTACCAGATCTTGACCAGCGAGAACTGGACAGACATCCTTTTCAGTGTCACTGGCTATCTTACAGAGCGCGAGACGGCTTGGATTGGGGCAACGTTCCTAATTGGCTGGTTTATCCTCTCCTTCTTCATCTTGATCAGTATGTTTATTGCGGTCATTCAGGAAAATTTTGATATATCGGAGGATGAAAAACGCCTGGAACAGGTGAAAGCCTTCTTGCAACAAAGGGAGTTAGGTTCTTCGTCAAGCAACCTGGCTCTGTCCACCGTCTTCACTCTAGGGAGATCGCATCAACGCAGAGATCCCCTGGACTACGGTCCCGCTATGACTGAGATGCTGCTCAAGGACGCCGTCGTTAGGGAGTTCCTCGATGAGCCGGCCGCAGCAGAGCGCGACCATCTACCCGAACAAGGGCCGCCCCCACGAGCTGCGACCACTCTACTTGGTAATGTCAAAACAGGGTTCCTCTCGAAACTCTGGAGTCGCCTTGTTCGCCGCGTAGCGAAAAGGGAGCCGAATCCATTCTACTCCAATACCGATTTCAACAAGATGAAAGAGACGCTGGATGCCAGAGAGATGGCTCAGCAAGCTGTGTCGGCTTCGTCGGAGCGCCGAAGAGCGCAGCGAGAATATCTTGCAAAACACCCGACTTATAACAATTCTCTCTACTTTTTCGCCCCGAAGAACAGGCTCCGCCGCCTGTGTCAAAGGCTCGTCGGTCCGGCTAGAGGAGGTGAGCGGTTCGACGGCGTAGAACCCAACAAAGTGGCATGGTTCATATTTTCCGTGTTTATCTATGCCGCCATTGTCGCCATGGTGGTGATCGCATGTATCACGACACCGTTGTACCAGCGGGATTATCAATTGCAACATGAAAACGACCACCTCAAGTGGTATGTGTGGACAGACTTGGCATTCGCTATCTTATTTACTGGGGAGAGCATCATCAAGGTTATCGCGGACGGCCTCGTATCGACACCCAATGCATACTTGCGAAGCTCCTGGGGCTTCGTCGACGCCGTTGTGCTGATTACTTTGTGGATCAACGTCGGCACGCTGATTGTGAACGATGGCGCAGTCTCGAGGGCCATTGGGGCTTTCAAAGCACTGAGGGCTCTGCGCCTTCTAAACGTCAGCAACAGTGCGAGAGATACTTTCCATTCACTCATTATCGTTGGGTGGTGGAAAATCTTCGGAGCAGCATTCATTTCGATTTCGCTGCTTATCCCGTTTGCGATTTACGGATTGAATCTCTTCAACGCGCTTTTGGTTTCCTGCAATGATGGCGACGGCATTGTCAGTCTACAGCAATGCTTTGGGGAGTACCAGGCCATCCCTTACAGTGACGATTGGCCTCTACTGGCTCCACGAATAGCCTCAAACCCCTTTTACAACTTTGACGACTTTGGATCTTCGCTCTTTACGCTTTTCCAACTTGTCAGCCAGGAGGGCTGGGCAGACGCCACATACACACTGCAGGCAATCACAGCCAGAGGCCAGCAGCCAGAGGACCTGGCTTCGGAGGGCAACGCCATGTTCATGGTCGTATTCAACATCATGGCGACGGTCTTCATCCTCACCCTCTTCATATCTGTCTTTATGCGCAACTACACTGAGCAAACAGGTGTGGCGTACTTGACCGCAGACCAGCGATCCTGGCTTGAACTTCGCAAACTCTTGCGTCAGATTTCCCCGTCTAAAAGCTCGTACGATCGCACTGGTAGTCACAAGTTGAAACGTTGGTGCCATAAGAGGGCAATTGAGAAGCGTGGCAAGTGGTACCAGGCCGTTACGGTTGTGCTCATACTGCACCTGCTGTTGCTAGTGGTTGAATACACGGGCGAGCCTTTCTGGTGGACAATTACCAGAAGTGTATTGTTCGTCGCCTTTAGTCTCGTCTACTTGGGCAACGTAATCATCCGCGTGTTGGGCCTTGGTTGGGCGCGATATCGCAAGAGCTCTTGGGACTTGTTCGCTCTCTTTACCGTCTCTGGGGCCTTGGTTTGCAACATAGCACTTGTGGCGACTTCATACGGTCGAGATACAGTGCTGCAGATACACAAGTTCTTCCTCGTGGCTATCCTCCTCCTGATCATCCCTCGCAACGATGCTTTGGATCAGTTGTTCAAGACAGCTGCCGCGAGTCTGCCTGTGATCGGAAATCTCTTGGCAACTTGGCTGGTACTATTCCTCGTCTTCGCTATTGCGTTCACACAAGCCTTCAGCTTGACGCGATTCGGCGAGGAGGCGGCTAGCGACATCAACTTCCGATCCGTTCCCAAGGCGCTCATTCTCCTTTTCCGGATGAGTTTCGGAGAAGGATGGAACGAGGTCATGGAAGGATATGCGGCCATTGAGCCCCCCCTCTGCGTAGAGGAGGACAATTTCTTTGACAGCGACTGCGGAAGCAAGCCATGGGCCAGGTTTCTTTTCATCATGTGGAACCTTTTGAGCATGTACATTTTCGTTAACTTGTTCGTTTCACTCATTTACGAAAGTTTCAGTTATGTCTATCAACGCTCGGCGTGGGTGGCTGCCGTTGATCGGGATGAGATACGACGCTTCAAAGAAGCCTGGCGCCACGTCGATCCTGCTGGCACCGGTGCTATTAGCAAAGAAGCCTTCCCACGCCTACTTGGAGAGCTGTCGGGTGTGTTCCAGATGCGCATCTATGATCCCGAAGATTCGGTCCAGCAGATTTTGGACGACGTGCGCGGTGATGCCACGACGACTCGACACACGTCCCTTGCAACACACAGTGGCCCTACCGAGATTGATCTCGATAAGCTGAATGCAAGGATTGCTAAATTGGACGTGGCGAAGATCCGTGAGCGGAGGAGGCGCTTTAACATCTTCTACGAGGAAGTCCTCGTCAGTGCTGACCCTGACAAAGGCATCACATTCACAAGTGTTTTGTTGATTCTGGCGAACTGGAACATTATCCATGATAGCAAGAGTTTGAAGTAAGTGTTACACATGCGAGGCATCCGGCACGCTAACTCTCAATCTAGGCTCGACGAGTTCCTCCGACGACGTGCACGGCTGCAGCGTGTCGACGACTCCGTGCGACGAAAGACTGTCCAAGGCTTCTTTTACACGGTCTACTGGGCCAGGAGGTTCAAGAAGCGGCTCCAGGCTAAGCAGTCTGCGCGCATGACCGGCGAGCCTCAATTAGATATTCCCGACATTTTTGTGGATGACGAGGACGACACGATGCAAGGCACAAGGACCACAAGAGAATCGTCACGACGCCCCTCACTTCAAGCGTCCCCTTCTCATCTTAGCGTTGATGGAGGCCACAACTCACCCAGAGTCTCGTCCGAAATAGCGGGTCCGGCATGGCACAGTGGTATTCGACACCCACTCAGTGCACCGAGATCCGCAACATCAACGCCATCGCCCCCCGGAACACCGTCAGGATTTGGTTTCGACCTTTTGGAAGGTGGGCAAGCACGCTCTTCGGCCGACTTCAGCCGCCCAACGAGCGCTGTTAGCCCATCACAAGCTCGTGATCTGCTGGAAGATTCCGTATGGCTCGACAGCATTCGCCGGAGCACAACAAGACGTTCTGATGGCAAGAGCTCCTATCGGTACGCGGACCTAGGATAGCATAGATGCAAGCACCGGTTCTTCTAGCGCATTTTTCTTCATTCTCAAATCATGGTTGTCTCGGCGTTACGGCGCTACGTGTCTTGGTGCAGCGAGGCGTTTTAGGGGCAGATCTCGGATATAGAACGGCGGGAAGCGATGTACGTGATGGACGACACGATAATACATGTAGAAAGTTTTCTTTCTTTGCCAGGACTGGACAGCTCGTCGTGTGAATTTTGTTCTCTGCGCAAGCATATCCGTCGTCTGTTCTCACCTATTTGACCTCAACTTCTGGGGCCGTTTTCATGCCACCATGGTTCTGAAGGGGTGACATGGTCAGAGATGCACTATTATTAGGCATTAAGCAGGATGTACAGGTTCAATTGCCAGTCAGACATCAATCACGACCGTTGTGTCAATGCCTTCGTCAACGCAGCTCAGTGCTCTTTGTAGCTCGGCGTCGCAAAAAGCCAACCTGAAACGACGGGGCGAAACCCCCGCCCCCTGATATGGGATCCTCTCGTCGCAAGCACAACAATTACTACTTAGGGTGGTCTAGCGTGTTATACCCAATGCTTCAGGTCTGCTGCACGGTATGTAGAGGCGTTCGTTCAGGCCAGGCGAAACGGCACAAAGCCGAGTACTATATGTGCCCATGTGCCATCCTGGACTCTTCCTCCTCGCCTTTGCTTATTGTTCTCGATATTATTTTGCTTGTCGCTCGCTTAATTCATTCTCACCAGGCTGGTCCTGAATTCCATTGTTCTATATTTCCATCACACACGCTCACTTACTTTGACTCCAGTCGACAGTGTGCAGGCACAGTTGCTGAATTGAAGATTGTGGCGACAGACCAAACGACACAGCTCTCTAAACTCTTGAACCGCAAAGAATGGCGCCTTCCACCATGAGATCAGTTATTGATAGGTTCTCTATCGCCCGTTCACTGCGTCGTGCATCAGCATCATCAGACGCCTCTACCGACAGTACATCCTCCACTGCCAGCGCTGTCAATAACAGACTTTCAAGAATACCGTCGATCGCCAACCTGGAGGTGGAGAGGCGGGTTGTCCCGGAGGAGCTAAGAGTGCTTTTGGAGCCCAGGCCTTTGGTCTACTGGGAGAGCATGGATGGGAGGATGGGTTCTTTGCGCTTCTAAGCTGCCAAAGAAACCATGCACAAGGCGACGTGCGATGTTTGCGACTTGCGACACGAATTACTGAACTGTTCCGAAAGAACAGGATATACATTGGAGCACTAGGCGAATTGTGTTCAGCACTATGGTCTTAGGGGGGTCATGAGTCGATGCAGCAGGCATCATGCTGAATACGCTAGCGATGAAAGCCACGCTGCAATGCTAGCAACAACATTCCAACCTGTACAGGCGTACTCGGGCTGGCCATGTTACCAGTACAAATGCAAAAATGAAGTACAAAATCGCACCCGTAGTATTGCGCTCTCCTGGCAACTACGGAAAAGACAATGCCCCCCAGCGCGAACACGCATGCTGCCCCTCGAATTTCGTAAATTCATCAAGTTCGTGAGCGGGCGTCATACAGTCAAATCCCCGCGAAAGCAATGGTGACCGTCCTGTGAAGACTATACCCCGGCTAGTCTTCTTCCACACCTGTGAATATAGCCGCAAGCCATCACACGCTGAGCACAGGAAGCCATGGCTGGACAATGCTGCGAATGAGCCACCACGATCCCGCTACCGCACTGGTCACAAGCACTGCCAAGGAAACCAGCATTGTGCTGCGGATCTTGAATGCGTCCTCGGTCTCCATTCTCAGAAGTTTCTTCTGCTTGGTTTGGTAGTACCATGGACCACCGGCGCCGGCGTTGGGAGAGGTGCCATGCTCGTACGGGCGGTACAGCAGGGCGTGAAGCCAGGCTGGTAGTCGACTGTGAGCTTGGGCGTGGTTGTGGGATCGCTTGAGCGAGTACTGGATGTCGATGATGACGAGCGATAAGACAAAGGTGATGAAATTGACGGGTGTCATGACAAGCTGTTTACTCTTAGGAGTTTGCATAGTCACCCTGTTGTTGAAGCACTCACATTGTACAGCGCGGACGGTGGTGATGCATTGCTCGTTGGCATCCCGCTAGTAGTGCGGGACGATGGTGGTGCCGAGACCATGGCAAATGCTGTCAGTTCGGCTGTTGCTAAAAGCCTAAGAGCCTAGGACCGTTTGAATCCATGGAACGAAGAACTTGAATTTCTGTGCCATGATTTAGAACTGAACTAGGTACGTAAGTACGTATTCGGGACTTCCAGCAGGGTGAGTGGCGGGCGGAAGAGTCGGCCCCAGAATTATGTCGTCACACGCCAACAAGCCTGATGGGATGATGGATGCGGTGCTGATCATCCAGTTGTTTGTAATACTGCAAGTATGTACAATCAATGAACAAATTTCTCGGAACAAGGTGAAAGTAAGGACGCAGCCCCTCGTGAGAAGCATGAGAATTGATTGGAAAGTGGCAGCCCAACGACGAAGGCAGATAAGTTAACTAAGGTACATACGTAGTACTTACCCTGGAGAAGACTTCTTATTCATTGCCAACCCTTCCTTAGCCATTGTTTACAGCTTCATTCGTAGATCTGGATCAAAGCCCATTGTCAAAATTGAACCCACCATCGTTTTTACCCTCCCTGCGTCGAGTGACTTGTCAATCTCGCCCGTTTGCAGGTTATCTTGCTCGCCCAGCAGTGATGTACCTTTGCGAGAGAGGGGTACTTTTAAACAAAGACCACGTGTGTGAAAGTATTCGTGGAATATTTCACGCGATTGAATATTCGTTCACCAAATCGACTCTTATGGGAGAGAGCTCTAATAAACATTCCGAATCTTTCGAAGGAGGATTAGGGGCAGGAAGAATGTTTGCAACTCCCCCCCACACCCGTTATGGTAATGTTGGCTCGGCAAGACGCGGTGGTTGGGTCGTAAAAGAGTACACACAACATATACAGAAGACCTTCTTTTGACAATCACATACGACCATACCCAGTGGAAAATACGGGATCCCGTCCGCTCTCCCATAGTCAAGCCGCTGAGGGGCTGATTAGTAGTTGGGTCGGTGACGACCAGCGAATACCGGCTGTTGTATGTTTTTTGCCCTTTTTTTTTTTCATCCACACACCCGGATCCCGTAAGTGGAGGCTCCGGGTGGACCGGGATGCGGCCGGTCGTGCATGTATGGTCGGTTTCGGGCACATATAGGTTGTCCTTCCCTATCATAAGGTGAAACGCATCTCTATCAATCGTGAAGCCGTCGGCGAAGATGGTCGCCCTCTACTTCAAGTACGAAGCCAGCATGACCTCGCCTTCCTGCCCCCGTGCCTCCCTCCGTGGAACATGTCCTCTTGGTCGCTGCCCGCAGGCCCGACAGCTCGAGCCGCGCCACCGCCCGGCAGACCACGGCGCTGGCCATATATCTCGCCACGATGATAACCGAATCTGTGACGCTGAAGAACAGCAAGATTGACAGAACCAGGGTACCAAGGATGGTGTGTATGACGGCGGCGGAAGGGATGAGCTCGCTGGGGAGCCTCCAGGTGTTGTTGTTGTTGTTGTTGCTGTTGTTGTTGTTGCTGTTGTTGTTGTTGCTGTTGTTGTTGTTGTCGTTGTTGTTGTTGTCGTCGCCACCTGATTTCGCCTCCATAGCCTTGACGCGTAGAGCTAGCCCGAGGACTCCGGCCAAGTGGATGAGTACGGCGAGCAGCGTCCATAGTGGCACCATGAAGATGGTGTCCGGGGTAAAGCCAACAATGGCGTGGACGCCGAGCCGGTAGGCCATGTGAATAACATTGGCCACGGCCCCTCCGACGATCAGGTACTCGGCAAAGCTGATGAGCAGCTGCATAAGCGGCGGGACCACACTCCAGTCCACGCCCGGCAAATTAAAGCTCGCGGCGACGTCCTCCCCGTCCGTCACGACAAACTTACTCAACGTCTCGACAAACTCGCCGGCTGTGTTCGCCGCAACGGTCGGGCTCCCGGCTGCGAGAAGGAACGCCAGCCCGGGCCTGCGTAGCCCGATGAGGGCCGTCTCGGCGGTCGTGCTGCCTAGGCTCTGTAGGATGATGGGTAGCGAGCCGAGCACGACGGCGCTGGCGCTGAGCTCGGTCTTGAGGAACTCGGGGTACTCGTCGAGGATGCAGTCGACGACGGGCGTGGCGAGAGAGCTGAGAGCGATGGTGGTGTTGATATTGCCTGTCCGATAGGCGGCGAGCTCGGCGCCGCACGAGTCGGCAAGGATTTCTTGGATGTACTCGTTCCAGCCTGGGAAGAACCAGTCGAACTGACGGGTTGGTGCGGCGCAGGTGAGGGTGGCCGCCGAAGCGATGAAGACGCCGAGCAGCCTCATCGTAAGCCGGTAGTCGACGGAAGCAGGTAGAGATCATGGTCGTGGGACGGGGGCATCGCCAGGGGCCCGAAAAATGATAGTACTGGCCAAGGGATCAGTCGTAGGGCTGACGATAGAGGAAGAGTCCGATCCGCCAGCTGCGTGTGGGCAGACATACATCAAACATGTGGCTGGCGGTGATACGATAGGGCAGCGTACGATAGCCAAGACGTTACAGGGGCGTCAGATTGGGCGACATGCGGCCCGCCGGGTACATGCATATGGCAGCGCTGCTACTAAAATTAGATATAGCCAGTAACAGCGCCCTGAGTTTGCGACCCCTCATGTTGGGAGCGGCTATTTGGAGTCTTGGACAAGGTGTGGCTGATCCAGGGCGAGCTCCTGCTTCCAGCTTCGTTTCAGAGATACTCAAGGTGAGAACGGGAAATGCTTGACAGGTTAGACATCCCAATCCTGGCTTCTGACTGGTTCTTGATCCCATCCTAGCTATCGACAATGTCTCTATTAGCCTGGCCTCATCTCAAACCTCCGTAGAGCAGGCCTGGGAAACGAGCTATTCAGAGTCTGTCTTGTCCAGGGCATCCCCAAGCCATCGCCACAACCTCTTATCCGCCACAAAATTCGGATTCATTTCCGACATCAGCATCAGCTTCCTCGCAACGGCCATCTTCTCGGTCTCCATCTTAGGACCGCCTCCCTCCTCTTCAGACTGGTCCTCCTCAGATCCTTCCCCCTCGGCTTCCACCCGCAGCTTAGCCAGCAGTTCTCTCCAATGCTCCTGCATGCTCCTCTCGTGAAACGTCCGAGGAATATCGTCAGATCCGTCCTCGTGGTGAGCCGCTGAGACCCGGAGCGGCGAGCAGCTCGGATAGAGGGCCTGCGTACGCGGAACCCCAATCGATGATGGATGTCACATTGAAGTTTTGATCCACAAATACATTGCCAATGTGAAGGTCGGGATGGCAAGGGACAAACCCCCGACTCGGAGAGGCGTGAGAGGCAAGAGAAGGGATCATCTCGCGCAGGAACTCGCCGGCGAGACAGTATGATAGCCGATTTTTGCTGCCTTCGGCTCCCTCCCCAAGTACGTAGAAGTCTTCCCACCTCAAGCTGTCTACTGCTGCTTTGTAACTGGCCCAGTCACGGTACTTGAAGACATTAGGGATCGACGCAAAGAAGTTGTGAGGGCTGAGTCCAAGCTCTCTAGTGTGAGACACAAAAGCCGATATCAGAGAGCTTAAGTATCGGCTCTCTTGGTCAAAGGGATCTCGGTCGATGCCTTCAAGCGTATCCCTCTTTTCCCAGAGGTGCGACGGGTTCAGGCACTCGCCAACAGAGCAGTCGCTGCTACCGTCTTCGGCTTCGAATAATGAACCAATCTTGTCAAAATGAATCTCCGAAAGTAACGACATGATCCCTCCGAGCTGGCCCATTATCTTCATTTGCGTATGTACGCCAATTAGCCATATTCAGAGCATATATGGAATTCCCTTTTAGCCTGTTTGATGGGTTGTGAGCCCTCGCCCTTCGAGCGCACTGTTCGAGCCCCCTAGGAAGCAAGATTTCTGCCTTTTATTGATTTAACTTTGGTATGAAGAGAGAGGTATAGTGGCTTATTGAGGCCTGGCAAGATATGAGAGCCGTACCCATACATTTGATGTTTTCCTTGTGTGCAGCCTGGCCTGTGATAGGCCAGCCTGGGGGGTAGTGTTGCGTATGTACGCCAATTAGCCACATTCAGAGCACATGTGGAATTCCCTTTTGGCCTGTATGATATCTTCTCTCGGTCCCGGTCTGCCAGTGGCAGAGGTGGGATCCGCACCGTATAGCCCAGTATTCGAAATGCCTCGGACCAGTCATACTCGGAAAGGGCGCGGCCGGAGGCTTTGCTCATGAGAATATAAGGTACCCCAATCTCGTTGTCGTGAGAGCCGCTAATTTTGACACGTCAGTGATCAGAAACAGTAGCAAAGACGTTATACAGTGTATCTTTCAGCTCACCTGAAGGAGTAGACTTCTGGGACCGGGACCGATCTGTGCTTCCCAAAATACTTCAAGGTAGAAGTTTCACTAATGGTCATCTTGTAATGAGATTCCTTTTTGATGCTCATGCTACGGCGCGGGGAGCGAAAGACCCATTCAATCCCATCGTCAAAGGTGATGAAGATGACCCAATTCAGGCTTCCGGCTTTCGGTCTCTTTGATACGTCTGTGGTGCATGGCCGGCCGCCTCGAAGCTGTGTAGCAAGAAGAAGAGTCTATCGAGGTTGAACCTGGCGAATGCGACTATCCTCTCGCGCCTTTCTGGCACGGGAGTGAAGTCGCCCATGATGTGGAGGGAGTGGCGGAGGCTTGAGATACGAAATGAGGGATGGGCAATGCAGCAGCCTGCAGGTTGACTTTGATTGACAAACAAACAAACACACCGCACGTGATTCGGCACCCATTACGGCGGGATAGTACATCAACAACCCCGTAGAAAGTCAATGACATACTATCAACGAATGAAATCAAGGAGGCTGCTGAGGATAGGAGTAGCACTGCTGCTGTCGACCTCTTCCGAGACGTTCTCGGGCTTTACCGTGACCTTGTCACTACTTAAATGACGTCCAGTCTTCCAAAGTCTCCCGTCCCCGCCCATACACGAGCAGGGCATGCGTGAACCCATCGACATCAGACGGCCCTGTCTCTTCAAGCAGTCGATCGAGGCCCCGGCAGAACACTGGGTTTGTAGTCGCAGTCTTCCTCTCCAGACTTGCCACCCATTCTCGAGGCGAAGATGCATCCCAGACACCGCTTCGCCCTGTGAACGCGATACTACCTGGACACCTGGCGAATCCCTGTTTCATGATCAAAAAGGCCGCCTCGGTGAGCGTGGCCACGATCCACACACGTCGTATCGACTCGGATAGAATCCACGCTCTCCAAGTCGAGGGGTTTGTCTCATTGGAGCGCTCTGCGTGATCTGAGGTTGATTCAAGAGCGTGCGGGGATCAGACCGATGCGCGGGGGCCGCGACTTGAGCGGCCGCGCTCTCGAGGAGGGCATCAGCCCACGTGGTCAGTGTTGACAGCACGGATTCCGCGTGTCCACGGGCTCGCACATGACCTTCAAAAAGCCCAATGGCCTGGAATACGAGTAACGCCTGAACGCGCGCCAGTTTGTCGATGACATGGTTGTTCGTCCCCGACTCGTCCATCAGCGCGAGGCTGTCCGTCATAGATGTCTCTTGGATCAGGTTCCGCGACCGATCCGTCGCCAGGTGCAACGCGATCCTCTGACTCGTCGTCGTTGAGGCGGCCGATACACCCGCCAAGCCGCGAGGGCATGCTGCAGAGGGCTTGGGAGGTCGGACTCGTACAGATGCGCGTGGATGAATGCGCAGTGGTTCTCATTCATCCACTGGTCGAGCCACAGTCCAAGTTGGTCGAGAAAGTACTCGAGCCCGGAGTCGGGGTAGGTGATGCGATCATCCTCTCCAATGGGTACGTGGTCGATATCCCACGAAGCCGGGGCGAGGAACCAAGAGAAGCTGTCGCCGCTTGTAGCAAGAGGAACGCTCTCACATGTCGGGGAGAGGTTTGGCGAAGACCGCTTTGCCGATTGCGTGAGGGACTGGGGCTAGTGAGGAAACCTGGCGGCGCGCGTCACGGTGACAGGATATGTGCAGCTGAGGTTCTGGACACGGCAGCGGCGGCAGCTGGGCAATTGACGGCTGCATTTGCGCTTGGACTTGCTGCAAGCGGTACAGGCAGGATGCCGCTTGTCAAGTTCGACAGACGATTCTCGGGGCCTCGTCATGGCTGCGCAGTTGGGGGATCCAAGATCAATGATGAGGGCGATGGTGCGGAATGGTTGGAAATGTCCGCCGCAGTGTGCGGGACCGTGGGTATTCTGCTGTAGCCTGTAGGATGCACTGGCAGTGCTGACTGAGATATGACGGCTGACAGTCTGACACAATCAAAGGCCACTCACTCACTATGCGGGCTGTGCCGTAGGCTGCGGGCGGACAGTGACATGGACTGGAGGCTGCGGAGGGCGGCGGCCCGCTCTTGAATTGCATGCGGGAGCCGCGCGCACTCAGATTGAACGTGCCTCCAGTCTATCACACAGGCTCAGGTTACAAATACATATATAAGAATACACATTCTTCCCATTTCGACATGTAGCTCGTTGTTTCGGTCCATAAAATGACCACTACGCCTCTACAGGTTCACTCAACTCGAGCCACTCACCTCCCCTTGCAAACACAGCCCATCCCAACTTGGCCACACTCTTCAAAATGAGCCTTCCGTCCTTGAAACTGTACCACAAGGAGCCGTATCCTGCTATCTCACCGACACTACCACAGCTGAGCCAGTTGGGAAAGACCGTCATCGTCTCTGGCGGCAGCTCAGGCATCGGGTTTGCTATTGCACGCTCCTTCGTCACCGCAGGCGCCGCTCGCGTAATCATTCTCGGCCGGCGTCGCAAATATGTCGAGTCCGCTGCAAAGACCCTCAACCATGAGGCAGGATGCGACGTCGCAGAGGGTAGAGCGGTCGACGCCTACAGTCTTCCCGCCATCGAGGAGCTCTGGTCCACCTTGCACGCCCAAGGCATCTACGTCCACGTTCTGGTCTTGAGCGCGTCGGCCTATGGGATTAAATCGCATATACTGGAGACCACACTGGAGAAAACCTGGGGGGACTTTGAGGCCAACGTGCGTTCTCCGCTGGCCATGACACTCGGCTTCTCGAAACAGAAAACGGGGACTGGAATGAAGGCAAGAGAATTTGGATTCGTCCACTTGACTATACAACTTGAACATACATGGCTAACTAGGCTTCAGTTTCTGGTCAACGTCTCCACCATTGCGGCGTACATGTGGACGACCATGGCCCCGGACCGCCCGACATACGGACTAACTAAGAATGCCGCACTCGCCCTCGTCCAACAAATCGCAAAGAACTCCAACCCCAAAGAGCTGCAGATTGTAAGATTTCATCCTGGAGGCATTCTCACTGAATCAGCGCGAAAAGAAGGGTACGCTGACGGCGGTTTTAATTTTGACGACGTTAAGCTCGCCCCATGACCTTTCGACGGCCTCTCCCTAATAAATGTGTTGACTAACTCTGCCTCGACTACCAGCAAACCTCCCTGGCCATTTTGCCGTCTGGGCCGCGAGCCCGGAGGCTACCTTTTTGCACGGTCGGTCTGTCTGGGCGAATTGGGATGTCTTGGAGATGAAAGACGACATTGGAAAGCGTGTCCACGAGGACGAGCACTTTCTCCGGGTCGGTGTCGAAGGTCTCTCGGAGAAAGATGGCGGTTTGAGGCTCTAGTTGCGCTGTGAAGTGTTCTACAACAATAGGTATGATGACGACGACGGCGATCAGCGCTAGCCAGGGGTTCGAGAGTCTCCAAGAGAAGTAGATTACTTGGGAGGCTGCCCAAGCTACGGTTCAATGAAATGAATCCTTCAGCTCGTGGACGATCACTTCCAAGGCACTCTTTGCCTGCGCTCTGTACGCGCCGGACCGCGACGTGCCCCACGAGATTTGCCCCAGAGATATCCGATCGCTGCCTACCCTACTTTGGCGCATCATCAGGGTGCCTTACGGCATGTCTTCATTTGAACATGTTCAGGACCTTGCATATAGACCTTTGCCCGCCACGTCAAACGTGCACGACCAGTTAATTCTTGCGGAAATCTGAGGCTGCCTCTCGTGTCCTTTTCAGCACTCCCTGCCAGAGGCGATCTCACCCAGGGTCAGCCGCAGCCTGTGTTGGTGACACAACAACTAGGGTAGACCTCGAGGCTGAATCAGCGTCAGACGACCTTGACAGCGACACTAGCCTTAAATTTAAGCTTGATTTAGGTCAAGTGACCATAGGATGTCGACAACATGACACCGGTCTATGTTTTGTTGCCCCTTTTTTTTTGTTTACAACCCGGAACCTCATGTTCTAACTCTTCGTTTCTCACGTTATATATAGTGCGATTAACCTTTGTCGATAATAGTCCTTTATATCATACTTCTTTACGGATACCTCAATTTGATTTTTAAATTAATTATAAACTAATATCCGATTGTGGCGCACTGCGACTCGGGATCCCGTAACCGGTAAGTAGAGGCTCAGGGATTCGGTCGGCCGTGCAAGGATCAGACGTTGGCCAAGCCGCCAAGACGGCCAGGGGCAACGGTAAATCCGCTCAGGGCCGGCTGGGGGCTTGGCTTTGGCTCTACGGCGTGCGTTGTTTGTCCGGAGGAGGCTGAATACACGTAGCCAAGGATCCAAGACAAGCAATCTGTGGAGTAGCGTCACATTCTACCCACATTCCGTGCTCGCCCCTTTTGCTTGGGGGCAACGCATTCACCTCGTTGGACACCATCCGCCCTGGGACGGGACATGGATTGAGTAATTGGGCAGCGGCTAACCTGAACTAGATTTCTTTCCTGACGCGTCGTTCCGTTTAACCTTAATGTATATGTTTATTCCGACGTCTGTCCTGTCTTCCTTCCTACGCCAAATCGCCAGTTCTCCCTCACTTGACACACACATCCAATGGACATGGCGGGCATTCGTCGCTGTCTGCGGCTGGTCGCCTGGATGTGCCTCCTAGGCGGCAGCCTAACCATGGGCGCCGACACCGACTTTGAAACGGGCATCAACGAGTTTACCTCCATCTTCCCGCGCAACGAGACGTATGCGCCTTCGTATCTCTTCCCATTCGTCTTCGCTTTTCAGAACCCAGCTGTCACTCGGTCAATGCGCACCAGCGAGATCCTTATGACTTTGTTGAAGTGGAACGAGAGCACCAGCGTCTGGGATGTCAACGACACAGCCTCTGTCGACTTGGAGAAAATGGCCAACGCTTCGGGCAGCGAGCCATTCTTTGCCCACCATGTCTTCGGCGATGTATTCAACACGGAGGCCTATTGGACATTCTCGTGGAGCTTGGGTTTCGTCCCCTGTATTGAAGAGGACATGGAGGATGTCGATTACATGTTTTCTAGGGCGTATGGTGCATCGGGCCGTGTATATTTCACGACGAAGGAAGGGGCCCAGGACCCTAAAGATAGCCTTGCTTCTGGTGACTCCCAGTGCTCCGAGCTAGGGGGGAACACGTGGAACCTTACGGAAGTTATTTACGCCAATTACAGGGAGGACGAAGTTTCCTGCGCCTTCTTTTCGACCGTGACACCCACACCACAGCCGTGCGAAGCACAGGTCGATTCCGAGCTCGTAGAGAGCATCTATGCTTCGGCTACAGCCAGGGTGTGCCGTTGGGATGATTCGATGATCGAGTGCCCCGACGAGGAAGACACGGGGGTGAGCATTCGCGGAAGCCTGGATATAGCTTGGACGGCGTGCTTGGTTGCTTTTGCCGCTGGCTTCGGCCTTTTTTTCCAGTAAACAATCACTATTAGGATCAGACACAAACATCAGCAGCATTTGCTGCTCATTCACAAAGACCCCCTAAACATTTGCAGACCCCAGGGATTCCAAATGTTAGCTTGTGAACTACGACAACAGTGCCAGGAGTAAAACCACCTTATGCTTCACCTAAGATAGCGGGAGAAAGAAGTATCCCTTAGGCCCGCACTATCTCCGGCCTTTGCTCAACGGACTCGAGCCAAATGAAATTCCGCCCTCACGGCGAGTTCCTAATAGTAAATACTATCGAGGAAAACTAGGCTAGCTTATACTTTACAAGCTAGTATTTCGAATTCATAGGGAATGTAGAACCATGAACTTCGTGTGATCTACTTGAACCCACGTTCGGAGGTAGCCCCCTGACCCCCAAATTTCCAATGCTCCCGTCCTCGACGCTAAGAAGGCACCCCTGAAGTAGCCTGCATAGTGTAACCAACAGGAGGTCCACTGGGGCCTTGGCCGCCTTGGCGGAGGCTAGGCGCCCGAGAAACGACATTGGTTTACTACGTACAGAGAGACTTTTGTATCCTTCATGTTCGAAAGTTGTCCAGGCCCCAACACGCCCCAGCTCGCCGCTCATTCTCACCAGCCCAGGCAACATCTGTGGTATTCATATAAGGACCGTTTGGCATTCTCTTCTTCACTCTTTGTCAGAAACCCAAGGTCTTCTCAATTCTTGCCGCAATGGGCTCCTCTATTCGCACAGCGACCGTGAAGATTTTCTGTCTCTTGCTGGCGGCGTCGAAGATTGATCCAGCGCAAGGCTCGCAGTCCAGACATGCGTTCAGTTCGAGCCATCGTATCGATGTTCGCTCAGACTCAGGAAACTGGACCGAGATCAAATGCGATAATCTTAGCTGGGACGACCGCACAACTCGGACCCCAGAAGAGCGATGGCACCAAATGGATGCTCCCTCCGCGTGGTCCGACTTGGTCACTGTCTGGAAAGAGAATAAGGACCTATACAGCTCGTTTTCTTCTTGCATTGGTCTGCAAATGGGAGTTAATGGTACTTTCGAATGTGGCTCTATGCAAGACGATACTCTGTGGCGCGTAACTCAAAATTATTGCAGCGAAAGACTCGATCCCGGCAGAGGTGTCGCGGGGCTTGCCATTGTCAATTCTTTCGTGGACATCAATTACGTAACGTCGCCCAACTCGACTTTCTAATCGTGCGCTGACCCGGAAAAGTTATTTAGGACTGTGAAGGACGCTATAACGGACTCCTTCTATCTGGATTTGAATGCTACCGGTACTCTCGATAGCTTTGCCGACGACTTTGCCCCAGATCCTCCGGAACATGACAACGCTTGGCGACTTGTCTGGCTCGATGTCTTTACTATTGGAGCTTCGACGGTGCTTGGTCCCCTGTTCAAGAATAGTAGGTCCCTAGCTGAGGCTTTACTCTGACCTTCTTCCCTCTCCGTTCTAAATATGAAAGTACTGTGTTAACAATGGGGCACCCTCAGATATTGCCGAATGGCCCTGGTTCCGAGAAGAAGGGTCGACTACAGCAGCCAAGCTGAAGAACACGACGATACTCATAGTTCAGCAAGGCATAACTCTGGCCAAGGACTTGCTGAGCAAAAATCCGTACGTGGTACTATTGCTTCGTATTTTTGGGTGTCATGTCGTTAACACTAGCAACCAGGGCCGAATGGGACTCGGAGTCACAAGACGATTTTAAGACATATAGTACCGCTGTGCTTTCTCGCTGGTCTAATCTCGTCGTTGATAACCTGAGCGTCCTGTTCGACGGTTCCGACGAGTCCATCGAGAGACTAGGGGATATGATTGCGGACGGCACTTTCATAGCCGGCGGCGGCAGCCTCGGTGGTGGAGGCCTCAGCAAAGATGAAAATACCCAGACGCTAAAGAGCTCTATTGCTCGCACCTTTTATGGGATTGCTATTCCCGAAATCTGGAGAATATTAGGTACGCATTCATTCGTTATCGACATAGGTGTCGACTGCGATAAAGACGTATCAGACCTTCTGAAAGACGAAGTGCGGGATAAGACGGGAGTCTGTCACGACGGCAAGCAATACTTTCTAGGGGTGCCCAAGGGTAACTATAAGCTCTCAGACGGGACATACGGCTTCTCGGTGCCCCCAGGCGTAGACGCCTTAGGAGAAGACAGTCAGTACGGGGGTATTACTATCGAAGATATTATCGTCGGGTAAGGATTTGTTCTCGTATATATTAACCTATTAGGCTAACAAGGCAAGATCTCTTAACACTTTCGAGGCGAATGGAGGCAATAACGCCCCTCGACCCCAAGACCTGAAAGAAGGAGATATTAGCGACCTCGCTGTTATGGATAATATCAGGGCCTCCGGGCTCATTCGCCTTCCCGTCTGCTCCCCTCAGCGCGCATGGCGGTCGTGGGATGAGGGTGATGCCAGTGACAGCGCCATCTACCCTTGCAACATTCTCAAGGAAGACTGATGCAGCAAGTGAATCTTTGTTGACCAGACGAGCGACGCATGACCGCCTGTGGAAGACTGCCTCCAGATTGCCAAAAGCCTCCAAGGCTTTGCCGACAAGCAGTGGCAGATGGAATGGGGCATTTACTAGAGCGATTTGTCCTGCCGCTTGCCATATTTCATTTTAACACGAATCAAGAGGGTTGCCCAATGTCGATGCGTTCAAAAGGTGCAAGTTGAGCCTTACGAAGAGGGTGGTGGCTATGCACGAGGATGCTGTGGAAAGGCGAGTCCTCCTGACTCAATTTGCTACACGTACTGGCTGAGCTATGCTATGTGGAGGTATGCAATCTGTCGTGAGAGCCATGAAGGTATTGAAATACTACATGAAGCCATATTGACACAGATATTCAACCGCCAGCGTTGTTTTCTTGGATTTTCGTTATAAAACCTCTGCCTGATATAAATTGACGCGGAAGCCTTTTGCAAGTTTGTTCTGCGTTCAGGCGCAGGAGGCTGAGGTACGAAGACCCCGACTACAAATATTATAATTTCATACATGTAGCTTATGAAAAAAAAAGGTCACAGCAGCCGTGACATAGCGCCTCCTTCCCAAAGTCATTGTCTCCTCCTTGACGATCGGGGTGGGGCTAGCTACCGGGTAGCTAGACACGAAGTTGGTTGATGTGAAAGAATAGGTGTTGCGTATGTACGCCAATTAGCCACATTCAGAGCACATGTGGAATTCCCTTTTGGCCTGTTTGATAATAGGCGTGGCAGCCAAACAATCTCCGCCAATCTCCGCACCAAACATACGCCCACATGTCACACATGAGTCGTGTATTGTAGCCCCACCGTAAAGACTTAATTAAGTTCATTGTAAGACGTAATCATGTAAAGATCGTCCGGTTCATGGACCCAGTGGCTTGGCTGCGCCCTCGCCCACCCGTCTTGGCGTTATGAGTTGCGTATCGCCATACGTAGTTCACGCGACGCGGTTGCAAAATTTACCCTCTTTCCTTCAAGGCAAGCAGTATGTATACATGAAGCTATAACCATTGCGTTGCCAGCATGGAATAGGACCTACACACTGAGCTTTTGGGTCATCCATTAGCTGCTCAATTCACCAATACATCCTACAATGCCTGACGAGAATCGGCGAACGATTCGCCATGTCCTGAACCAACACCACCTTACACAGCCGTCGGAAGCACAGGCAGTCCATTCATCTCGCCGCATGCCTCTGTGAGTGCCGTCGAACTGCCTGCTGAAATACCTGCTGAATTACCAGGCGAATTCCCGGCCGAATTCTCATTCTCCAAAGGTACGTCCAACGGACCATGTATCCTTGAAGTTTGCAACGACTAATGCTGTATCAACCAGATGCCAGGGTCGAGATTGACTACAACTCTACGCTGGTATACGCGCTTGGGGCACTCTACCACGCGCCTTCCGAGAAAATCCCAGACGTCCCTCCGCCAGAGTATTCTGAAACAGCAAGGCAAAGTTCCTCATGGGCTACCAAACTGAATGTAGTCATTCAAGTCGTCGGCAGTCGAGGCGATGTGCAGCCCTTTGTCGCTCTGGGAAAAGAACTGACAAGACGGGGCCACCGCGTCCGCCTTGCAACCCACGACACCTTTGATACCTTTGTGACAGGCTCAGGCCTCGAGTTCTTCCCAATTGGTGGTGACCCAGCCGAACTCATGGCCTACATGGTCAAGAATCCGGGCCTGATTCCTAGCATGAAAAGTCTCACGGCCGGCGAGAACCAGCGGAAGCGCCATATGATCCGCGAGATGCTCGAAAAGTGCTGGCAGTCATGCCTTCAGCCGGATCCCTTGACGGGCGAGCCCTTTGTAGCGGATGCTATTATCGCGAATCCGCCCAGCTTCGCACACGTCCACTGCGCGCAGGCGCTCGGCATACCTGTGCATTTAATGTTCACCATGCCCTGGAGCAGTACCACGGCTTTCCCACATCCGCTCGCCAACCTCAATAATGTGGATAGCGATCGCAGACTGACTAATTATATCTCCTTCATTGTGGTCGAGTGGATGACATGGCAAGGGTCAGTAGAAACCCATCGTCCGGCGCGCGGAACACTCAAGTTCTAATACAAGACACAGACTCGGCGACGTTATCAACAAGTGGCGAAAGTCTATCGACCTAGAGGAAATCGCCATGTTTGATGGACCCGCGTTGGCGGACACTCTCAAGATACCGTTTACATACTGTTGGTCACCTGCTTTGGTTCCCAAGCCGGCCGACTGGACTTCACACATTGGTCTGTTTTCCCGCACGAGCCCAACTTGACCTCCTCTGGTGGCCAAGGCGTGGCTGACAGCTTATAGACGTCTCCGGTTTCTTCTTCCGCGATGCGCCTCAGTTCACAGCACCGCCCGAACTCGCTCGGTTCCTCGAATCCGGTCCTCCGCCAGTCTATATCGGGTTCGGCAGCATCGTGTTGGACAACCCGAACGAGGTGACATGGACCATTCTCCACGCCGTCAGGACGGCTGGTGTCCGCGCCATTATCTCCAAGGGCTGGTCTGACCTTGCCGGTGAAGGAGACGAGAATATCTATTGGGTAGGAGACTGTCCGCACGAATGGCTCTTCCAGCATGTGGCTGCCGTGGTACATCACGGTGGCACGGCGACAACTGCGTGTGGGTTGCGTAACGGGAAGCCCACCGTCATTGTGCCCTTCTTCGGGGAGTAAGTCATTGCGCAAGGCCACACTGGGCATATGCCTCAGTCGCTGCGGACATAGATTCAAGCTAATCTTCCTCGTGCTAGCCAACCGTTTTGGGGCGACCTGGTGGCTAGAGCAGGCGCAGGTCGCAATCCAATCCCCCATGCGAAGTTGACGGCAGAAAACCTCGCGGAAGCTATTCGGTACTGCCTCTCGCCAAAGGCGTCCGCTGCCGCCGCGTCTCTCGCTGCCAAAATGGAATCCGAAGCCGGGGTGCAAACTGCCGTGCAATCGTTCCATCGTCAACTCCCCTTGGAAAGCATCACGTGCGATCTGATCCCCGGTGAGCCCGCTGCGTGGCTGTACACCAAAGCGAAGCCGCCTCTCAAGCTGTCCAAGATGGCGGCGGAGATTTTGCTCACAAACCACAACTCGGCCATTGCCAAGCACCTGAAGCCATATCATAGCAAACCTATCCACATCCGAACGGAGCGATGGGATCCCATTTCAGGCGGGGCTTCCTCGATTGTGGGAACGGCAGTCGACATCACCGGTTCGATTACTGGTATAGTCACCAAGCCAATGGAAGAATACAAGAACGAGCGCCATCGACGGGCTCGGGAGTTCGAGACGCTCGGCACACCGACGCCATCAACCGAGACGGCCCGAAGCGAGGAAACCAGTATGAGCGACCGCGCATCCGCAACGACTGTTCAGCGCAACAACCCAAAGTCTAGCTCTATAGCAGGCAAGATGGCCGGAGCATCGGCCAAGAGCATGGGCAAGATGTGTTCTGCCACGATCAAAGGCGGCCTAGTTGATTTCCCACTGGCCATCACCGAGGGGTTGAAATCAGTACCTGGGTACCACAATGGCGGTGTCCGCGACCATGGGCCCGCGACCGGCTTCAGGAGTGGCATGACCATCGCGGGAAAGACGTTTGCCTGGGGCTTCATCGATGGCTTTGGCGACCTCGGCATGCAGCCGTACAGGGACGCCAAGAAGGAGGGTGCTCTGGGGGCCGTCATGGGATTCGGCAAGGGGGTGGTGAACATGATTGGTGAACATGATAACCAAGACCAGCGCCGGCGTCCAACTGATCGACGTTGAAAGATGCGCCCGTTTTGTTAACGGTTATGTGACATAACGGTACTGTGGATCATCGCTCGTGGATAACAACCTCCAAAAACGGAGATCATGGGCGTCTATTCTAGATGCCTGTTCTTCCACTTCAAGCTGTCAGCATCCTGACAGCAAAGAGTCCTGAGGGGCTGATTAGTAGTTGGGTCGGTGACGACCAGCGAATACCGGCTGTTGTATGTTTTTTTGCTCTGCTTCCTTTCTCTTGACCTACAACGGGCCGAGCTTGCTTGTGACGTGAGTCCATCCTCAAGTTCATGCCAAAGAGATATTGTACATGCCGCCAGGCGGTGAAATTGTAGGGCCTTTTATTAGTGGCTTTCTTAAATACTAGTTGAAGTTCTTTCCCAAGTAACTACCTAAGACTAGGTCTTCCTGCCACCCTTATCGTTATCGAGTTCACTCTGCACACTTTCAAAAACATCGACTTCGAACATGCCCGAATTGAAGAGCGGCAAGAAATCCTCAAACATGCAGGCCGGCTTGCGCTCGAGCTCCAATTTGGTGTGCCTGCTCAACCCGGCGCAATAGCCCCTGCGAGGCCACTTGTCACATATGGCCTTCACTTCATCTTCATGTACAAAGGCATTGCTGAGCCCCGGGAGACCGTGCCCAGCGGCGAGCACGACGAGCGCAAGGGTGAAATTGCAGTGCGAGCTGAAGCCCCTGAACTCGATGATGCGTCGAGCAATGGACTAACATGCCTCGTCCGCCCACCCGAGAAGCAGCTCCGGCGACCGTCCGGCCGCGACCAAGTCCTCCTCCTGCGCCAGAATCCACTTTCGCGCCATGATGCCGCCCCAGAGCTCGAGCGACATGCGACTCTTAAGGCTGTCTTTTGCATCGAATCCCATCTCGCGGAGGACACGTGCGAGGAAGATCAACTCTCTGTGGATACCCAGTTCGCGGGCCTTGTCGCCTCCATCCCAGCCTGCATGGTTCGGAATGGCGAGCGCGGATGCGTAGGTGCGGAAGGCGTGGTTGCCCATCCAAGTTGGAAGGTATTCTCCAACAAAGGCTTCTGCCTTCTTGCAAATGGCTGAATCAGGAACGCTGAAGAACCCGGCGCCTATCGGAGTAGGAGGCAGCGCGTTGAGGGATGCGACGTGCTCAAGAAGTGGTGTCGGAACGGCAGACATGGCTGATCTGCTTGGAGGAGGATCGGACGTACTAATCGACGTCTACTGTCGCAAGAAACAGTGATGGCTGTCGAACCTCGCCGCGACCCCAGTGGGGCTGTTGTGCTTTTATCTCGGCTCGTCGCACAAGGCCATCAGAACGACCCCCTATCGAGCGGGTACCCAACTACCAATGCATCTGCCTTGGATCTGATCATGTTCGTATTGACAGAGAATGATCAATGGGGTGATTGGGTGCCTGGAAAGGGGTGACAGACTGATGATGGTGGCGGATGGCTCTGAATCAGGGGGCGCCTTGATATCGTGCCCCATAGCTCATTCAAGTCGGAACAATGGATGAACAGTGCTATTCTGAATTTGAGGCCATTAATAATACCTACCTCATCTCCTCTGAAGCCGGCAATCTTGTCGTTTCACACTCCGGCCGGTATGGGTCTGTCGGAAGCTCAGTATCATGTTACTTTGGGGTGGCGTCGGACTTGGGATCCGACAGCCGATGCGGCCATCCAAGGTCATGACAGCTTGCAGTGGTTTTCTCAGGCTTATTATGACTTCTAGGGCCGAAGATCTTGAAGACTTTCATATTCAGTGATTTAGATAGTATGTATAAACCCATGTCTAGAGAGCACAGCCCCGTGAACTTGAAAAAGCACCGTCGATGCTGCACTGCTCCTTCAGAGCTTCACCGTGTCCCACAACATTCCGATTACTGGTGCCTCTGGCTACCTGGGCGGTACGCTTATTGAGCAACTGTCGCACACGACCCTTCCCAGTCATGGAACCATTTTTATCCTTGTTCGGTCGGAAGCACATGTCACTGTCGTGCAGAAGTACGGCCTGACCCTGTTGACATTTGACCCAAATAGTGCAGAGGCCGTCGAGGTGCTCGTCGAAAAGGAAATCTCTGTCGTCTTTTGGCTTATCGATGCCGTGAACACTGTTGGTCAGCCGGGCTTTATAACAGCTCTAGCCAAAGTGAGGCAGCGCACGGGACAAGACGTCCATTTCATCTACGTGAGTACCGCGCGATACCTGGTTTTGCACTCGGTCGTTCGTATGTACCGCTAGGTCGTAAATAATTGTAGAGAACAGACGAGCGGCGCCAATATGTTCTCCTGTTGGACCGACGCCCATGTTTACCGGCCGCTCTTTGACACGGACGACAACCTGTACGAGATCCAGAAGGAGCAGGGGTCACAGCAAGCTCACCAAACCTTCAACAAGCTCCTGCAGAGGGGCGTCTCCACGAACATCCTGATCATCGACCAGGCTGCAACCCACGGGGTACGTAGGTATATTGTCATTCCCACCATTGTTTGCGAGTGCCTACCGAATCAATCTCTCGCTACTTTCGCCGCTGACCCGTGTGCCAAATCATAGACGGCAAAGGCCAGGGCTTCGGAAATCCCATTTCCATCCAAACGGTTGCCCTTATAAAAGCTGCAAAGGCCTTGCAGAAGGTGTGCCGTTTTGACGCGGAGGGAACGGTAAGATTTCACATAGGTTCAGTAGGAGACGCACAACTGGAGCTGCGACACTGACGAACTTTGATAGGATTGGCCCATTAGCCACTTTGACGATACTACCAGCCAGTACAGGGCCTCCTTCGGAGTATCTTGGCCGGGGAAAACCGCGGACACGGAAGAAAAGGGCTACTATCTAGACGCTTCTCGCAACGTGGCCTTGGACGATATGTGTGCGTCCGTGGCAAAAGCGCTGTACAAGCGAGGTATTTTTGATTCTCCCGAAGTATCCATGGCCGATGGCAAGGACATGGAGACGATTGCACAGACACTTGGAAGTCCAACTTGGCACGTATCCAGCGATTTTGGCGGGAAGTAGGTACAAAGGCATCCCTCTGTGTTGTCTAAGTACTTTCGCGTCTTCAGCAGCTAACGAAAGTCGTAAGTGTTTTCTCACAACAAAGAATGGCGAGAATCTGGGATGGTTCCCCAAGGGCCCAGCCCAGGACATTGTCGATACGGCTGACGAGGAGGTGGAATTTGTCTTGCAGTATATTTAGGCGGACCCGGACTAGAAAGAAGAGCATAGACTTGGAGCCTTGCGCACCGACACCAATACATCATGATGAAGAGCACTGTGGCTGTCCTTTCATGCCTTGAGCGCAGCTTGTACTTTCTTGCCTTAATACTAGTGGAATGATTACTAGTACTTATAACATCTCGGCACCCCTCGCTCTGGATCTGACATATACTTGATTCTCACTGCATCATGAGCGCCGTTTACACCCAAACGCGCCAGGTGATACGCAACAACAACCTCAAGCCGACCATGTCGCTGGGAGAATGTGTCGATTTCAAATATTTAATCGGGTGCTCCTATTAAGCCGACTGCTTCCTCACCTCAACCTCAATCTCAATCTCAATCTCAATCTGCGGGAGCGCCAACCTCGGCAAGGCCGGTGAGCGATGCGGCTCTTTAGCTTCTTGACCGTCAAGTCAAAGGACGCGCCAATGTTGACGTGGTATGTGCGTATAAGGTACACGTCCTCCCAGACGCGCAAGCCGGCGGCCTGCAGAACGCGGTCGACGTTCTCAAACGTGAGCTCGACCTGGCCTGCCACGTCGTTGGCGTCCATTTTGCCCGTCTTGTCCCATCCGCCCTGGCCGGCGCATTTGGCGACGTCGCCGAAGACGAAGGCCTGGGAGTAGTGGCACATGTCGCTGTGCTTCTGGCCGGGGCCGGCGTCGTTGAAGTATTGCTCGTTGGACATTTGAACAAAGGGGTGTTTTCGGGCCTCAACGTAGTGATACTCGCTCGATAGGATACGTCACATACTTCTTATTCCTCCTCAAGATCCAAAACTTCTTCGTGGTCACCGTGGCGCTCTACTTTGTCATGCTTGTTTCGAGCCTCGCCGTGTTCGTCTTTGTCGGAACAACTAGCCGTCGCCCTCTGTTGATTGGCGGAATGGGATCAATGACTGCCATCCTACTAGTAATTAAGCCCTGCTAGCTGCCAAGATGTTTTGAGATTACATGCATAGCTGATAGTACTGCATAGCTGATAGTACTGCATAGCTGATAGGACTGCATAGCTGATAGGACTGCATAGCTGATAGTACTGCATAGCTGATAGGACTGCATAGCTGATAGGACTGCATAGCTGATAGAAATCGTGGGCTGCGTCATGTCTAGCTTCACCGTCTAGGTGATTGTAATGTGCATCTTCCTGTGGGATGTGTTTGCACCTGTCTTCCGCGGGAGAAATGGCTGTGCTGACAACCTGTGCAATCACGGCCGTCGCCTACCAGATGACCATTGGTGCCGCAGAGTTCACGTAGGCGAGAGAGATCCCCTCCGCCCTATCACCATGACTTTCATCGGATTCTGCCAAGGGTTGTTGTGAGTACCAACACGCCATACCGTCAAGCCGACTCAACCCTCTATTCACAAGCACAGCGGCTGGCTGATGGGCTTCATTTCCCCCTACATGATCAACCCTAACGCCGGAAACCTCGGCGCCAAAGCCGGGTTCGTGTTTGCCGGACTGATAATGATGCTTACCATCTTGTTCTTCTTTGTCATTCCCGAAACCCGTGGCGTTGATTATGAAGAGGTCACCTCCCCCCCACCACCACCAAACCGACTGACTCTAATCCCTTTCACGAACCTCTAATCCCTTTCACGAACCTCTAATCCCTTTCACGAACCTCTAATCCCTTTCACGAATCTCTAATCCCTTTCACGAACAGTGTGAACTCTCGCAAGTTCACTGAGGTTGTCGGCCAACTTCGGCAAACTAGCGACGTCAAGGTCATCATCGAGGAGACTTCCGCAAGGTGTCTGCGTAGGCAGCTAGAGAACGAAACGAAACAAGGGCGGAAGCCGTGCTCCTGATGCAAAAAGGAGACACATGGCTGATGCACTTACCCTCGCCGGAACCTATTTTGTATAGCTATAAGCTGTTCCTGACGGATCTCCTTATCCGCTACAAACTGCTAGGCAAAAATCTCTAACCCAATCTAGGTGTTACTTCCGTCGTTCTCGTTAGTAAGGTTATATGGATTAGCATGTTGGTGTTCGTTGAGGTCTCAAGTGCCTGTTGGCTTCGTCGAGTATGTCCCTCTCTGCGAAAACGTAGCCGTACTTGGTCGCCTTGAGGGTGTGGTTGTGCAATAACAGCATCAACGTGCTGTAGGATCTTGGCCATTTGCTGCTGCAAATAGTCGGCGCTTGGGCGGGAGGGAGACGCCCTCGAGAAGTGTGTCAAGGGCTATATGTTGGTGGCTCGAATTCGGAGCGGAATGGGCTGCTGCTCGAGTATTCCCGTACTTCGCCCGGCGGCCCGGCCGTCTCCAGGCTCTCGCTCAGTCCAGCTTGTCGGCCATACAGATCAATTCAATGTTGCTCCAAGGGATGGCCATAGCCCGCACGACCCTTGTCGGCAGCCCCCTTCGGCATCCTCCATCTGACCACAGGCTACAGCCGTGCTCTGCCCTGACCCAAGTGATGCATCCTCCTTCCGCACCAACACCAATTGCCAGCCCGTGAACCGGGCTTATTGCTGCAGGATACCCAGCATCTATCTCAGCTAAAACACACGGCCCTGTCCCCGAGTACTAAACGACTAGGCACTCTCAATCTCGACGCTAACGTATCTAATTGAGGCACCATCATCTCGCGGATACAATTCTTCGACGGCACAGCGGGGCTGGGCTTGAGAAGTAACGAACGACCTGCGTGGGCCAAAGTGCTGGGAAGGGCGCAGCTCAGCAACACCTACTTAGGTAACTAGTGGTGAGCCTTGTGGCCGTGAGCGCCATGGATCCTCCGTACCATCCATCCGAGGCGACGCGACAAGCGAATGCGGACCGACCGTCAGCGTACGAACAAACCTCCTACTACCAGTCGCAGAATGGTCCTCGTCCACCTGCTCCGGGTCATTACCACCACAATCAACAATACGTGCAGCAACCTCCAGCGTACCCTTCATCGGACATCCCGCCGCAATATCTTCCACCACTTCACAACGTCATACACAGTGCTCGTACGCAAGATGCGCGTTACCAGCAAGCACAGTCGCGGCCGCAAGCACAGCCGAACTTGCAAACGTACGCGCATACAGTGCAGCCGGTGCAGCAGGAACCGCCACCTGGGAGCAGTGGTGTGCAGGTAGACGAAGAAGACGCCACGTCCCTGCCCGAGGCGCACACCAATTGGACGTACAAGTCAGTCACCGGCCCTAGAGCGGGTTGGATCTCCGGCTGACAAGAGTCTCAGGCTAGAAGTGAAGCAACAGCCGGCCCGAGCACGCATGTGCGGCTCTGGAGAAAGGGTGAGCCCTGGACCTCCCTCATGTGCTTGGACGTTGAGCAGGGGCTAATACGCAGACCAGGACCGAAGACCACTTTCACCGCCGCCGTGCATACGACTGGCCATCTTCGATCAGGACGGTCTCGAGATCAATTACGAGTCAGTCAAGTGCGCGGACCAAGGGCATCAAGGCAACGGGGCACTGACTGTGGCCGTCTAGCAACATCGACCCTTCCCTGTTCATTATTCTCGTCGATTTATGGAACGTGGACTGTACACAAGAGATGAATCTCACTTCTGCGGTGACGAACTCTACCAATGATTCGGGGATCACCACACCATCCACAACGTACATGCCCCTTGGGAACGAGCCGGCGTCTCTAGGCTACCAAAACCCCGCGCAGGCTTCAATGCGAGACGTCACGTATGGCGGACATCAATCCAATGGCTATCCTGCAACAGAATACGCAATGCAACCCAACCCCGTGGATGGTACGTCTCGTATGCCTTTTTGTTTGTAAACGATCGTCGTCTGATATGGCAAGCCCATCCACCTAGGAACTTGAACGGGGGGTATAGCCATTCACCCATGCTCCCTTCTCAACAGTATTACCTCCCTTCGGACTATAGACCTGTGCCGCCGAGTCTCAGCACATTGCCTACGCAGGGCTACGACACGCCGACCGGATACGGAGAAGGCAGCGGCTCATCTGTCGCTCAGATACCTGGGAAGGCCTCCAGCAGATATAACTTGGTCGGGAACCGCGCAGTGACTGCGTTTATCCTTCGAGACACGGAACAGCGGCCTGGCGTCTGGTTCATCCTTCACGATCTGAGCATTCGCCATGAAGGGTTCTACAGGTAAGTCAGCGCCTTTGGTTGGGTGCGCGTACTGGACTGACCTTGGTAGACTGAAATTCTCCGTTGTTCACATGCTTAGACCTGGCGCTAGGCACAAACAGGAAGCCAACATCACCAAAGAGCGAACACCCATCCTCGTGTCGTGCTTCAGTCAAGCATTCCAGGTCTGGTCCGCGAAGAAGTTCCCAGGCGTGAAGAAAAGCACTGCCCTAAGTAAGGTATTTTCTGATCAAGGGATCAAGATACCCATTCGGAAAGGTGGCGAGGGTAGCGACGACGAAAACCAAGCTGAATAAACTGCTGTGTGGCGCTTTCTCGCCTGCTCAAGGAAGTTGCTGCCATTTCTCCAAGATGGAAGCGGGTACAGTCAATGTGGTTGCAACGATCTGTCTCCCTAGGAAGTGAAGACGAACAGCATGTGTCTAGGCATGACCGAAGCCGTACCATGTGACATGTCAAGGATGCGGGTTACTAGCGCATTTTGAAGAGGAGCCAGCGCGGTTCCCGGAGGCTGGGCATTGGAAACGGACTGGCTCGCTCCTCTGAACAGTACGCTGTGCTCCTGACTTTGCGCCAAGCCCGAGTGAGGTTCGTTTGCATTGGACACGGTAATACCACCTGCCACGCTCGAGCAACACCATGGGATGAGGGCCGAGGCCGAATGAAAGTTGGACGAGGCTCGGGCCCAAGCTCAATCCAAGGATCGATCGACCCGCATACCGCCCGACGCATGGCAATTTTTAAGGTTATTGAAGGTGAAATCGCGGGGAAAGTGGCTTTTGGTCTGGACTCTGGGCGTTACGTACAGCCATTTTGTAATGACAGTTATGACACCGACTAAAGGGCACGACCCAAACTGAAAACCTCAGCCCAACACCATTTCAGTTTCCGCCACATCCTATTCTCTCTATTTACCTGGGGTCCCGCCAGTTGAGAAGAGCCTTGTCTGAATTCTCAATTCTCTTGAACTTTCTTGCAGAGTACATTCGGCCTTTCCGCGACAGAGTCCGCACGAAATGTCGCAATTTGCTTCGCATGGCCGCGGCGGCGCGGGGAACATGGTCGACCCGACACAGTCCCCGAAAATCCAGCCCTCGGACCTCGAGACGCCGACGCTGAAAAAGGCCGTCGTCACCACGGGTCGTGGCGGCACGGGCAACATGGCCAAGAATACTGATCCCGCCGAAACCCGGTTGCGACAGGACGTCCAAGGGTACGTTACGGACTCGGGGATCCCTTGATTTGTCGGTATGGTGCGACTAATTTCTTCGGACAGTGTTCCTCGTCGCCCTAGCTATGGTGCGCAGCATTCCGGTCGCGGCGGCGCCGGCAACGTGTTCAAAGACAAGGAGGTGAACGCAAAGGCTGATCGCCAGGATACTCCTCCCGAACAAGCCATTCGCGACGACGAAGACAGCACCATCAGCGGCGAAGATGGCGACAGGCTCGAGAAGGCTGAGAAGGCAGCGAAGAAGCACTGGCTATTCGGGAAGGGCAAGGCGTAGTGTGACTTGTGTCCCTGCCTTTAATTTGATTTTGATGTTGATTTTGATTTTTCCAATTACGTCTATTATGGGTTGCTGCAGGAAAGGAGTTCATATGGGTTAGATGAAGGGTTCATCCTCGATAATAAGGAATGTCACAGGACATTAAAGCGTAGTGCGTTGCACTTCCATTCGAACTGCTTCTATCTTGTTTTCCCCTTTTTTGAAAGCTAAGGTCCTTTGGCTCCCTCGCTTCATGAGCTTTTCGTCAGCCGATGGATCTCCTCAAAGTAAAACTTCAAGTTGTCAGGATCAACACCAGGGGTGATTCCTACGCTTTCAGTCAGTGAATAAACTCTCCATGCTCCAGAGAATCACTTACCGTGACCGAGATTGGCGATCCAGCCCTTGTTTCCGCTACCAACCCAAAATCCATCCACCATCTCCTTCACAGCCCTCGTGATGCCCTCCTTGGTCCCGTACAGAATGCCGGGGTCGGCATTGCCCTGGAACGTGACGTTGCGAGGCCCACGGATCTTGACGGCGTCTGCTGGGCTCTGGAGCCAGTCCATGCCAACAACTTCGTAGCCCATGCTGCATGCCGAGTCCAACGCGTGCCATGCGCCCTTTGGGAAAACGATCTTGGGAACGCTATCAATGTTGAGGCTCGCGAGTCTCTTGGGTAGCATGGCGGAGATATGCTTGAGGTACGGCTCCGAGAATTCCTTGTAGGAAGCAGGGCCAAGCTCGCCAGCCCATGAGTCAAACACCTGCACAGCCTGCAACAAGATTAGCACATGGCTGGTCTGCACCGTAGCGTTCTACACCAAGGGCTACGGATGAACCTTACCTGTGCTCCAGCTCGCACTTGGCATGCCAGGTGCTCCACGCAAATGTCGGCGATCTTGAGCAGCATTTTCTTGGAGGCCTCGGGGTACCTGTAGATCCATGTCTTGACCTGCGAAAACAGCTTCGTTCCGCCGCCTTCGACCATGTAGCAGAACAGTGTCCAAGGAGCACCGCAAAATCCAATCAGGGGCACACGGCCGGCCAACTTCTTCCTCGTCAGGGTGATGGCCTTGTACACGTAGTCCAGCTCCTCGGCGACGTTGACGTTGCGCTGCAGCACCTCCTCATACTGGCCGTCCTCGGGGTTCTGGAGCGGGTTGGGGAAATGCGGCCCCTTCTTGTCAATCATCTCCACCACCATGCCCATGGCCTGGGGAATGACCAGAATGTCGGAGAAGATGATGGCAGCATCGATCAAGCCGGCGTAACGCTCAATGGGTTGCAGAGTCAGCGTCGAGGCGACCTCGGGATCGCGGCAGCATTCGAAGAAGTCTCGGCCGCCCTTGGCCTCGTGGTACTCAGGGAGATAGCGCCCAGCTGCCGTTGCACACGACATGTCAGCAGAGCGAGACAACTTGGAGCGGGAAGCGGCAGTGGCACGAACCTTGACGCATCACCCACATGGGCGGTCGCTCCACGACTTGACCTATCCACGACACCATCTCAGCATAGCTCTCTCGAGTACCTCGATGCGCACGGCTGTCCGCACACATGGGAGGGGTCTACCCACCCTGCGCTGCCCGCAGCAACAGGTCATTCTTCAATGGTTCGAATGTCAGCTCCATGGCGTTGAATCGAGGGTCCGACGGGTCGATTACTGAGTGCAAAGGGTCACAGGATAGCCCTTGACCGGTGGATTTTCTCAGAATCATGGACTCGCACCCCGCTATAGAGGAGGGGCACGCGAAGGCCGAGACTGGACGCGCCGGCCGGCCGACATGGGTGACATCTCTCCACATCCCACTCCCGGTGACGGCTAGGCCAGTTTTCCGCCGTACCAAGTAGGAGAAGCTTAATGCATCTATGTACTGTTTGTGGTCTGGCTACCTGCTTGGTACAATTAGCCCCTGATAGAAGGACGCCTTTAGATGTTGTTCAAGCCCGGGCGCAACTTCTGTCCATCTTGACGCTTGCTCTCCCTCAGCATTGAAGCGTTGCCATCCCCAGAAACGAAATTTTGCGAAATCCACTACGCTCAATGACTATACCTCTTCCGAGTGTTCGAAATATCGGTGGACCGCTTTAGTATTACCCAGCCCAATGGCGCATTTTGGCGGGCAGGAATCCAGGCTATGGAGTCAATGTCACGTGACGCGGACTATGTTCCATTGTGGAGCTACGACTTGAAGCTATCGCCAGCCAAGGCCGACCATCCATCCATAGGTCTTCGCCCAAGCAAAGCAGCCTCAGGGACTAGCATCTTTGAAACAGTCGTCGTAGACCCAGAGCAAGAAGAGCAACCCTTTCCGCGTCATTGAAGCACCAGGACCATGTCTATCGAACGAGAAAACCAGATCCATCCGATCGTCACGGAGTCAGTGATACACAACACAAAGGCAAGCACCCCAGACGCTCCACAAAGCGACAGTATCCTGACCGAGTTTAGACACTTTCGAATCTCTACAGCCTCACATCTTCGCTTTTCGGCGTCACGGCCGGTATCCTCGGCCTCGAATCTTACAACGGCTTCCTTCTCTACCTCGTCCTCTCCGTCATTACGACTATTTTCGTCTATGTCGTCAAAGTTCTGCCCGAGTCATTATCTGAAGGGCGATCGATCGGGGACACACAGCGTTTCTTCAAAGGCGCTTTGCAGTTCTGGAGCGGTGGATTGGCGAGCGGCATGCCGGGGTTTGTGCTGACGTGGACGCTATTCTACGGCCTTGTACGGGTATGAGCAGGTTGTCATTGGGCGAATAAAATAATAGTACAAGATTGCAACTACCATACAAACGATCTGCACACACAATGACTACTCCACAATCTCTATGATCCTCCCAACATAACCCTCCAACCCGGTTTTGTCCTGGCTACCACCCTCCAACAGAATGACGGGCGATCCCAGCTCAACCCACTCTCGGTTATGCAACAGCTCCAGGAACACTTCGGCCCCAAATTTGGGGCCCTCTGCACCGCCAGCCACCCCTTGCTCGGGTTCGTCGTTGAGGGCAAAGACATCATCAATGTCGTCATCTGCTGCTCCTGGTCCGGCAGCAGCGTCACGGCGATGATGCGAGATGCCTCGGACGCGCGCAGTCGCTCTCACGCTAGCAACATAGACGTTGACAAACGCACCAACCGCCAGTGAGTTTATATCGGGGTCCTTGAATGTGGCCGTGAACCCGCTCGCGGCCTGCAATGACAGGCCTGTGTTGACCATGTGTTTCGATGGGATGGCAAGCACCATTCCACGCCGTATCCTGGGAGAGTCTTGCGACACGCATTCACAACCTTCTTGCCCAGCTGTGGAGGAATGATTCAGAATGAGACCAATCGTTCCAGCCTGGCCTGACTCAAGAGTCCGGACTGGCAGGCGTAGATTTCTAATGCTCACAATCTCAGCCGTATGCCACTCGCCTGCAATTGTCGAGGCCGACACGGCGTTCTTCATGGCGACTTTAGCCAGCTCCGCGGAGGAGGGATGAGATATCGACAGCCCGTAGTTCCCGGGGGATGCCTTATCCTCGGGTGCGAAGACCCTTGCCTCGTCGTCCTCTGGGGGAAACGGCCCAACCACGATAGAGTCCCCAACGGATAAGTTGCCAAATCGCAAATGACCCGAAACAACAATGCCGCGGTCACGCTTAGCGGCCGCATTGCTGGCAGGTATGCTGTATGATGCAGGCAGTGTAAAAGTGTCGTCGACGTGGAAGAGGACCTTGGGCTGCTCTGGATTCAAGGCCATGCCGACAAAGTCTTCAGATGTTGGTTTTGGTGGCATTGGCAGACTTTGCAACAAAGCATGCAGCAGCCCGATTCCAGTCCCTTTTACGGCGCTAGTGAGAACAATCGGCACATGCTTTGTCAAATCGCCGCACTCCGTGATGCTGCTCACGACACCGCGTATCTTGGTGAGATCCTCGTCGGGGATCCGCAGCAGGCCTGCATGGCCCTTAGCATCAGGCTGCACAATCTTTGGCATCCGGCCGGCTTCCTTTATGGCCGAAAGAATCTTGGACATTGTCTTTTGCACGCTGCTCTTCGACGCAAGGTCCATCTTGGTCACGACAATGGCCATCGGGACACTGAGCTTCAAGGACAAGTCCAAGTGCGCCCTGACAAAGGCTCCGTTGGCAGCGACGGCAGCTGAGACATTCTCCGTTTCCGGCGTGGCACCTTGCTTGTCTTGCTCGAGCTCCTTGTCATCGCCCGCGATGCAGAGAACACTCCAGTGAGGTGCCCAGTTCATGAGACCGCGAAGGACCGTCCTGCGGTATCGAGGATGACCTCCTGAGTCGGACGCAAAAACGAGCCGTCCACCCTCAGCACAACCGTGGATGTCGATCCAGGATTCAATGTTCCTTTGCGCGAAGTTCAGTATGTCCTGGTCCTTGTATCCAATGAGCTCCTGAGCAATGGAGCTGGTAATGCCCGAGACCACCTCATGCCGATGCTTAAGCAGATTGAGACGGCTCTTGCCTCTCCCATTGTCCAGTGCACCAGTGGAAAGGGTTCCGAGTAGACTCGACTTTCCAGAAGTCGTAGGGCCTGTGAACGTGACTCTGAGCTGAGGCGTTCCTGACTTGCCTGTGTGAGGCACGACCATGGCCTCCTCCCGTCCTGGTGTGGTGCTTGCAGATGTCGACCCGGCTTTGTTGTACTCGGTCTCGTCGCCATGGCGGTGTTCGCCACCCAGATCTGGCGTGACGAGAGCCTCCGCAACCCATAAGGGGGCTTCTCTTGGAACTTCTGTCTTCTCCGGCCCAAGAGTGTCGAACCATTCGCAGTCTCCGACAATGACCATGCGCAGTACCTCTACAGAGCAACCAAGACTAGCGGCCATGACTCGAAGCGTCTTGATACTCTCGTCCATCTCATCTTTCGTGAGTCCAACAAGAGTCCCATCGTCAGAAACGCCTATCTCGTACAAGGCACCTCTTGACTCTTCGAGGCCAGGTAGGAGACTTGCCTGGCTCTTGACCCGTTCCAAGTCGATATCGTTGCCCGGCAACCTTGGCAGTGTGATCTCCTTGGAGCTTGATACATGATAGGGGGAGGACTGCTGCAGCCGCCACAGCAACTGCGTGGTCAGCTGGAGCAACCGCTGCTGGCGGGGCTGGCTTGCTGCTGCATGCGTTCCATCCGACGTAGGCTCCCTTGGTCGTCCCGCATACGACCCGACAGACCTTGAGGCTGTGGTCATGGACTTGTAAGCTCTACGGGGCCGCAAAAGCAGGTGGAGCTTGTACTCGGTGGGCCCATCTTCGGGCTCGGCTCGAAGTTTGGTGACTCCGTAATCCGACAGCAATCCAGCGTGCGGGGCCGTGCCTGGCTTCGACTTGACGCTGTCCCCATCCTTGGACTTACCAGAGTCCGTTGGTATCAGCCACGGGGAGGCAACCTTGGGAGGGTTGGGATCCCAAGTGAAAATAGACGCCATTTTGATCTCGCAGCGTAACGCTTCCTCAATTGATTCGTATTGTTCTCGTGGTTTGCCGTTGACCCATGCTTATTGTATAACGTGTACAATTCCCGGTGACTTTGCGTAGGTGATTGTTTCTTATCATCTTGATGAGGTAGACCCAATGTCGGAATGTAGTGGTCCAGATCAGGATTGACGTGGGAGGTGAGGCGTGGTTCATGTATCAGTGATATAGCTAGATCATGTCGGTGAGTCAACACTCCCGTCGGCGGTGGCTCATATGATAACGAAGAAAGGAACAGAACGCCACAGTAACGACTTGCGCCAGACACGTAGATTGATACGCGAGATGAGAGACACGCGGATCAAAAGGGTTCAGGGAGAGACGTAGAAGAGGCGATCACGGTAAAGAAGACTGGTGAGTTCGAGTTGGAATCGGCGAGACTCTGTGTCGTCGAATGGTGAGATCACGTTCATGACTGAACAATTAAGCGTACTCAAATAGGCTTAGCGAGAAGAAGCGGCCGCTTCCAGACTACCCTACGTCGACGCCGACTAAGACTGGTTGAGCCCAAGGTGCTGTATTCGGCGTCGCGGAGGCTCTGTGTACCCGCTCAGTACATTAGATAATTCTGAATAACGTGCACTGAATCAATGGTGCAGGACGTGTGAAGAAATGTGAGTCAAGTTGAGCAATGCCGTATTATAACGTAATCCACAAGCGAGTTAACCTATCCTTGACATAAAAAATGGCGTAGCGTGCACAGGGAGCCACACCTCGAACAGATATTCATTGCACAATATGCTGGCTTGTATGAATACAATTGATTCAAATGGCCTAGTGATATGTTGAAACCAAGTTACCCGGTCTACGGACTGGACCTTGCGAGAGCTACTGCAGGTTGCAAATACATTGCGCTATGCGCAGCCTCCAGTTCGAAACTGAGACCTTCAGCAAGCGGCCGGAACTCGAGACACCAGTCTCACCCAATGGTCCCTGAATGTGGGGGATTCATCACCTACCCAACTCTCATCCTAAAGCGGCGCAACAGAGCATTAAATAAAGCATATCTGGAGCAGACACAGCCTGCAGGTGTGCAGAACAGGTTCAAGGTCCCGAAACGCTGATATTCAGCACTGCTGCAGCGGGTGTCTCACTAATAAAGGCAAGGTACAGGTACCTTACGCTCTGCCTCCAGTCGTGGTATCCCCAGCGGCTTGCATCGCCACAGCCCAGCCTAGTCGGATCAGGCACCTTTCGGACAGTTTGCGTGTCCCGGCCATCTCGACCTCTTCTCTCCTCCACACCACGATCCTGCTCTAGTCGCACGGTCACTCAATCACCATTATTCGACAGAGGCACGCAACATGGGCAAGTTCAGCTTTGGCAGCAAAAAGGGTGGCGACGAAGACGATGGCGGTCGCAGCAGCCTGTTCAGTCGAAAGAAGTCATCCCCTGCCCCTCAATCCGACAACCCGTACGCTCGACAACCCTCCCAAGCTGATCCATATGCCGACCCGGCGAAGATGACCGCCTATCAAAAAGCTCGAGCTGGCCTCGACCGACCGGCAGGGCCCCAAGGAGGCAATGGATCATACGATGGAGGACCTTCTGGCGCACCTCGCCCTCAAGCACAGAACGCGTATTCGTCATCCTCATCTTCGCCAGGGCCAAAGAGTGGCGGAGGGTACGGCGCACCCCCTCCTCAACAGGGATATGGCAGTGATCGCTATGGCTCCGGTGGTGGATACGGCGGCAATCGATACGAAGCGCCCTCGCAGAACCAGTACAATGCCCCGGCAGCCGGTGCTAGAGGCCCTGGCGGCTATGGAGGTCTTGGTTCAGTGAGCAACGAGGAGCCCGATAGCAATCGTGACGCACTCTTCTCGGGAGCTCAGGAGCGCGCGCAAAGACTGCCGCCGCAGGCGCACGATCCGCCCCCGACTTATTCACAGGCTGGCGACGCCCCGGCCGGTGGTGATTACGGGGGCTATGGCGAGCAAAGGGAGCTCACGGCTGAGGAGCAGGAAGAGCAAGAGTACCAGGCCATCCTGGCGGAGAAGAGGAAGGTCCAGCAGGAGAGCGCCGGCTCCGTCAATCGCTCTCTCTTGGTCGCACAGCAAGCCACTGAGGTTGGGCAAGCCACCTTGGCTCGCCTCGGAGCACAAGGCGAGCGCTTGTACAACACCGAGAGGCACCTCGATCTCGCATCGAACCAGAACAAGATTGCGCAGGATAGGGCAGCCGAACTCAAGACGCTGAACCGCAGCATGTTTGCGGTCCATGTGGGCAACCCCTTCACTTCCAAGCAGCGACAGATGAAGGCGGACGAGGAGGTCCTCGATCGCCATCGCTCCGAGCGGGAGCAGAGGGAGGCTACACGTCGAGACGGCTATGCCGCGAACCAGCGGATGGAAAGCAATTTCAAAGATGTGTCGCGCGGGCCACAAGTTCGTCGGACTGGCAACAAGAACTACGGCAAATATAACCTTGACGACGAGGATGACGAAGCACGGCAGCTGGAAGACCAGATCGACGATGGTATTGATCAACTCAGTGGCCAAGTCCACATGATGAACCGCATTGGTAAGGCCATTGGTCAAGAGGTCGACACCCAGAACTCGCAAATCAACCGCATTATGGACAAGGTAACGCCCCGCCCCTCAAATGATTGTGACAAGGTGCTAACGGCCAAACTAGAGCGATGCTGTAGACGATCAAACAAGGATGAACAGAGAGCGCCTAGCTCGTATCAAATAGAGATGTTCACTTTACACCAGATTCAGCATTGGGAACTACGCGCTTGCGCGGCCGTCTCTTGCGGTAGCTGGATCGATCACTCGCTGGCTCGTCATAAGCATTCGCATATTAATACACTCAGGGGTTTCCTTGCCGCTGTATATACTACATAGCTCGGAAGTGTCTGGCTCAGACGTACCATGCTGCTTTGGATATGGAAGCTCCCCAAATACGGTGATAAAAAGCCTCATGGCTCACCTGGTGAATGGTCATTTTTCGTCAGTACTAGAATGCCAATATGTAGCAATTCCAAACTAAACTAGAGCACGCCGCTTCAATGCAAATGAAGTTTACACGCTGACAGGTCCCGGCTAGGCGGCCGGGCCCCGGGCCCGCCGCCTGTTGATCACGTGTGCCGGCGTCAGTCAGAAAACAGACATCCAGCACCAACATGAGGACCACCAACTATTATTATATACGGTCTCACCGTCTCCATCACCCACTGGACCCGACATCATGGCGCCATCTGCCAAACGCAGGAAAAATCTCGACCCTTTGGCCCAAGCTATAGCCAATTTCGCAAATGCGCCAGTCGTAAAGCGTGCGCCGCCAACAGTGGCCCCAGAGGCTACTGCGCCTGCGCCTCCAGATGTAGCAGCGGTGCCTTCACCGAGACAGGCCTCAGCGACAGTGTCCAACCCAGGCAAAGCACACGCGCACAACCCTAGGCGAGACCGCAAAGCCAATTCCGCAGCAGCACCATCAAAACCGCAGGCTGACATCCGTAAAGCCCAAGATGAGCTCCCCATCGCACAGTACCGTGGTGAGATACAGCGGGCGGTGCGCAATTCCGAGGTTCTTGTCCTGATTGGTGAAACGGGTTCAGGAAAAAGTACCCAAGTGCCACAGTATCTACACCGTCAATCATGGTGTAAGCGCCGGAAAGTCAAGATTGGGACTGAGGAAGTCAACGTGGGCGGTATGATTGCAATCACCCAGCCACGAAGAGTCGCGGCCACAACGCTGGCGCACCGCGTCGCTCGCGAAGAGGGTACACCGCTGAAGCCTGGAGAGCGGGACGGGACGGTTGGTTACTCGGTGCGGTTCGACCACAAGGTTCCGCGTGGCACGCGGATCAAGTTTCTCACCGAAGGCATGATCTTGCAGGAGTTGCTGCGAGATCCCAACCTGAGAGACTACAGCGCTATCATTGTCGACGAGATCCACGAGCGCAGTCTGGACGTTGATCTACTCGTGGGGTTTCTGAAGCAGATGCTTGCTGGGGACAACGCGGGTCGTGGGGGTATCCCCCTGAAGGTCATCATCATGAGTGCTACGGCCGATGTGGAGGTCATCCAGTCATTCTTCCGGGACATATACCCTGAAGAAAAGCAGTCGGAGGCTATCCAGGTCCTGAGGATCGAGGGGCGGCAGTATCCCGTACAAACTTTATACGAACCCGAGCCTGTAACCAATATCAACGACGCACTGGTCGACATGGCGCTCAAGGTTCACACTCAGGAACCATTTCCAGGAGATATACTAGCTTTCTTCATTGGACAAGAAGAGATCGAATCGGCACAGAAGCTCATCGAGCAGCGCGCGGCTGAGCTCGCGTCGAATGTACCGAAAATCAAGGCTGTTCCCTTGTACGGGCAGTTGTCCATGGAAGCCCAAAAGGATGCCTTCATGCCGGTCAAGGCCCCCTTCACCCGCAAGATTGTGCTGGCAACCAACATTGCCGAGACGTCAGTGACAGTACCCGGTGTCAGATACGTGATTGACTGCGGCAAAGCCAAGGTCAAGCAATTCCGAACGCGCTTGGGTATGGAATCACTTCTCGTGAAACCAATTTCGAAATCGTCAGCGATTCAACGAAAAGGCCGTGCTGGCCGTGAGGGACCGGGCAAGTGCTTCAGGCTCTACACGGAGGAAGGTTATGAGGGTCTGCGCGAGGCTGATCTACCTGAAATCTTGCGAAACGACGTGCTCGGCGCTGTCTTGACGATGAAAGCCAGGGGTATCCAAGATGTGATCAACTTTCCCTTGATCGACCCTCCGGACATTGAAGCTATCAAGAGGGCCATGTTTCATCTCTACTTCCTCGGTGCTCTGGATCAGAATGGCCAGCTCACATCTGAAGGCTCTCATATGGCGAGATTGCCATTGCCAGCGCCGCTCGCCACTGTTCTCCTGGCCGCGCCTTTGCCCGAGTACGACTGTCTTCTTGAAGCCATTGACGTGGTGTCTCTCATCACGGCCGGCGGCGATATCTTCTTGCAGCTGCAATCAGAAGAGGAGCAAGAAGAAATTGGCGAGGTGCGCAGTGAGCTTCACCGCCGTGAAGGCGATATCATTACGCTTCTGACGACCATGCAACGCTACACGTCAGAGAACACCGACAGGAACGCTTGGTGTCAGGCCCGCGGGATCAACGGACGCAACATGCGGCAAGCCCTGAACATCCGACGACAGCTGCGCGATCTCTGCGTTAAACAGAAGCTCCTGGCTGATAAGCCACCTGCCGATCCCCAGCCATTCGTACCTGTATCGCCTGACCGAGCCGAGAACATAATCAAATGCTTCCTCAAGGGCTTCGCCCACAAAGTGGCTACATTGCAGCCAGACGGTACCTACGCTACAGCCGAGGGGAAGCACACCGTAGCTATACATCCGTCGAGTGTGCTCTATGGCAAGAAGAAGGAAGCCATCATGTTTCTTGAGCACATCTACACCACCAAGAATTTTGCTAAAAAGGTCAGCGCTATTCAAGGCGCGTGGATACTGGAGGCAATGGAGTCTAGATATTTGTGACAGTGGGTGATGAATGAATCATAAACGTCATAAATTATGTGCCCAACTATGAAGGTTCATTCACTGTTGCTTGTGGCTTGCTATAATGGCTGAGGAAATGTCCACTCCGCTCCGTATGCAATCAACTATACACAATCCTACATGCCTCCTATGTCCAGGTCAAACCCTTGGATGGCCACGTTACGAGCTCGACCCGTCGTCATCCGACCCGCGCTTCTGAATCGCCTGCATGAGTTCGTAGAGTTGGTGGACCTGCTCGTCCGACAACTTCTGCAGTTTGCCCTCTTCAATCTTCTCACCCTTCCATGAATCACCTTCGACTTTCTGTGCGTATAATTGCCACTCTGTGAGGAACCCAATCTGTGAGACGTTAGGGGATGGGCGCTTGCCATTAGATGCGTCGCGTTGTTGGGAAACAATACCAGATGGGCGGGATTGTCCACCTTGCGATGCGCCCGGAATTCTGCCTTGATGTATTCATCGCCCAGCACGCGCATCTCGTGAGGCAAGTGTTTTCTGTGCGCGCGGAAGAGACGACGATACAGTGGCATGGGCGGCAGCAGTGCCATTGGACTGGGTTTGAAGCCAGAGGCGGCTGTCGCGGCTGCCTGCCGAGCAAGAGATGAGCGCATTACCACGAAACTAATTCCTTTCTGTAGGTAGGTCGACGTTATGCGAAGGCGGAAATCGCAGGTTGCCAGCAAAACTGAGGGTGATGGTGAGGCGCACGCGATGATGGCGTTGATGAGACGTTCGATTTTTGGCCCCACAATCTTCAGGCAAACACAGTGTCGCAAACCTCGGCGTCAAGACTCAAAACAGTTCGAATGAAATCTCATCCTTGAATCAGACCACCTCTGACCATGGCATTCTCTTTCGGCTTCTCAGGCGATGATATAGATGGCGTGAGCGATACGCCCGCGCCACCGCCTCCGTCAAAACCGAGCGCCTTCCCCGTGGCCGGAAGACCACAACTTCCACCAACCCATCATGACCTTCCGGCCTTGCTCTCAACCTTACCTTCCAAGATTGCTTTTAGTAACTTGAATGTCAGTCTTGATGATGGAAGCTCGATGCAAATTCCCCGTCGAGAGCTCTGGGATGTGAGGATCCAGCTGATGGCTGAGGATGAGGGTCAGGCAGAGGGCATGGAAGGGCTGGGAAGCCACGATGTAAAGACGGGCGTTTATGAGGGCGGCTTCAAGAGTTGGGAGAGCAGTCTTGATCTAGTCAAGGTACTGGCATCGGGAAACTACTTTTCCAATGACGACGACGCGCCTGTGCGCATAATCGAGGTGAGACTTGCCAAACAACCATCAGTCTTGACACGCAGTGACTGATCAGCAACAGCTTGGTTGCGGTACCGCCCTACCCTCACTGGCAATGTTCCAATGGTCCCACGCATCTACATCGGAGTCCCCGAGACGGATCTCCTTTGTGATAGCTGACTACAATCCTACCGTTCTCCAGCTCGTCACGCTGCCCAACTTCGTCCTCAGCTGGGCCCTCACACAGCAAGCCACCATGCCGGCTCTGCAGGACGCATTCGCCGAGGACGGAGAGCTCGAACTCTCGCGGGAAGTCATTGACGCGTTCCAAGAATTTCTCACATCTCGTGGTATCAGCTTGTCCTTCCTGTCAGGAGGCTGGTCCGAGCAGTTTGTCGACCTTGTCTACGGGCATGCTCCACAGAAGGATGCGTCATCTGCCCTTATCCTTGGAGCAGAGACGATTTATTCTCCATCAGCATTGCAAGCCTTTGCGGAGACCACGCTATCTCTCCTTGAACGCGAGCGGGCTGCTGGTACTGCAAAGGCAGTGGCCCTGGTGGGTGCCAAGCAGCATTACTTTGGCGTCGGAGGGTCACTCGAGGACTTTGTGATCGATGTCCAGGGAAGAGGAGCTATAGTGGAAAAATTGAGAGAAGAGACAGCCGGAGTTAGGCGTGGGGTTGTCAGCTGCACACTCCGAAATGATTTTTAAGGGGTAGTAATTCGCCGTGGAAATTAAAAGACAAAAAACAACCAGACGTTCCCAATGTGCAATCGCATTCATGGTATGACAGGCTATATAGTACGCCTAAACATGCGAGCGAGGGTATCAGCCGTGACGAACGCCGAGGCACGCCGACCTCCCGATCCCAATTCCCAACATAAAAACCATTGCTGGGTCCCCATGACCATCTGCCGCGGCCTCACCTCCCTTTCCTAAATTTCTCAGAGCACACGGGGCAGTACCAGGTCCCGTTCGGCTCGCTTTTGAGGCCAACACAGGACCAGTGAAACCATTCATATGGACAATCGTCGTTGTCGCACGCAACCATGTCGCCATGGCTTACATTGTTGCACAGGCAATATTTCCGGTCATCGTTACCATCGTCCTCGTCCTCGTCCGCATCCAGAACAGCGTCGTCGCCGTCGGCATCTTTGCCATCACCAGCCGGAGTCCCCCTTGAGCGGTGCTCGCCATCGTCAACGTCGCTCCCGCTAACAGCATCAGAGAGGTCACTATCCGCTGTAGATGCCGGCGAGTTCCTGTTGGAGGCCTTCTTGACCCGCGAAAGCGATGATTTGCTGGCTGCTTTTTTGCGTACGACTCCGATAGGTGTTCCACGTCGCGAGCCACTGCCCGCCGTTGTTTTTGCAGAGTTTGGCTTCGGACCGACACTGCCAGCCCTCGAAGCGCCGCCCTGACCGCCCGCAGGCGCGCCTTTGGGCGTGCCAGGACCGAGGGAAGAATGCCTGGCGAGTCCGCTGGAGGCGACCGGTACGTTTCCGAGACCGGAGCTGACACGGACCCCCCTTTTTGTCGCAGGGCCAGTAGAGCCTTCGCGTTGCTGGCGGTTAAGAATCATACTGGCAGCTGGAGTAGCCGGTGCCGAGGAGGCGTGCTGTTGTAGCTGCTGCTGAGTTTGGGTGGTTCGGACATTGGCGTGACCGGGCAATCGATTGAGCGCAGGCGACGCAGCGCCATTCGGAGGAGCAGTAGCGGCGGCTGCAGCAGGACCTGGAGCTATGTTGCCACCTGTGGGCATTGGTCTGAAGGTAGCAGTTTTATTGGCAGCGCTTGGTCGGATGAGTGATGGGAGCTCGTCGGGGTTTGAGAAACCGTGTTCGCTGCGGTCGTAGAGTTGCTTGATCTGATAATCCAAGGTCTTGATGTGCTTATCCATTATGAGTGCCGAGTTCTGCACAAGTTTGATCTTCTCTAGTTGGATCTTGTCGGCTCGCTCGTAGGCTTCGCGTATTTGTGCCCGGAGCCCCTCCTCCTTCGGATTTGGCTCATGGCTGCCATGCGCCTTGATGTGTTTCTGGATCTTCGCGTCCCGATCTTCGATTATTCGTATTTGTTCGTTGTATTGGCGGTCTCTGTCTGCAATCTCATCGTGGCAGAAACGAATCTCTTCTGGTAGATTCTGTACGCGGTTGATCCAGTCGTCGAGGATCACCCCTGGATCCACAGCTTCGGCTGGAGGCATCCTCTTGACGAAATCAATCGACAAGTCGTCTCTGGGCATGACTGTAAGCTTCGTGTCCGAAGGCTCGATGAGCGATCAGACGAAAATTTCAGTATCGCGAAGAAGGGTTGCGCACGAATAAGCACTGCAACGCGTGATGAGGTTTGGTATGCTGAAAGCAGGCACACGGGGAAGTAATAGCATGTAAGCAGCCAATAAACATGCGTGCAAGAGCCACACGCTCGCTCGCTTATGCTCTGATGCGTTCAAAATTCGACAATAAGTGATGTGTGCGGCGAAGTAGGTAAGGTAGGTGAAACTTCTCAGCCCACCGCGCGACGTAGTGCCGAAGCTCGGATCGAGACCGGGAACCCCAGTCGCACAGGTCGTCACTCACTGACGGACGTGGGTCTTCAGCGTGCGACGCCAAAGTACTCGCAAGCACCTCTTGTAATCCCAGGGCAGCTATGCCACGTGTTGTGAAAGCACGCGCAAAATATGAAGAGTTGGACGAATGTCGGAGCTCACCTCTGGTCTGTGTTTGTCAGGGTAATTGTGTGTAGATGGTGGAAGGTGGCGGTGTTCCAGTCGAGGTCCGACTCTTGCAGTTTAGATCGCTACTCTCAGCTCACGGCAGCAGGCCTTGAAAGAGAAGCAAACTCTCAGATTTTTGAAAATGCCGAATGCTGTAAAGTGTGGCTTGCTGTCACAGTCGGTGATAGTTGAGTTGGGAGAAGACACTCGATTGAATGGTGATCGATTGTTGAACCGCGACCACGACATCCGGTCTATCATCTGAGCCAGAACTCAAATTATTGCATCAGTCAGCAGCAACAGCAGCAGCCGACCGACAAAATCCCCGCACTACTCTTCTTGAGGCTTAGCGTCGGGAAGGTACCTGCATGATCTCCAAGTCTACTGAATTTCAGATGGTACCTTCAACACCCACTCACTCACTCACTCAACCTTCCATCGTCACTTTCGCGCATTTGGTGCGACGCACCCTGCGCAGCTCTATTCGCGGTTCATATTCTGTCTCGGACTGCGAAAGCTTCTCAGCCGACAGCGGCATCATCCACCTCACTCACGCCCGGAGGCGTCCGCGCCTTCATAACAGTATGGACACCTACCGTTTCAGAGTTCCAAAACCCAACTACCTGCCTCACAAGAGGCTCGATGCCTCAGAGAAGGATGACATTGTAGAGGAGTACAACATCCCTCTTGGAAAGGCCAGCGAGCTTGAAAATGCCAAGTTTGCTGCCAAATGTGAGCGCTACGCCCTCGAGGCAGGTGTGACGCGACCCAAAGGCTACAATGTCTCGTTCCATTGCAATCCAGACATGGAGAAGCACCATTTCGGGCAGACACACCCCATGAAACCGTGGCGCCTGACTCTCTCCAAGAGCCTGATATACTCCTATGGCATGTCCTTCGCCATGGACAATTACATCTCGCGCGCTGCCACGTACGAGGAACTCGCCTCGTTCCACGCGACAGACTACCTCGACTTCCTTGGCACGGTCCTGCCCGAACCAGTCCCTTTCGATGTAGAGAATCCGAATCCTGATCTCAAGTTCAACCTCGGAGGTTCGGATTGCCCCCTTTTCGAGGGCCTCTACGACTATTGTTCCATGTCAGCTGGGGGCGCGTTGGATGCTGCTCGCAAGCTTTGCACCAAGCAGTCCGACATTGCCATTGCTTGGGGAGGAGGTCTTCACCATGCCAAGAAATCTGAAGCATCGGGCTTCTGTTACATCAATGACATTGTCATTGCAATCTTGCAGCTGCTGCGCTGTTACCCGCGTGTACTCTATATAGACATTGATGTCCACCACGGCGATGGGGTTGAAGAGGCATTCTTCTCCACCGATAGGGTCATGACCGTATCCTTCCACAAGTACGACCCCCAAAACTTCTTTCCCGGAACAGGCGCGCTTGACGACAACGGCCCTCAGAGCGAGCATAACCCAGGCTCCCACCATGCAATCAACGTACCACTCAACGACGGAATCACGGATGAGCAATACGACTGGCTATTTAACTCGGTCATTGGCAAATGCATCGAAAAATTCAGGCCAAGTGCCATTGCGCTGCAGTGCGGTGCGGATTCCCTGGCCGGCGACCGACTCGGGCGATTCAATCTGCAGGTACAAGGCCATGGCGCCTGTGTGGACTTTTGCAAAAGAGTTGGAATCCCTCTGATCCTGTTCGGAGGTGGTGGCTACACCCCAAGGAACGTTGCCCGCGCTTGGACGTACGAAACAAGCATAGCCATCGATCACCAAGATAAGCTCAAGCATATGATCCCAACTCACACTCCCTGGAGGGATCACTTCAGGCATGAAACGCTCTTTCCGACTCTTGAGCAGATTCTCGGCGAGCCGCGACCGAATCGCAACACGCAGAAAAAGCTGCAGGATATTGTACAGCATGTGACGGAGCAGTTGCGCTTTGTCCAGGCAGCACCAAGTGTTCCTTTGCAGGTGATCCCGCCAGATCTAGGCGGGATCAGGGACGATGTCGAACAGCGCATCAAGGAGGAGACTGAGGAGAAGAGAGATGAACTTCGAAGAGCTCGTGAGTCGGCCATCGGGCAGGCCATGGAGTACTGAGAGAGGGGAGGCCTAGCCTTGCACGTCGGATTTGTCACGCAAGACGGCATGCCTCCCCTTTTTTACCAATGCGACGGACTACTTCAATTATCCGTACTTTGGTCCGAACGATCTCGATCCGATTCGACGAGCCCTGTCACTCCAGTCCATGCCACAAGCATCGCATTTAGTACAACGGCACGAAGAAACATCATCGCCAGTCTCGAAGAGACATATCATCAAGGCGTGACACTGTCATCCATGACCATCCCACCTCCCCCGGTTCTTAGCACGATGTCAGCCCTACGTGTAGTCTGACTTCAGAACAATGACGCTTTTCGCCTTCGAGATTAGGCTGTGTTGTTTTGTTCCTTCCCTTGCCCATGCGCGAGTGACAGCCTGACAGGTCAAAATGAGCTAAAACAAGGTGGGATGGTTGGATATCGGATCTGGCCTGGTGGAGCCTTCTTGGCTGATCAAGACGACGTGCCTGTTGCGTACTCGATCTGTAGCAATCGAGCGACTCACACCTCTTCTACTTCCAGCTTGCCTGGCTACTGCATCCTGCCAGCGCAAGTTCTGGCTAGATCAGCATAGCACTGGCTTGCTTCCTTTGATCATGAAGTAGGTCTGACCAAGCAATTTGCATTCGCAACATGCCCATGTCAAGGCCCCTGCTAGGTCTTAGCTCTTACATAGAAACGGACCGGGATAGGGACCAGGTGTACGGACTTGCGACCATGTTTCGAGATTGAATCCTTCCGATATTGAATCCTTTTGACATGCCTGGGTAATACCTTGAGGCTCGCTGGCGACGCCCGCCTGGTGCGCCTTAAAAAGGAGAGCCGTCCAGTGCAGTTTATGATAGAAGTTCATCAAATTCACTCTCCTGTCTTACGGATTCTAATACCTGAAGGCCCCTTTGTGAAAAAAGCCCTCGTCCGAATCGCCCAACATGGTCAACTCCAAGATCCTCTCGGTATATGTGGCTTTGGCAGCTGGCTCTTTTTCTAACGCTGCTAATATCTTTGACGGTCTTGAAAGGGGCACCAAGTGGAATATCTGCATCCACAAACCTATCAAGCATGACACGGCGGACGATATAGTCCCCAAAGACGGCTTTGTCTATGACATTGACATGGAGCACGCTCGTGACTTCCCTGGCACCATCCCCGCGATCAAGGTACGTGAACGACCTTCAAATCCGCTCTAAACCCGCGCGCGTGCTGACCAGATGGCAGGACTCTGGCAAGATTGTCCTTTGCTACTTCAACGCGGGCGCCCTCCAGGACTGGGACGCCGATAAGGATGCCTTCCCAAAGGCTGCCATTGGGAAGACATTGGGCGGTGACTATGAGGATGAGTGGTACCTCGACATCCGCAACCAAGATGTCATAGAACTCATGTACAAGCGCATCGAGGAGGCTGCCGTCCTCGGCTGCGACGGGGTTGACCCTGACAACGTGGATGCTTGGGCCCAAGGAGACGAGGATGCGACTGGCTTTGGACTGACGCAGCAAGACTACACGGATTATCTCATCAAGCTCGCCAAGTTTGCGCATGACTCTGGTGCACTTGTGGTTGGCCAGAAGAACGCGCCCGCCATGGCCCCTGCCTTGGTCGAGACTCTGGACTTTGCCGTGCTGGAATCTTGTCGCGAATGGGACTTTTGCCAGGACTTCCAGGTCTACGTCGAGGCTGACAAACCAGTCTTCCAAATTGAGTACCCTGCGTCCATCCTGGAGCAGGGTGAGCTCAGTTCCGAGGACTACAGGAAGCACTGTCAAGGAGATGCCGGCGACGCAGGATTCAGCAAGGTCTTGAAGGGAGCCAGTGCGCAGCTTGATGGGTGGACCCAATACTGCGGTGAGGAACCTTCCGAGCAGGCCGTTATCGATTGGTAGATTCACTGCAAAGTATACAAAGCATCGAACCGAGGGAGATATGAATCGTAGCCAACATCAGGGTATATTTAATCTCACTTCATTACCAATATCATGTGTACCCCAGCAACGTCATCGGAGCGTCAACTCTGCTCCTTGCGTCTGATACTCATGTTCATCCATATCATGCGCATAGACAACGAAGAGGATATCCTACTGTCTTCTTCGCACCTGCACAGCGACAAACACCAACAAGGACAGGCCCACAACCATGCCAGCAGCCAGCAGCATCAGATTGACTGGCACAGGGTTCCCGTGGAAGGTCTTGTGGAACATCAAGTCCAGCGCCGACTGGGACAGATTCAGCAACCCGGAGAGACAGATGATCAACCCATAGACAGTTCCAAACGTCCGGAACCCGAACACCTTTGCGCTGTAATCCGACACCGCCGTGTAATAGAACGGTCTATACAGCACAAACAGGGTGATGTTGGCATACGCGGCCCAGGCGTACGGAAGGACGCCGAGAACACCAATCAGACTGGCAATCGACACCAAGACAGACAGAACGGCAACAGTGCTGGTGTGGTCGAGGATGATGCCGATAAAGGGAATGGCAAAAATGCCGCCCACTGGGAGGGCGATATCGAAAAAGTTGTTGATCTCCGCCGCTCTGTCCGCATCGCCGAGCAAGTGTTTGTACTGCGGCCTGATTGTCGCCACAAAGTAGTTGATGCGCGTCATCTGTATGACGGTGAAGAGACAGATCAAGATGAACCAAGGCGATGTGATCTGCTCGTAGACGGTCTTATCATGCATGACACCCCACACGCCCGAGGTTGTGTTTTTGCGTTGCTCCTCCTCGACCAGGTCATCGGCTGTGACGGAGCCAAGCAGAGACTCAACCTCGTCCACAATGTGCTCGCGCTCCTGGCGCTGCTCAATCTGCAACTGACGGCGCTCATTGCGTAGAAGGGCGGTTTCCTCCGTCACCTGATCATCAAAGGAGGTGCTCGACGTTTGACTGTCGTTGGCCGCTTGTGCTTCATCCGCCTGGTCGACCAGTTCGCCCACCGTCTTGTATGATTTGGCAGGCATATACAGGAGCTGGACAGTAACGATGAACACAGGGACGACCAGATACACCAGGAAGAACCGACTTTGGTCAAATTGGCCGTCCGTGCCGTTGTAGATGATGCGATAGACTAGAAAGACTGCGCTCGACGAGTCGAAAGCGCCCGTCAGTAGCGCAAGGATAAGGCCTGAGTGGCGAGGAAAAGCATTGGATAGCTGGAAAGAGGATATGAAGGTGAAGGGACCGCCAAGAGCAAGAAGCAGGTAGCCAAGCAGGTAGGCGTCAAATGGTAGCTCTTGCGCATACGCCAATAGAAGTGCTCCAAGTGTCAAGAAGACGCTGCCCAGGATACCGCAGACGCGTGGTCCGAAGTTATCGAGAATGGCCCCCACAGGCAGAGCGGCAAGGTTAGTGCCAACAGCTGCGACTGTGAACATGAGGTTGAGATGAATCTCGACGCAGGTGTCGTCGTCGCTCTCTGGGCATATATTGCTGTATGCGCCCTCGCGTATGAACACGGGCTTGATGGCGGCGTAGCCAAATACAACACCAGCTGCGAAGAGACAGTAGACGACGGCCGTCCCGATTTGTACTGAGTTGACGTTAGCTTTCCGTCACGTTGTAGGGGTGCAGGCGGCGCGGGTGGCTTACAATATCTCATCCATGGTGAGACGTCGAATGCACTCACAGGCTCGTCACCTAATGGCTTCGGGGCTGGCTTCCGTTCTGTAGGAGAAGCCAGAGTTTCGGGCTCTTCTTCCCCGAAGAAGTCCTGCCGGTCGGTAGACTTATTCGGGGATGGATGAGGAGAACTCCATTCTTGTGGAATGGGGTTGAAGCTCAGACGCCGTGGTCGAGTCCCTGCATCGCTTCCTCGACGTACATTCAGGTCTGTGAGCGTCTCGATGCTCCCGATGCGGTTGAGAGACATGGTCGTCAGACTGTCCTACACAGGCTTGTGTAGTATCATGGGCTGGGTCTGTAGGAATTGGAGAGTATTATCCACTGAGCTGATCACTCCAATAGTCAGTCTGAGCGACCACCGTGTCGTTGGTATGGAGGACCACAAGTTGAAACAGCCTACTGATGAAATATACTCTTGGAGCGCAGAATCAGGCTTTCTGGCTGCTGAGTGGAGTTCCAGGTGCCTGCGGGCTAAGGATTGATATTGTGCAGAGTGCTGCTATGAATGGGCAAGCATCAATAGTAGGTGGAAAGGATGCGATTGACGTCTGATGCGATAGAGTACGTGAGACTCAAAAGATAACAGACAACGTACATGTAGATTAGCTACCTGCGGAGAGGACTGGAGTGGGTAAAGGCTGCAGCGTAAAGCGTTGCGCTAGGCGATCTCGATAACGTAGATTGCTCCGGGGTTCTTCGTCCGGCGCCCTGCAAGCGACTAGCGGGATCACCGACACAGTGGCGGAGGTGGACAAGGCGAAAGGCAAGCTGCGAGCCTACAGCATACAAAACAAACTGTGGATTGCTCTGCGAAAGGGGTTGTGATGGTTCATGTTGCCGAATCTCTGTCTGTCTGTCTGTGAGGAGATGGTTGGTGACGACGCCAGCATTTGCTGGTGGGTTTCTCGTCAACCTGAAGGTGAAGTCACGGTATGTCTTCTGTAAAGGCTCTGGCGGCCCATTCTGATCGGCTGCGTTCGCTCAGCTACGTCAGATTGACGTGTAATTGGGCCTGGCCCCATGCGCCTTCTTCGTCCAATTCACTCCAGGCCACTATAACCAGGCACCTTCGACCTGGTCCAACCCGACCCAACCTACTTGCACAGAGTCACAGTAGACCTCCCTTCACGTCAACCAATCCCAAGGGCACCGAATCACTCGATGGCAACTTGCAAAGGGCCCCATTTCAAAGCGTGAGTTCAAGCGTCGCGACCAGCCGAGATACATTATATACAAGATAAGGCGCACGCCAGGAGCAGGGGGCACTACGACGCTGGCAGGCAGCGAGGCAACGCACAGCAAACACACAGGGACCGATGCGAACGAAACAGCAACACTCTTTGAATACACAATAATGGCGCACGACCGCCTTCCTCCAGGCCAGCCAGCCCCGGGCTAGCAAAAGCCTGCAGGCCCCAAGGTCTACAAGAAGGTCCAACAGCACACAACATTCAACACCCGAGCCACGAGTTTGACAACGGTTTAGAAGTAACGGAAGGTGGCCTTGCCACCCTTCTTGAAGGCAGTCTGCGACCATGTTAGCATTGGCAACTCAAAAAGTCAAGATCAGTCTCCACTTACCGTGCAGCCGTTGCTGCCGCCGGTCCACTTGCCGTCGATGTAGGAGCACTTGGAGTTGACATCGCCGACAATCTCAATGTTGAAGTCCAGCTTGGCCGTGCTCATTGGGGCGTTCTGGAAGATGGAGAGGAATGTGTTGCCATCATCAGTGTAGCCGACACCAGCGATCACGGGAGCCCAGTTGCCGAGCTTGTCGGGGAACTTGTCGCTCTTCCAAATGCAGGCCTCCTCCTTGTCGAAGCCCTTGGGGTTGACGTAGTACTGGGCAGAGGTGCCCTTGTTGTCCCAGGTGTAGTAGCTCTGGTCGGGGTTGCAAAGCTCGACCTTGTCGCCGGGGCCAGCAATAGCAGGGATGTACATGCCCTCGGTGCCGGGGTAGTCGGTGCGGCAGGTGGAGACAACCTCATCGAGGTCGTTTTGGATGAAGACACCACCCTCACCCTTCGTGCAAAGAGGGTACTCGCCGTCGCCGTTGGGATCGTGGGTCAGCCTGAGCATGCCCTCGCTGTCGCAGTAGAGTCCGCCAATGGACTCCAAGGTGCTGCCCTGAGCCTCGGGGAACTGGCTCTTCTGGTAGCCGGGAGGGCAAGCATAGGAGCACATGGTGCCCGACTCGCAGTCGTCTCCGGAAATGCCAGTGTGGATGTCAACGATGCTCTTCAATGAGCCCAAGACATAGTCGGGAACCTGCTGAAGACCGGCCCACCCGTTGAAGCCGAGCCAGTCAAGGCTGACGGCACCATAGTCGGAGGGGAAGTGGGAGCACTTGATCTCACCATCGGGGAACGGAGTGTCGACACCGCCGCCGGTGACGGGCTTGGGAGTCGACGACTTCTGGGGCGCAGCGGAAGTCGTGGGGACCGCAGAGCTGGTGGTCGTCTCGGGCTCGGGCTCGGGGACTTCGGAGCTGGTGGTGACCTTCTCGATGAACTGGGCACCAAGCTCAGGCGCCTCGGCGGTGGTTGTTGGCTTCGCTGGTGGCGGGGGAGGGACGAACGTCGGGGTCGACTCGCCGACGATGGTCAGTTCACCTCCGTCGATGCGGTCCTTGGCCTCGTCGGCCTCAATCAGCTCGCCGTCAAGGACGTAGACGGTCTCGGTGGGACCGGCTACCCAAGCAGTGACAGCGTCGGGTGCGTCGCGCTCCTCCACATGGGCGACATGGCGAGCGTGAAACTGCTGGTGGCCGTGCTGGTGACCGCCGGCCGCAGCGGCGCCAGCGACCAGAGTGGCCGCCAGGGTGTACTGAGTGTATCTCATTGTTGCGAATCACAACGAAGTCGTCGAAAAGCTGTGCAAGTGGCCATGGTTAGCTCGTCTCGTCCTATCTCTGCTTTGGGCGCGTCGGGGCATCTGCTGTCGGTATTCCAAGGGTCTGGGACACGGTTGTTTTGCAGCATCGCATATGATACGGATTTCCAAATCTTGTACAGCTAGTCCAAGTCTCGTGTGTCGTCGCGCCGTCTTGTACTCACCAGATGATAGTTATCCTTCTCTTCGGTCTTAAGCGAACGGCGTAGAATTGGCAGCGGAAGCGAGCGTGAGAGTCGGTGAACCGATCAAATGAGTGTGGGCGAGAGCAGAGATAATCTGACACTCGTTTAGGTGAGGAAGCAAGGCGTTAAAGGAGCGACAAGGCCTGATGAGAGCGGGATAGGAGAGCAGAGGGAAGGAGAGGATATAGCTGGTGGAGATTCAGAGCATTGGCAGACCTGTCCATCGGCTCCATCTGCTCGACCGGCCCATTCGAGTCGCCAATGATATTAGCTCATTACGGCGGCGCAGCGCGGCGCGCCAGGAACTCCATTGTCGGTGGATCCGTCGCTGTTCTCCTTTGCGCGTCTTTACAGGGGTGGGAACATGGCTGACCAGGCCTGGAAAGGCTGGCTTGGCTCGCCGTGTCTGGGAAATTAACAAGCATGTTGACAGGGCGAAGAGGGCCAACCATGATTCACGCACATGGGCACGCACTAACTTCAATGTCTCTCTACACAGTCGATGTAAATGGGGGGCATGGGCCCGTCAGGGTCGCAAAAGACAAAGACAGCGCTGCGGACGAGAAAATATGTTCATTATCCGCGAAGGAGAAGCATATCAGACAGGTCAATGTTGTTCGTGATTACGATCATGGATGCTACCGTCCAATTTGGGATCGACACCGCGCCCCGTCAGGAGCACTGTAACACTGTGCTAGATATCCATCCAGCCAGGCTCCCTCCCTCTCTAAGCGCCTCAAAGTCGCGAGTCCTCGCAGCAATCTTTGCGCAAATTTTAATGACTGAGTCACTGACCATCACATAGGAGTAGCCTTGGCTCTGGACGTACCTCTTGACGGCTGCGCCTCTCACCGAACGCGTCCTTTTCGAAGCAGGCTTGGCCCTGGACCACGAACGGGCGACAAGTACTCAGACACAGTGCCCTTATCCCTTGGGAACTGTAGGCATATGCGCCAATTCAGGAACCCGCTCTCGTTCCTGGCGCTAGTCTCTCCACGGTTGAGTAGTCGACACGGTTGGTTCATGGTTGTTGGCCTCGCTCGTCTCAGTATACGTATAATACGGGCAAGTATTGTCTCTTCGCGACGACCTGGCCATGCTCGCCGTCGAAATGGGATCCGCGCGAGTGCTGCACTTATTATAATAATATCTCGAGACTTCCGAGAATGGTACCCGGTAAGGCGGCAGTTGGAGGCGGCAGTTGGAGGCGGCGCGTGTCCCTCGACACATGAAGCTGTTTGATCGTTTGCCGTTTGTTGACGACTCCCCGCAGGCCCCTAGTGACAGGTGCTGCCTCTTCATCAATTGACCAATTTGTCCAATGCTTATTAGCCTTGAGCTAAGTCGCGGTGGGCGTATACATTTCAGGTCGCTCATTTCTTGATAATCCGTAGGGAACACGTACGGAGCCGAGTCACTGGCCCCTGTTTGTGGCAGCAGTTTTTCCCCCTCGAAAGTCGAAACGGCACGCATTGTGCCCGAAGTTATGGCTTGAGGCTACAGTGTAGCGGACTGAGACGTCTGGTTTGACACGGACACTCCCGGGTATTTATTATAGATGAAAGGCCCGCAGCACGCGGCATGCTCCCCATTACGTACGGATACATTAGACGGATATGAGCCAAGACATTACGAACCGGATCATGCCGACGGCGCTGGGTACATCTAGCGATTGAGCCGGCCATTTGTGAGACAAGGATACACCTATTTATGTATTCATCGCCATGAATACTTGATGGGCATATTAATATGTAGAGCCACACAGCACGTCAGATACCTGCTTCACATGTAGTCCGCCGCTAAGAACGCTTATTAGACGCGGGGTTTTATGACTTGACCGCCCGTCAACAGTCGACTGCTGGTATCCGTAACCTGAGTCAAAACGGAACAATCGAGAGCATGCGATCCAGTCCGTGATGTTTCCATGCCCACTGCAAAGACTGGTTCCCAAGCTGTTCATCAGGCCATTCGAGTCATGTGCATGTCCAGAGCCGACCAGATGTTGGTCTCGCCTTACTTAACATCTAGGGGCATGGCCTCTTTTTTTGGTTCGCCAGATTACACATCGCCACATTTGGACGATATGGTTGACCCGGATCCAGCAACACTGGCCTGTAGAGCTTCGCGTTGGCCAGCAAGAGGACCAGTGCGTACATGCTCTCGGCGATGATTGTGTCACAGAGAAACGACGTCAGCCTGGGAGGGGCATTCTGTACAGATTGGCTCTCTAGGCTCGATTGCCGGATACCAGCTAACGCCGGCAGATGTGCGTTCCGCGGGGCGAACAACTGCCACACATTGCCCCTTCAGCTCAACCGAGTGAGCATCTTCCGCTGGATGTGGCAAAGAGGTCATCGTCGAGGCCTTGGCTTATCTCGAGAGTCGTCGAATCTGGCCGTCTTTCGTAGTGCCAGGCCAGAGATGACATCTCACCACACGTCGGACACGTCGGCGCAGTTTACAGTAATCATTGCGGATCGCCTGGTAGTAATTACGACCGCCACGTTCGGATGTACGCCACATGAACTGATGGTGGGTGTTCTTGAATCGCTGCAGGACCACCCCTGTGCTTTTCACAAGATTCAAGTTTCAGAATACAAACAAAGCATATCAAAGGACCTTGCCGCCACCTCGTTCAATTTCCAAATGGCGGATGAGGCTGGAGGGCCAAATGTCTGTGATGTATGTCCCCGACGGAGATCTGCGAGAACACCAGCACCGCCACTTCCGCCCCGTTTCAGGTTGCTGGACCGCGCTGGGTCTGAGCAAGATGTTTGTTTATCGACCTAAAGACATTGCGCGCTGGTCTCACATACCCATCGCGCGTACAGTTCATAAGTTACGGACTAGAGCCTCTGGAAGTTTCCACGCGTGGTGCCGCGGCGACCCTGAGTCAAGGTGAGAGAGGGCTCCGTATCCTCTTGCCTTACGGTACGTACGGTTGGCAACAACTGGACTTCTGCAAGTCGGTGGGAAGCAAGTTGAGCTTGTAGTTGTTTGATCAAAGCCATCACTGCAGTGAATGATGGCTGCAAATTCTCCACTGTGAATGTGTGCATCAGTGTTGACTGTCATTGACAGCATCCATCAAAACCACTTGGACGCCGTCAAGCCCCAGGACCCGATGCTCCGTTGCAGCACCGTTTGCACAACATCGGCACCATCAGCAAGTGTGATCCGTGTTACTTTCAGGTTTTGCCCAAGCCTCACTAGGATTTTGGGAGGGGGGGCTGACGCACTAGTGGAAAGGTGTGCGCCACAGCTCGCGGCGCATAACTGCCACTAAGCATGCCTGCGGCTGTGCAAACATCTACCTACCACGTACAATACACGGTAGGGGACGATGTCGTTCGTCTCCTATCCTATCTGCAACAACTCAATCTTTCTTCTTTGTATAAACCAAAGACGAACGCTTCCTTATCCGTGTAGCGCTCGGGTTCGAGACCGGATATCTTCGCGTTGATCGGCGCCGTTCTCAAAGAGCCCCTTCCTTGCGAGGCCGTCATTCCAGCCACGTTCCCGGTCCATCCTTGGAAAAGGTGGGTGTGTGTGGCACAACGCGCGCTCCAACAACAAGCCAAGCCAAGGTATCGCCGCCGCAGCGCAGTGGAGCGAACGAAAAGAAGGTGGAAAGTGGCTGGGGATTTCCTTGCTTCCGCTGCACTCGTAGGTACGAATCCAGTCCCCCGATTCCCCGATTTTTCTGTCATCCATCCTCCTGCTCGCAAGTCCGCTCCCTGTGGCGTCATGGTGCTGTTCGTGCCCGTCACTGGCTCGTCCGCCTGGTCGTCAACGAAGCATCCAGATCCGGCTGGCAGCTGGCTGGAGACTGGAGCCAGGCTTGCTCCCATCATTGCTTGACATCCCACTGGTCCGCGCTGTCAGTGGATGACGATCTGGTTGGAGGTGGATCGGGACAAGGACTTGCCGGCTACAGTGACACGGTCTCCTAGTGGCCCGGTGCCCGGTGGCCAGTGTCTAGTGGCCACTTGGTTCTCAATGTCAACAAATTAGCGTGGGAGCCAGCGCGACCCAGCGGCGCGCAGGGCAGGCCAACCCGCCTGTCCCAGCCCCAGCACAGCTGCCGCCGTCAATAACTTTTTGTCTCCTCCTCCTGCGCGCAGGCCTGCCCTCTTTGGATCAATCAAGCCTTGCCTCCGATAATTCATTCTCATCTCATGATAACACCCCAACTGACTATTATTCCCCTAGCAAAAGTCAGAACTGTGGATGATCGAGAAATTGTCGACAATTGATAACGCCTTCACAATATTTTGTCCGTTGCCGTCACAGCTTGGACACCAAAAAAAACACGACGTGACTGAAGCATTCCGGCCAGCTCTCGCCACGACCCTCAGCCACACCTCGAAGCCGACGCCTCGACATGAGTCCTTGAGCAAGCTTGGTGAATATTAGCTGCAAAACAGGGACGCACCAGGCTTTGATATCACTCTTACTACCGGGCCAGCTGATACAACACCACATCACCGCTTATGGCATCCGACGAGGGCAACGTCGCGACCAGTACTCCGCCGTCCAGTCGCCATCTGCAGGCCTCTACAGCTGGCACCGCGCTCGTTCCAGAAGAAACCGCGAGGCTCCTAAAACGCCAACGCGAGAGCACGCCTCCGTCGCCGAACTCGTTCACTACGCAACAATTACACCTCTTGCAATCGCCCGCGAAATCAGCCCGACTGGCTCTGGCAGCGGGACACTCGCCACCACCACCATTGACCGGTGCGGCAGCCCTCGAAGACGAACGTCGACGTCGCGAAGCAGAGCAACCCGCGAGCCCGGCCCCGAGCAGCGACAACCCGTCTCACCGAGTCCTGGAATCCCTCATGCAAGGCGACGCCCAGGCAATGAGCCGACCGAGCGACGCGCCTCCAACCGCGCCTACTGCATCCATGGACTCGCGATCGGCGGCCCCCTCGCTCTCCATCATTCCGGGGGTAGGCGACCAGACCGAGCACCAGCAAGATGGCATGAGCCCCCAGAGCGCGCACAACAGCATCGATGGTGCCGGCGTCACAGCTAGCCCTGCGCCAATGGATGTGGACGGGAAGCTGGACGGCGGAGACGTGCATCACGTTGCTGGAGACGAACGCCCGCAGCCGGGCTCGCTTTCGTATCCCGGGTCTCTACAGGCTAGTGGCAGCATGACAGAAGCCTCCCCACGGGGTATGACCTTCCCAACGCCAGGACAAGAGCAGACCTCGCCATCGTTGCCTGGATCGCGGAAGCACAGGTGTCCATACTGCAGCACCGAATTCACAAGACACCACAATCTGAAGAGTCATTTGCTAACGCACAGCCAAGAGAAGCCTTTTGTGTGTACCGAGTGTCCCTTACGCTTCCGCCGGCTACACGACCTCAAGCGCCACGGCAAGCTTCACACGGGGGAGAAACCACACACATGTCCCAAGTGCGACCGCAAGTTCGCCCGTGGCGACGCGCTAGCGAGACACACTAAGGGGGCCGGGGGTTGCGCTGGACGAAGGACGAGTATGGGCAGCTTTGCGGACGGTGATGACTTTGAGGGTCACACTCTTGACGCCGACGAGTCGGTCATGTCTGGGCTTGCGTATGATCACCCCGACGACGAGGAGTTGCGGCGGCAAAGCATGCCTACGGTCACTACGCAGCAACCTTCGGTCAGCGAGACGGATGGCCACGGTGCGCACGCGAGGACTTATCCACCTGCCATGTCTCGGCCATCGGGCAGCGGGCTGTACCCACCGAACGCTGCACAAGCACAGGCACAGGTACAGGTACAGGGCAACAGCGCCGGCTCCACGAGCGTGCCCAACAGCATGGCTGGCAGCCACACGCCAAACACTAGTGTCTCTTCTGCTCCAGTGGCAGGGAACAGCGCCGGGCTGTACTCTCAGGCTGGCATGACGGAAAGTCCCAAGCCATTAAGTCCCGGCATATCAGGCCACGAACCAAGCTCAGCTCCACGGCAACGCTCGCCGGGGTTGTCGCAGCAGCAGTCGCAGGCAAACCGTCGGCAGACTGACCTTCAGTCGCCGCACGGCCTGGCCAAGTACCCCGGATTGTCCCATCCTGGGTACGCGACGGCCAACAGTGCGGGCTTTACGACCAGTGGCAACCAGACTCAGGATAACAGCAAGAACATGTTTGCGCAGGCCGATCCCAATGTGTGGGCATATATTCAGACCATGGACGACAAGATCAAGGGCCTCAACGAGAGGGTGGCCACGCTCGAGCATGAGCTTGCAATGACCAAGGCTCAACGCGACAATGGTGGTGGCGAGGTTGCCTTGTCGTCCTGACAATGGCTTGGGCAAAGCAATCGATTGCTGCGAGAGTAGTGATACTTTGGTTTACGATTTACACGGAGAAGGGTGTGAGGGGGCTTGTGCCATTCACAACAATCGTTTTATTGTTTTTTAAGGATCTGTAAGGCAAGGCGCTCGAGCAGGCGTTTCCACTTGTTTATATATGGGACATGCAATGGTATCGACAGGTGCAATGGGGAGGGGGGTTGGCCGAACAGCGAACGGGACGAGACGAAGCGAAAGATTGCCCGGGGGTGAAAGGCGACTAGACTGAGGCTCATGATGTTGATGTCGATACCCAAAGAGACGGAGTCGGCAAGATTTGCGGGCTGGAATTGGGCGCGCCTTCCATGTACCAGTAACATCACAGAGACGCGCAGATAGTGCAGGTAGTTAGTTGCCTCGTGGCAGAAGATGAAAAGGCTTGTCGAGAAGCATCTCCCTACCACAGGTACATGTCAGGCATTCACCAACACTATCTTCGATTTTATCAATCGGTTAGTGAGGCAGACCCAGCTCGTCCATCTGCCCATCGTGGCAGATGTCCACTTTCACGTGCTTGGCTGGTTTGTGGCGAGTGCACCGAAGGTGCCACCAACTAGGTACCTCAGTACTTAAGGCAACCTTTAGGCGACGATCGACCGGCTGGCCGGCGCCATAATAGCGTCGACGTCATTGGTGCGCCGACCAGCAATTCTTCTTCTCTACTGACTGCCCGCCGCTGCCGGCGCGACGACCACCTGTCCGACCTTGGCTTCATTACTCAGTACATTGTACATGTACGCGCGTGCCTCGGAGCTTCTCTAGTCCCCGAGCGTGCCCGGCAAATCAACTGTGCTTCCCTCGCAGAGTCAGAATCACCATGACTTCGAACGACCCTTCTGCTGGGCCTGCGCTGGACTGTGAGCAGACATGTTGCACACCGAGTCCATGTTCGCCAGCTAACGTTCGACAGTGTCTCAAGTCCATGGTAGCCCGGAAAAGGTGGTCACGGTGGCCAATACCTCCACCGAGAGGGTCGCCAGCACCAATGGAAGCAGCACGCCTGTCAAGGTACGTCGATCAATACTACCAGCAACCAAGATGATTGCTAAAGCTCTGTCCGCGTAGGTCAATGTCTCCGATCAGATCAAACCCAATGGCGAGCCCCGCAAGAGAAAGCCAGCGCAGAGCAACGAGAGCTCAAGGTCATATGCGGCAGCCGCATCGGCTGATGGTGAACCCGACAGGCCGAGGTCGAACAAACGACAGGATGAAAAAGAGGATGAAGAGTATCCCATCATCAAGAAAGGCTCCACGATTCGCCGGGGCACATCTCAGACCAACGAGGCAGAGGCGTGGGAGGCTGGCGGCGTACGCTTTGCACCTATCCAAGTGCCGCTCGTGCGTCGGCTACAGACAGCTGCGGTGCTGTTCCACTGCATGTCCATTATCCTGTTCGTCTCGGCATTCTGGTTTACGTGCGCCAACCCATTTGCATGGCCCATTTTGATTCCGTACCTGATCCACCTGTCCACCTCAACGGCATCCATGGATGGAAACCTGGCATACAGGTCAGAGTGGCTCAGGTCCTTGCCCTTGTGGACGTTGTTTGCCAGTTATTTTCCTGCGAAGCTGCACAAGACTCACGACCTGTCCCCAGAGAGGAAGTACATTTTTGGATACCATCCCCATGGGATCATCTCGCATGGCGCCTGGCTGTCTTTCGCGACCAATGCGCTGGGCTTTGCCGACAAGTTCCCGGGGATCACCAACAGCCTGCTCACCCTCGAGTCCAATTTCCGCCTCCCGTTCTACCGTGACTGGCTTTTGCTAATGGGCATCCGCTCCGTGTCCAAAGAGTCCATCTGGAATACGCTGAGCAAGGGTGGGCCCAACAATGACGGTGCTGGTCGCGCCGTGTCCATTGTCATTGGCGGCGCGCGCGAATCTCTCGAGGCGCAACCTGGCAGCCTGCGACTGATCCTCGAAGGACGCAAGGGTTTCGTCAAGATGGCCCTGCGCACCGGGTCCGACTTGGTCCCTGTTTTGGCCTTTGGCGAGAATGACCTCTACGACCAGCTCAGCCCAACAACCCACCCTCTGGTCCACAAGATCCAGAAGTTCATGCTTAAGGTGTTCAAGTTCACAGTGCCCGCTCTCCACGGACGGGGCGTCCTCAACTACGATGTCGGCCTCATGCCATACCGCCGTCCGGTCAACATAGTCGTCGGCAAGCCCATCGAAGTCGACGGGCCGCATGGCAACCAGCCTGCGCAGGCGGACATTGACAGGCTGCACGAGCTCTACGTCGAGGAGATTGAGAGACTATGGAATGAGTACAAGGACCAGTTTGCCAGCGGACGTACTTCTGAGTTGAAGTTGATATCTTAGTGTAGAGGGTCAGAAGATGGAGTGGCCCGTTTGTTGGGTAAGCTTACAAAGAGGTCAACCAAGGAACTTGTGCTATCTAAGCAAATCTGGGTGACAGCTATATACTTTTAGGAAGTGTAAAAAAACTGCACAATGCTTTGAGTTTTCGTCAGTCACGATTCCTCCTATTTCCAAGCTTCGAACTGTGGTCGATATTGTGCGTGCAGGGTAAGCGACAATTTTCAACTCAATGACGACGATTGCACGTGAAGCCGCGTCTCCCTTAGCGATCAATTCACGCGTAGCCGCGATTGACCCGGACCATTCAACCCCCTATGGTGACATGCCCGTGTCCATACATTGTTTCCATGCACTGTTGAAGTACTTGACCCCGACGAGGTCCGGTGCATCTTACCCTTTCACAATTGCCCATTGGCACATTGCATCCACAATGGCACGCACATCGTCGCGAGCCAAGGCGACAGTCAACTACAACGAAGAAACAGATGGTATCAAGGCCAAGGGTGCTACGATGAAAGCTGCTTCCAAGGTCAAAGCTACAGCCGCGAAACAAATCAATGACAAACGCAAGATTGGGGAAGAGGAAGATGAAGACGTGAAGGTCGAGGTGCTTGAGGCAGATGAGGAAAAGAAGAAAAAGCGCGCTGCGAAGCCCGAACCCAAGAAGCGCAAGACCAAGGCGTCAAAGGAGGAAGACGCCTCGCCTCTCGCGGTGCGGACACCCATTCCGTCCCTGGAGAAGGCCATGTACATTGGCGCCCATGTCAGTGCAGCAGGTGGTCCGTCTCGTTTACCTCACCTTGAACCGCGAGCACATAGCTGATGAGCACGCAGGCGTGCAGAATGCAGTTACCAACGCAGTCCAAATCGGCGCCAACTCGTTCGCGCTGTTCCTCAAGTCGCAACGGAAATGGGACAACCCGCCACTGGCACCCGATGCACGCGATGGTTTCATCTCCGGGTGCCGGCACAGCGCATACGACGCGGCGGCACATGCCCTCCCCCACGGATCCTATCTCGTCAATCTCGCCCAGGCGGATGAGGCCAAGGCCAATCAGGCCTACAAAGCCTTTGTGGACGACCTGGCTAGATGTGAGGAGCTGGGCATCAAGCTGTACAACTTCCACCCTGGTAACACGGGTGGTGATACGAAGAAGGAGGCCTGTGGACGCATTGCGGCGCAGCTGAACAAATCTCACAAGGCGACAAAGTCCGTCGTGACCGTGCTTGAGAACATGGCAGGGGGTGGGAATGTTGTCGGCTCTACTTGGGAGGATCTCAGGGACATTATCGCCCTGGTCGAGGACAAGAGCCGGGTCGGCGTGTGCATTGATACGTGTCATGCTTTTGCGGCGGGCTACGACTTGCGCACACCGGAGACTTTTGAGAAGACCGTGGAGTCATTCAATGAGATTGTCGGGGCAAAGTACCTCAAAGCCTTCCACTGTACGTCCTCAACGTATCCTACCTTTTTCTCGAGATGCTCCAGTACTGACTTTAGTAGTGAATGACAGCAAGGCCCCCTTTGAATCCCATCGCGACCTTCACGCCAACATTGGCACGGGATTCCTCGGTCTTCGCGCTTTCCACAGCGTCATGAACCACGATGAATTCCGTGGGGTGCCCATGGTTCTCGAAACACCGATCGATAAGAAGGATGAGAAGGGCAAGACCGTGGAGGACAAGCAAGTCTGGGCTGACGAGATTAAGCTCTTGGAAAGCCTTATAGGCATGGATCCCGAAAGCGACGAGTTCAAGAAGCTCGAAATAGAGCTACAAGCCAACGGGAAGAGCGAACGAGACAAGATCCAGGAGCAAGTAGATAAGAAAGTGGCCAAAGACGCAAAGAAGGGCACCAAAGGCAAGAAGAAGAAGAGGGCAGCGGCGTCAGACGACGAGAGCGATTAGCCTCGATCGCTGTACGCATTAGTTATGTTGTAATAATCATGTAGACTAAAGGAGCGACAATGCCTCCCGCACTCTGGGTATCAACTAGATATAGACGCTGCGCCGACCGTGTACAAACCAAAACAACGCTTCTTCCTCCATCATGGAACTCATACGGCTGGCTGCCTGTCTGGCTGCTTTCAATGCCTCCTCGCCTTCGCGTGGGCCTCCAACTTCATCATCAGAACCTTCAAACCCGTGCCCCTCTCCGAGTTGTCCTCGAGCCATCTCTCCATCCTCTCGCGCACATCACGCATCGATCGCAAGATGGGCATCTTGCTACCATCCTCATTCTCGAGGTGTGACCCAGGGTTGAGCAGCACATCGAAGCAGTCACCCCATAGCTCGGTCTGCCAGTATCTCTTCAACGACTCGCGGATGCGATACTTGCGTCCTCCAATACTAATGCCACCTTGATCGCAGCGGACGGTCTCAATGTATTTTCCGAACAGCAGGCAATGAATGGTGCCCGCAAGACCATGGTAGTCGAGCTGCCACGTCCATGGACGCCCCTCGCGTGTCTCCGCGCAGTCCTGCTGCGTCGTCTTCCAGTCAGCGATGAATTGGACGTTTGGCGCAAAGGCACGCATGTCAATGGCGCGTCCAAAGTCAATGAGAGTCACCCCCCGTGCGCCCCAGCCACCACTGCCGTCTGCTTGCCATTGACTGGATAGGGGGCCATGTTGAGCGTGCTGACGCTCTGGCTGATGATCTCCAAGCAGGTTGTCGAGACGCAGAAGACAGTTGTCCGGCTTGATGTCACCGTGCATGATGCCTTTGGCGTGCAGTGCCTCAGCGGTGCGCAGTAGCTCGATGCTGAAGAACATGGCGAGCTGCTCGTCCATGACGCCCGATGCCTCGGCTCTGAAGATGTTGACAACGTCAAGCAGAGTCCCGTGAGGATGGAAAGGGAGGAACAAGAACGCCTCGTCCCGGTATAGGTGCATTTCGTGGGCATAGGATAGCGAAGCGGTTGCTCGGTGATGAGGTCCAAGCCGAATATGAGCCACGCGCATCATGTGGAACTCCCACGGTGTCGGGGGATTCTCCATTTTGAGCGCTTCAACCGTGTGTCGATGGCTCACCGCGAACGCTCCTGTACCCATTGCCACCACCGCTTTTTCGTCATTCTCAATCTCGTTTGGAGCCGAGTTCTCGACCAGGTACACGGGCGCAAACGCTCCTGCACCCAGCTCTCTCTTGATGGAGTACACCTGACCCGCGGGGAACCCAATGTTCACGGGTGCTTGTGGCGACATTGCCTTGTCACCCCTAGCCTGCTTTTGCAGCGCTTTGGTGTACCGGCGGATGTCGCCGCTACGCTCAGACTTCTCCTCCCGATGGTCATAGAACCCGCTGTATGCGCTCAAGGGAGGCTGAGTTTTGGCCAAGATCTCGTTGCGCACAGACTCGTCGATGGGGTTGCATTGCGCATCTTTGATGATTGGGCCTCTGCCCATGGCAGACTTGTGAGGTACCGATCGACTCAATGCGATCGCCGCTTTCGGTACAAGGGGACGACCAGCCGGCGTCGTGCTGGGAGGGCTGATTAGCTCTCGAATCGGACTACTCATAGGCTCCAAGTCTGAGGCTTCTTCATCATTGTTAACCGAGATCGCAGCGCTGTCTTTCTTACACGGCGTCTTGAACTGATCTCTCCTTTCCACCATGACCTCCAGGGACACCTCAGTCCGTTCCGTGATAGGTGTCATGAAAGGGAGACGATTATTCGCTATCTCAGCCGGGTCCCTATAAGGCCGAGTGGGCGGGTCATAATCTTCAGGTGGCACCGGTACAAAAGAAGACCAAGTTCTTGGATTGTCGTCGTCAGACGTATCTGGATGTTCTTCATCGGCACGAGGTAGATCATCCCGCGAGCTTGAGTAGTCATTCTCCCCAAGATTGCCCAGCTCTGACATCTGCGTGTAGTGGCGGTTCTCATCAGGGAGGCTGTCTGCATCAGCTCCTATGTTGGGGATGTGCTTCCGAGCGGTGAAATCGGACCACTCGCTCACACTCCTAGCATCCTCGTCCTCGTCGACCCGCTCGGTTGCGTCGACCTGGCGTGTAGTGCAAGTGCTTTCCGCATCCGTAGAGTAGTCGCCCTCGCTGTCATAGTCCTCCTCGTTTTCACTAGCCTCGCTCTGCCCTGATGATTTCAGAGGAGCATTGAAAATGTCGTAGATGTCATCGGTAGCTGCCCTTGTGTGCAGTGTCATGGTCGGTTCCGAAACGTTCTTCTTCTTGAGCTTCGGTCCAGAGGGGGAGTCGAGCTTTGCTTTAACTTTTGTCATGGTTAGTAGCCCTCTCCATTTGACTAGACAATATGATACTCACTGATTTGTGTCTCGTTGTACTCCATCTGCTTCTTTTTCTTCGTCCCTCGAGCAGGGCGAGGCGGCTCCATGGGTGCACCATTTTCATCCACTGCTCCAGCAGGGTCACGATGTATGACCAACTTTCGGCCAAAGTCTTTGACAATGCCCCGGACCGGCGTAGGGCTCGCAGGTTCAGAATCGAGCGTGTCCTCCTGTGGTAGCTCATCGTCCCAAATGTGGTCCAGCCACCCTCGCCTGGCGGCGATGACCTCCTCAAAGCTCAATTCGGTACCTTGCTCCTCTGGCGTGGGGTACACCGTGGCTAAGTCAACATAAATGCGTTCACGCTTCCCTGTCTGGGGATGAACAGTTGTTTGGTTCTTCGCAGGCACAACAATAATGTTGTTTATTTGGGATAATGACTGAAATACAATACAACCAAACAGGCCACACATTAGTCCTGTGATCATCAACAGGTGGGCTTAAGGGGTCAAGGAGATGGACATACCGGATCCCTGAACACCGACATCTTCGCCGCCGTGGCTTTCTTTCCGCCAGCCTTGAGTGTCTCGCCGACCCATGGCTTCTTCTCCACCTCGTTCTCCTTCTTGCGTTCCGCCATCGAACCGATTGTATCCCATCCCTTTGACTCTGTATCTTTGGTCGATAAGGCAGGCGGCTTCGAATCCGCATCTGAGAAGATGGCCATCTTGGGCTTTGTTGTGGACTTGGAATGTCCCCCGTTCGTCGGCCGTCGAGTTTGCGGGTCGCTAGAAGCAGCAGCGGCAGTGAAAGGGTTGGACTTGGCCGCCAATGCTGGCCGTACACTCGGTAAAGCGGGGGACGTGGGCTCATTGACGCTGTCCGGCTGGTGCGCGAGTCTCTCTTCGAATTCTTTGAACTTTCTCAGCAGTCTTTGCACGGGGCGAGCCTCACGCTCAATACCCATTTTGTAGACCTCCTCGGCTTGTGCCCAGCGACCGACTCCCTCTAGCCATTCTGCGTACTCTTCGTAAAATAGGGCAAGGTTCTCGCCAATCGCATGTCGCGATAGGAAGACGAAGGCCTCCCGAGGTGAATCAGAAAAGAAGTGAATGTAGTGAAGCCAGAGCTTGAGGTATCGTGGGTCGTTCTTGTACTGTGCTGAGCCAATAAAGGTCTTCGTCGCTCGCTCTAAAAGACTGTGGAGTTGTGATTGAGGCGTTGCCTGAGCAGAAGGATAGGCATCTAGAGTCCATCGGACATATCGGTCGAACACGTCGAGGGGGTCGTCGGACTCGTTGATGTTCTGAAGCTCTGCCTCGTACTCGGCGCGAATGCAATCGTTGACGTTGCGCGTGTCCGAAGGGGTCGGGGTCGCCAGTTTGTGGAGAGGCGATGGCGAGTAGATCTCGACGAGCTTCTTGGCCGAGCGACCGCCGGGAAGAGACTGGATGTTCTCCTTCTGCCCCTCGATCACGTCGAAATCGACCGAGTCGTCTTGCGCCATGGTGCTGCCGCTGTTGGTGTGGTCAATACGATAGATATTACTGCGCCGGGGCGGATTTGACGCGTCAAGGCGCCGGCCGATGCTGTCGAGCCGTCTGTGTTGTGTGGTTGATAAATACAAAGTGAACAACATGCAGACTAGGTTCTGCTAATTACTCCACCACTGTAAATATTGACCTTCTGGGCCCCGTTGCTATGGCGACAGCGTGTCGTGGCTGGAGAGTCACTCGCCTGTGCGAAATGTGACTCATTACGGAGCTGGGCAGCTATCGCAACAATTTGTGAGGGTGTACGGTAATTATTCTCATTTGGTCAGACCTCATAAATCTTCACGGCCAGCGATGTCGTTTGGTCATTGCATCATTAATTGACTTTTAACTTCCCATTTGTCGTCATATCATCCTCACCCTCACAAAGTATCGAGTGCGATCACCCTTTACATGTTGACAGCCTTGCGGAAGTTGGCACCGGCGTAGACGGCCAGGTCACCAAGCTCCTCCTCGATGCGGAGGATCTGGTTGAGCTTGGCCAGACGCTCGGAGCGGCAGGGAGCACCGGTCTTGATCTCGCCGGCTCGGATACCGACGACAATGTCGGCAATGGTGACATCCTCGGTCTCACCAGAGCGGTGAGAGACCATGACACCCCAGCCATCGGCGTAGGAGTCCTTGGCAGCCTGGATTGACTCGGTCAAGGTACCAATCTGGTTGACCTTGAGTAGGAGGGCGTTGCAGGACTTGAGCTCAATCGCCTTCTTGATGCGGAGAGGGTTGGTGACAGTCAAGTCATCACCGACAATCTGGATGTCCTGGGTCTTGAAGAAGTAGCTCCAGGCCTCCCAGTCGTCCTCGGCAAAGGGGTCCTCGATGGAGACGATGGGGTACTTCTCGCAGAGCTGGCTGTACTGAGCGGCCAGCTGCTCGTAGGTGATCCACTTGGTAGGGTCGCTGTCGGGGTTCTTGAAGTCAAGATCGTACTTCTTCTCAGACTCCTTGTAGAACTCGCTGGCGGCAACATCCATGGCGATCTTCATCTGGCCAGTGTAGCCAGCCTTCTCGATGGACTCGGTGATCAGGTTGAGAGCCTCCTCGGCAGTCTGGATATCGGGGGCGACACCACCCTCATCGCCAACGTTGCCGGCAGACTGGCCGTACTTCTGCTTGGCCAATCCCTTGAGGGCGTGGTAGACTTCAGCACCCTGGCGCATGGCCTCGGAGAAGCTGGGAGCGTCGGTGGGGACAATCATAAACTCTTGGAAAGCAAGACGGCCACCAGCGTGGGATCTACTCAAATCAGTCACGGCATCGCGGTTTTTTGTTCAGGCAACTCACCCTCCGTTGAGGACGTTCATGAAGGGCACGGGAAGGACGTAAGGCTTCTTGGTACCAGCCAAGTCGGAGATGTGAGCGTAGAGAGGGACACCCTTGAGAATTGTCAGCTGCTGTGCTGACCTCGAGTTAGGTTACGCCAGAATCACTCACCTTCTCAGCAGCACCAGCCTTGGCAATAGCCAGGGAAACACCGAGGATGGCATTGGCACCGAGCTTGGTCTTGTTGGTAGTACCGTCAAGTCCGTTGAGGAACTCATCGACCTTGGACTGGTCCTTGACATCGATGCCCTCCTTGATCAGAGCGGGACCGATGGTGGTGTTGACGTTCTCGACAGCCTTGAGAACACCCTTGCCAAGCCACTTGGACTTGTCAGCGTCACGGAGCTCGCAAGCCTCGTGCTGACCTGTTCCAATCTGTTATTCGCTGCCAAGGGCCGAGACTTGGGGGGGGATCGGGACGAACCGGTAGAGGCGCCAGACGGCACGATAGCACGGTGGAGGCCATTCTCGGTGACAACGTCAACCTCAACGGTTGGGTTGCCACGAGAGTCGTAGACCTGACGAGCGTGGACCTTGGTGATACCCATGTTATCTGGTGTGTTTGGATTTGGATTTCTGTTCATTGCTGTCAGTTTCCAGGACCAATTCACGTGGTTGGCGCGGGGGTAATGAATGGGAGACGCGTTGACTTGTCTGCAAAGGGTGTAGAGGCAAGACAGGGTAAAGCTTGAACAAGTTTTCGAGCAAGGAGAAGCTGTAGGGCTCGCCAGCTGACTTGGACAGCTGCTTTGATCATCATTGGCAAGTGAAGCCCTCGAACGCAGCTCTCCAGACTTTGTCAACACATGGAGAGCTGCCGTGGTGGGGGTTGTTGGGAACAGCTCTCTTGCGTAATCATGCCGTCGGATCATGCAAGGCCAGGCTTGTCTTACCTTGAGTTTGTATGGGATATCAACTTTCGACAGTAGAATGTGAGAGTCGATAGAGAGTTGGGAGGATGTGGGAAGAGAAGAGGAGGAATGGACCGTCCGGAAAGACGAAGGTTCTTCAGAAGAAATGAGGCACCTCAGCAGGGTCGCCGCCGATGGAGGGGGTGGGGCTCGCCGTAGCGGACGCTCATGAGCCAGCTGAAGCTGGAGGGGGGATCCCGCCCACCTTTGGAGGGGCAACGTCGTCACGGTCCGATAAACCGGTACCAGATTTTGCGCTAGATTCGCTCATAATTCGGCGTATCCCGCTAGCTTGTCTTCCGCCATCCTTCCAACAGTTAGTTCTGTTCCTCAATATTTCTTGTTTGCTCATGCGAGCATGTTGAGCGAAAACGCAGCTATGAGATCAATTATCAGACATTGGCTCACATATACAAAATGAGCATTGGGGCCAACTCCTGCTGATCCTTTATTATGACAGCGGAGATGAGCCAGAAAGGTGCACACGACCGGATTTGATCGAATAACAAACGTCAAAGCATCAAAATCCCTCTCGTCACCCTCCGCTGTCGCAGGCACTCCTTGGGCTGCGAAACCGCCACGCCTCATTCAGTGACTAAAAAAGATGACCTAACCCCAGTTCCCGCCACTGCTGTTAGCCAAGAACGATAAGGCACCTGTGCCAACACGTTCGCGAGGGAAGAGGGATTTCATTTCAATAACGGTCAAAACAACCAGGTGAGCTAATCTGGCGGCACCAGTGCCACACGTTGAGAGGCATTTTGCAGACATTTGCATTGCAATGTGCTTTATTGGTCAGGACTAGCTAGCACAGCCAGTCTAAATGCATAAGATGTCGTGCTGGTGAGTAATAAACCAAAAACCCTGCCTGAACGCCAGCTGTGAAGAGAACGTGATATCCCCGACTTTCCCGCCTCCAAGGCCGTCTCTAGAACCGCTCCTTCATCCGCGCCGATACCGTCCTGAGGTTTCCATAAACCTTGCTTGGAGGCTTACCCAGGATCAGGCTCACAACTGACTCACGAGCAATGTGAATGTTCTTGAAGCCGCCGAGGATGTGGATCTTTGAGTCGGCCAGGACGATCCGTGTTTTGCTGGTGTTCTCAATGGCGTACTTGGTCTTGCCATCTTTCCCGGCGATGCGGCCGATGGCGCGCGCTTGGCTGTCGCCGTGCATTGTCCTCACGTCCTTGATCTCGAAAGTCTCAATGTACAGATCGTCCAGTCGGAGCAGGGCTATCGCATCGTCCACATCGAATCCCAGTGTGAATGCCTTGACAAAGTCCTCGCCCTTTTGCAATGCGCCCGAGTCTTGTGTGTGTTTCGAGGTGCGTAGCTCTACTGTTTTGCGCTTGATGTTCATGCGGCACTGCAGCTTGAGGTGCTCGACCAGGGGAGGGTAGATGGCCACCCACGCGTGCTTTAATGGTGTCATGCGATGCGGTGGGACGGGGATTTTGCGTGTCTCGATGCGGGTGACAGGGTCCTACTCATAATCAATATGCCGGATCAAGACTGGGATGGAAACGTAGGTTGAACGCACGATATCTCTTGCTGCCGCGAACCTGGGCCGGCCCTCCTCGTCCACCATCATCGAGTCGTTGTTGTTCTTGACGGGCGCAAGAATCGTGTCGGGATCGATATTGTCGGTGGTCTCTAGAGTGAACTCCTCCTCTTCATTTCCAAGTTCCATGGCTAGATGTAGTGTCAGCTGCCGAACGACACATATCTCATCGAGTCTCCAAACCTTCTGGCATCGCATCGCCGTTGAGAGCGACAGGCGGGGCATCCTCTGCCTTCTTCAGCGCGGTGGGCGCAGGCATTTTGTAAGACAGGAGCTGTTGGCGGCAGAGGTTGATCAAGGTGGAAATCTTTGTAACGTAAGCGAGTGCTTGCCAGAGTAAACAGCGATTGTAGTACTGACGCTTTGAAAAAGTTACACCTTCAACATTGATCGTGGGGCTCGCCGGCCCGGGACCCTGATAAGCTGCACTGAGCACATTTTTTTGTGATATCTTATCTTATCGCCACTTATCGATTAGAGCTATGTTGGAACAATCCCTTATCCCTGAGGCGCGTCATGGAGACTTTTCCATGTACCTGGAAAGCAGGTTGGGCATTTGATACATCATCCTATCTCGCTTTGTTTGCTTCGCTTCGCCATCCACGCACCAGTGCGTGTTGTTCTTCCCGTGTCTGCAGGCGCCATGAAAAGGAGACATGTCTAGAGTCAATCCCTTATGGTTCTTTGGTCGTATTTTATCACACAGCAAGCCCGATAGCTCTGGAAGCAGATTTCTTCCCCATCTCTCCGCGACATCGCGAGCGTTCACTACAGGCGACCAGTCAACAGCGCCGCGAAGATGTATCGACACAGGATATAGGACGCAGCCGGTCCGGCATCCGCAGAAACGCTATGGATTCATCGCCTTTCGTTCATCGCTTTGCACTCTGCAACGCCAGGTACACCCGGTCGACAAACTCGACACGTCATGGAACGGCCGGATACGCTGGCGATGGCGCGAGCAGCGAGCCTACAGCAAAGGCCGCGATGACCAAAGGTCGCACCGCATCCAAGATGACGCCCATCATGGCGTATCACAAACTCGCAAGCCCGATCCGAAGCCAGAGCAAGGTTCGCCTACGAACAAGCCCGACGGCGAATCCGAGGCCGAATCGCTTACCGCGTCCATGTCGAAATATCTGCCTCACCTACCGCATCGACCTACAAAAGCCGAGCTGTTGGCTGCCGCGACAAATTTCCGGCAGCGCATGAAAGTCCGTTTCAAGTGGATGTCGATCAGGTCAATGCGACCGTGGAATGCTGATGAATGGGGAGCATTTGTATCATGGATTATGCTTGGTCATATTGTCTGGGTGCTTGTCGGGACGACGACCTTCTTCTCGTTGCTCATCCTCTCCATCAACACTGTCTTTGCACAAGGTATGCGACCCGGGCTGTGCGACGTGCTTTACTTCTGCTTACCATGAAAATAGAAACTCTTGCGCGATGGGTCGGCGACTATCTGACGCAATCTGCAGGACTGACAGTCATCTTTGAGTCTGCCATTGTTCCCAAGTGGAGGAGCGGCGTCATCTCCTTCCGCAATGTGTTCGTTTCGCGTCGACCGGGACAGCAAAAGTCCACTGTCAGTAAGGGCTCGACCGACGCGGCCGCTGTGGCTGCTGCAAAGGGCGCCCAGCAAGGGGGCACTGCGGATGAGGAGGACGACGGCAACTACACCCAATTCGACGTGACCATTGCAAACGTTAACGTCACGCTGTCTTTCTTAAATTGGTGGAATGGAAAGGGCCTCCTGAAGGACGTGGAAGTGAAGGGCGTACGAGGCGTCATCGACCGCACATCGGTCCGCTGGTCGTCAGAGCAGGTCGACCCGTTGTCATATCGGCATGAGCACCAGCCTGGTGATTTCGAAATGGAGTCTTTCAAGCTCGAAGACTTGCTGCTAACCATCCACCAACCACACGGGTTCCGGCCCTTCTCGGTCAGCATCTACTCGTGTGAGCTCCCCCAACTGCGGAAACAGTGGCTCTTTTACGACTTTCTCTCAGCGAAGCACATGTCAGGATCCTACGACGGCTCCTTGTTCACGATACACCCCAAACAAGTCCATGGGACGTCGGCCGGGGAGAACCAGGGCAAAGCTCTTGGCTTTGGCGAGGCGGATGCCTGGGAAAAGTTCAGCAGACTGAGGATCGACGGTCTGAAGATAGATCACCTCAACCGTGGGGTCGAAGGTCCGTTTGGCTGGATCTACGAAGGTGACGTCGACATCATCGCCGACATTGCGTTCCCCGCGGATAATGATGAGAGCATTACAAAGGTCGTCTCGGACTTCTACGACCAACTAGAAGAGGTTGTCGTAGCGAATCGGCATCGATTTATCCGCAACATCAACGACAGCGCGCCCGACATGCTTCGGTCAGGGCACTTGTCCGAGGCATTTGAAGCAGAAGCAGCGGCGGCAGAAAAGGCCGGTGCTGACAAGGGGGCGGCAGAGGACGCTTCCGACGAAGACCGGCGGTATCTGCTAATGGATCTGCGCATCCACCTCAACGATGTGAAAGCTGCCGTGCCGCTGTTCACCAAGGACTTGACCTATGTCAACCAGGCCCTGGTCCGGCCCATTGTTGCCTACATCAACGCCAAGAAGACGTATATTCCCATATCCTGCCGCCTCGTCAAGAGAGCCAGTGACTTTGACGGCAGCTGGAGCGTCTACGACTGTGGCCTCATGAACGATATGTCTGCCGAGACATATGATGCCTTTGCAATGGACATCGAGAATCAGCAGAGTCGGGTGAGGCGCTTCAAAAAGGTCGGCTTCTGGACCTTGTCGCTTGCTATACACGCTCTGTTCATGGGCATGGCGGGCCAGGTTGCGTGAGCAACCATGGTTCGGGAGCTGTGTTGTGTTCTGTTGTATGTTTGTATATATATCTGTCTGCTGGTTGTCACTTATACGAAGGGAGAAGCGCATAGTTCTGGGACTTGGGGGGAAAGGTTTGGAATAATAGGCGCTTGGGAGTTTCGAGCCGAACTGGGACCTGTCGATACCCTACTTTGAAGACTTGTCACGAAATACACGTGTATTGCTCAATTGATTTTGCTTTTGACAGCCGCCGCTGCGCACGTCCACGTCTGACATGATCATCCATGTCGTATCTAAAGATGGTCCTTCGAAGCATCGCCTATCACCATAATTGCATCAGACTCATCATGTTCTTTTTTGACGCCTATTCATGCAAATGCAAATGTGTCCGCCCCCTTCACCGGCCACGAGACTTGTCCTCGCGCCCGCGCCCTGCCCTCGCGCAGAGCGTCACACAAACCCCGTGCTTCTGTATGTATCACACGTCGCCCCTATCTGCATGGTCGCGGTTCATTGGGACAGGGATATGGTCGGTCGGTCAAAAGACTATGCCGAAACCATTCCAAACCCACGGCAGATGTACCGCGATAGCAAGTACGCAAGGACTGGATACTTAGTTGTCGAAGCCAAAAGTTTCTAAGAATCATCAAAGCCTTTCACATAAAATCATCACTTCAAAAAAGAAAAAGCGTTAGCATGCTCTCCGAAGAGGGGTGACTAGCCCGTAGGTACTTACTCTCCGAAAGCATCATTATTGTCGTAGTTGCCCGTCTCGTCGTCGTCGGCGTGATTCGAGACGAGCGTGGCCTTTGTCTTTGAGGCCTTTGTCTTCTTGCTGCCCCCCTTGGCCTGGTCCTTCTCGGCCTTCATCTTCTCGTTGGCCAGCGCGGTGAGCGAGGAGGAGACCTTCTTAGTCGCCTCGCTCGACATCTCGGCGGCGAGCTGCTTGGAAAACTCTTGGAGGAAGTTCGCGTAGTGGGAATTTTTGGCGTTGGCGGTGATGATGGGCGCGAGGGTGTTGCGCAGCTGCTCAAACTGGCTCTTGGTGGTGGGGTTGAACAGGGGGAGGGCGGCCAGGTTGACCGTCTTGGTAGGGTCGTCCTTTTCGATCTGGACGGCGGCGCCGGCCGTGTTGGCCTTGCGTCCACTGCTGATGCCGACGCTGCCAAAGAGATCCTCGGCGTGGGCCAGGTCACCCTCCTTCTCGGTGCGGCGCAGGCGCTCGCGACGCTGGGCCTCGGTCTCCTCCTCGGATTCCTCGTCCTCGAGGGCGGCGGCGGCGCGGGCCTTTTGGTGCTCAGCAACCCGCTCGGCCTTTGACTTTTTGTTGGCGGCGGCCTCGGCGGCGGCCTTGGCCTTGGCTTCGGCGACCTTGCGCTCCTTCTCGCGCTCTACCTCGGAGTCTTCCGCGGCATCCCACGAATCAAGGACCTGTGATGGTGTGAGGGGGGGGATTCTTTTCTTCGAAATCGCTTCGGCTGGTGGTTGGGTGCTCTTACGTCGCTGTCGTCCTCCTCATCGTCGAATTTGCGCCGAGGGGCAACGGCTGGCACGACGGGTGCATCGGAGCCACTGCTCGAGTCCTCTTCCTCGTCATCTACTTTTGTTAGTATACTTGGTGGCACGCTTGAATGGATGAAGTGCAGTGTACTCACCCCACTTCTTAGGAGGCGCCATGATGTTTGTCGAGATGTTTCAGCGAGTTCGTTCGGTTCGCAAGTTTCGTGATGGTATCGCGGTGCGGCCCGTACAGGAGCGAGTATGGATCGAAGAGGGGTGCTGTACGCGGGTGTGGTCTAGCAGTGCGCGTATCGGAGGATTCAGGGTTGGAAATCCACACAATTCACCAAGAAGCAGACGCAAATGATCGCAGAAGACAGGTGAAGAAGCGTGCAGTTGAACGAAGTCGGCGAACAGTGGAGGGGTGACTGACGACGGTTGGATCAAGGAGGGGCAATTCTGGCCTGCGAAAAAAAGGGCTGGCTCGCTTGCGTCAGGCGCCAAAATCTTTTTCGATTTTTTTTCCATATCGCGCAATGCGATTGCACATGAAGCCTAACTTTTCCAGCAGACCTGAACAGAGGACTTGGTAGCTCAGATACAGGCTATGCCTACAGTCCAATGTGTTTCCAATTTTTATAGCGATCTATGGGCGCATCGAGCCATGCCCAACGCCAATTCGACGTTGTGCGTGCGCCGTTGTCGCAACAATCGGATCTGCCCCTCTTCACTCAGAAACGCGGGATGACGATGATGATGATCGTCTTGGCACGGATCGTCCGTTAGGTCTCGTGCGTAATTCATTGTAATAGAGATTTGATGTGCAGAGACGTCACCACCGAATCGCATATTGATTTTCTGCATGTCACTGGGCTCGGCAATAACATATAAGACGGGACGTACGGAGAAGAAGCACGTGAAATAGCGTTGGCGTGCTCATGAAGCCGACTCTATTCTATAATCTAATAGATGGCGCAGATGCGATGACCCGAGTCGGCTTCATCAATCCGCACAATTCTTGCTTTCCGTGCAAAGGCATAGTCGGAACTGACAGATCCTTTTCTTAAACTAATATTAACTCATCTTCCCACTTCGCCGTCTCTGAGTCACCTGGCCCCCAGCTTCCGGTTCTTCCCTTGCTGCAACACGCTCAAAGCTGCTCAAGTCAGCTCGCTCCGACCTCTCCCGATTCTTGAACGCCGTACCTCAAGACAGAGTGAGATTATTTGCGCTACTCGTTCGGAACTTGCAGGGAGTTGTATTGAACCTTCGTTGTTTTGATGGATACGAAATGGCGGAGCTGAAAATGATTCTCGTACGTCACGAGGTACCTTGTTGAAGTGCCTTATTTTTCAGTCATGGGGATCAGGTCCGTATATAAGTCACTGGGCCCGGTCAGACCGGTGCACGTTGGAGGTTTAGCTACTACCACAGCATCAAGCTCATAAGATACACACTATCCCGTTTCTATCAAGTAATACTTACCAACCCACTGGGACCTCTCAAGTCAACATTGCCCACCGCGCCACATAGTAACGCCAAACCCTCTCAAACACATCCATGATAGCAGCTTCGATACCAAGCAAAGTCACCGTGGGCGGACATGCAGTGCGGCTCGCCAGGACCGCGACGCTCTACCATGCTCCTGCACACATCAACGGACTGAGGCTCGTCTGTGCTGCGGCGCAGTCCCATGCGGCCCCTCGGTACTTCTCGACAACATCAAGAACCCAACTTCGAGACTTCTTTCCGAAAAGAGAGACTGTTCACATTCAGACGACGCCTGCGGCCTGGCCTCATCATGGCTACACCATGGAAGAGATGAAGGCGGTAGTTCCCGCCCATCGCAAGCCCGAGGGCCTGGTTGACTGGGCCGCCTGGAAGGTCGTCCGCATGGCCAGGTTTTGGATGGACCTGGCGACGGGAATGCAGAGATCACAGCAGGTGGACAAGAAGAATCCCACCACAGCTGTCGCGGCTGAAAAGCCCCTGACAGAAGCACAATGGGTACGTCAACAATGAAGCAGAAAGGCACCAACACGTTGCTAACCGGAACAGCTCATTCGCTTCGTGTTCCTGGAGAGCATTGCCGGCGTGCCGGGGATGGTGGGCGGCATGCTTCGACACCTCAACTCGCTCCGCCGCATGAAGCGCGACAATGGGTGGATCGAGACGCTGCTCGAGGAGAGCTACAACGAGCGCATGCACCTGCTCACCTTTATGAAGATGTGCGAGCCCGGGTGGTTCATGAAGACCATGATCATCATCGCCCAGGGCGTTTTCTTCAACGCCATGTTCGCGACGTACCTGGTCGCGCCCAAGGTCACGCACCGCTTCGTCGGCTACCTGGAGGAGGAGGCGGTGCACACCTACACCAGGGCCATCAAGGAGATTGAGGACGGCTCGCTGCCGAAATGGTCGGATCCGGACTTTCAGATCCCCGACATTGCGGTCCAGTACTGGAAAATGCCCGAGGGCCACCGCACGATGAAGGACCTCATTATGTACATCCGCGCCGACGAGGCCGTACACCGTGGCGTTAACCACACGTTGAGCAACCTGAACCAGAACGAGGATCCGAACCCGTTTGTGAGCGATTTTAAGGATCGCGAGACGCCCAAGCCCGCGCTGAAGAGTGCTGGCTACGAGCGTAGCGAAGTCATCTGAGCAGTGGGTCTGTTTCGTGTACTACTATAGATTTCTTGTTGCAATATTATAGAGAGACTTGTTGTAATAATAGATATACTTGTTGTGGTAATAGAGAGACCTGTTCTAATAATAGAGAGACTTGCTGGAATCACAAAGAGATACCCTCACGTTAGGCTCGGAATGGTCTGCAGAAGGGTCGAAATGCAGAGTCAACGTCGTCGAGGTCGTGCTTTGGGTGGATCCATCTTTGGCAGTCAACCTTGCATCTTAGCACGCCAAGGGTCGGATCTGCCTTGCCAGGGTAGGCCCCGCAAAGGAGATCCGCGAGACTTTGGAGTCTTGGACTTGAACGTTCATGTGTACACGTAGGTACGGACATGGAGTCGGTGCCCATGTATTCGGCGCGTCTCATCGCTCTTCGAAACATCGGACGACCTGATCATGGAGCGGGCGGCTCAGACGTGACGAGGCCTGCAGGACAGCCTGAAGCCTAGTGATACCGCGCCGGTACATGGGATATGCATAAGAATCCACGACCGTCGGCGTGTGATATGGAAGCAATGAAACTAGGCGCATGTGCCGCCCTGTCACAGCTAAACCAGATGGACGCTGTGACCCATCACGTATGCGCAGGTATGCGACGTTTATTTGTGGAAGTGGATATCTCGGACATTTGAGAAGCCGGACACTGGTTCTGTTACGTCTGTCATTCTGGTTAGACGAAACGCCTCCATCTCTGACCAGTGATGATGATAGTATATTGCAAGCTTGGAACACCTTCGCAGAGGCAGCTGTTACGTAGTCTAACAAACAGATGGCATTTGGACGGACCGACCCAGAATGACATCATACTTTTCATTTCAAGTTGGATATTGTTTTACGTACTAGTGGCAACAATAGTGCCGAGTCGGTCTTCAAGAGAACGCAATCAACAAGACGAGCATCTCGAAGGGGAACTATGATGGTGTACGGATAGACTTGTAGATCAAGACGCCAAGTCCGGGTCTCACTCCTTCTGCGGCACGCATGGGGTCAGCCACACGTTAGGAGCCACGTTGCCGAACTCGCCGTCCTTGCGAAAGTGCGTGTTCTTCATGTGAAGGCGCATGTCGACGCTGGCCAGTCCAGAACAGGGAACCCAGTCCCAATGGCTGGACACGCGAGATGCAAGGCACCACCAACCACATCCTCGACTTTAGGCTCGCGCAGATGCTTCATGCTTAATATGAAGAGTGATTCAGCACGTATGAATGCCGAACTCGGAATTTCCCGCGGCAATTACCTGTTGTGGTACTGTACTGGCAAGTTGCACGTTGTTGGCCTACTGGGCTAACACGTATAATTACATTAGGACTGGATGGACCCTGAAGCCAGTGGCTGGAGCCCCGGACCCTCCACTAGAGCGAGTCCAGTCCAGCCACAATCCTGTCTGCTGCTCTTCATGTCCAGTCAGACTGCCCGCCTTTTCCCCTCCACGAACGATATCAGCGCCCACATTCCATCCCTCCAGTCCAGTCCCTCCCACCTGCAGCAGACAATCATCATTCCCAGTGATCCAACTTATCTGCCTCGTCGTCGTACCCGTCGTCGTCAGCTTCCCAAACTTCCCTGACGCCCTCGGTGCCATCCTCGTCCCATCGAGACACCGCGTGACGTCTCATTCGACCTCACCTCCTTGCACAGCCTCACCCCATCCCGCACCAACCAACTTCTGCCTGCGCTAGCGAAGCGGCCCTGGGGCCTGACCTCATTCTCCATCCAGCCCTTCAACGTCTCCCTCCCGACGGGTCCTCTTTTCGCAGCTTCACTGGGAACCCGATTCGCGAATACGGCCATACCGCCGCAGGCACCGCAGCAAGCATCGCACGCGCGCCCACAAGCCGACGTGGCCCCATCCTTGGAGCTTCAGGTTCAGACGGGTCATTGCTTGGTGGAGATCTTGGAACCCTAGACTAGTACAAGTCGTCGAGCACTGACCTGCTCATCTCGACGCGCGCAACCGGTCTGGCCTGGCCAGCTCCTCCAATTCTCCTGCGAGCTCGGGTGATTCTCTACATCACGACTCATCTGCTGTTCCTGCTGCTCTGCCACTGGCTACGGCCCCGAAACCAGCGCGACGCGGCCTGTCCCCACGATCTCTCCCACACCGAACTTCCGGGAAGCACAGCCTCATCCTCACCACCATCGCCTCGGGCTTGTCCAGCTCCCGCGAGGGCTGATTGCCGGGAATCAGCCTTACAGACCGCCGCCGTCCGCGTGTCCGCACACTCGCCGTCGCGTGTCGTTCTAAACTCGGCAACACCATACTTCGCACTCCACCCATGGATGAGCAAGACCAACGCGGCCGGTCGGCCTCGACCGGCCACCAACACCCGCATCTACAAAGCCAATCCCATTCTCCGTCACCCGGTACATACCAGCAGACCGATCTGTCGAATGGTCTTGGTCTTGGTCTCGAACAGCAAGGGCAGCCGGTCTTCTCGTCCGATCCGAACATTGACTCCTTTGCGAACAACAACTTCTTCGACCCCAACACCAGCTTCGGCCAACAGCTGGGGAATACGGATTTCGGGCAATCGCAGAACGGGTATCTCTCCCCCAACCTGACGAACGACGGCGACTTCCCGCTCTTTTCCCAGACCGGGGCGCAAGGGAAGCACTTCAACGCACCGCTGTTTGACCAGACGACGTTGAACCCCAACGATATCAACAATATGACCTCCCCTGGATCCCAATCAGCGCACTCAACGCACTCGCCGCCGAATCTCCTCCAACCTGACGGCCAGCCTGGTTCTGCGCAACAATCGCCATCGTACAACCAAACACATTTCTCGCCCCCAATGGGGGGTGGGCATCACTCCAGGAACACCAGCCATGCTTCCCATGCGTCACTCGGGCCGGAGTCAGCTCTACACCCCAATCAGCTGGGCGATTGGTCGCACGTCCAGTTCCATAATCATCGTCGCAGTCCCTCTGCGCACTCGGACATCTCGTCCGTCTCACCTTCGCCCAACGTGATCGCATCGGACAGCTTCGATGAGCAGTCGGGCCATTCGCCACTGCAACAGTCGGCTGATGGCACCCTCTATGATCCGGTGATGGGAGGCATAGGCAACTTTACACTGTCCGACGCTGGGAGTCCCGGCGGCCAGGGGCGGAGTCCATCCCATAGTCCTGCGATCAGCCCCAGGATCATGCCGCAGCAGATGGCGGACCCGACCGCAAGCTTTGGGATGATGGCGCCCAACCCTTATGCCGACCCCAATGCCTATGTCAGCCACCAACCAGGGGAGGCATTCCCCAACTTCCAGCAAAGCCAGCACGACATGTCGCAAATGGCGCCGCCATCGATCAACATTGTCCATGCGCCTAACACACGCGATGGCTCTGGAGCAGATGGCAGGGCGTTGGACCAAGACTCCCTGACACCCCCGGACAGAGGTGAGCAAGCAAGCAGGCGGACTCTCGTTGTCTGACAAGGAGAACAACGTGTACTGACGACATCCACAGGTCGTAAGCTAGCCCGACAAAGGGCCGTCACAGATCCGTTCCACCCAGGAGTGGCCATGGGCCGCCGGATCAGCTCCCACAGTCCCTCCAACTCATCGCAATCGGCTCTGTCTCCCCGCTCCGATGTCTCGAGATCCCTCTCGCCACACTCGGGCGTGTCGCCGAACCGAAGACGGCAGTCGACCTCGGCGGTGCCCAACAACGTGATAGCTTTGCGGTTAGCGGACCCCGAGTTCCAGAACAGCGCCGAGTCCGGCAACGCGAAGAGGGCGCAGAAGCACCCGGCCACCTTTCAGTGTACACTGTGTCCGAAGCGCTTTACAAGAGCATACAACCTCCGGTCGCATCTGCGCACGCACACGGACGAGCGCCCCTTTGTGTGCACGGTCTGCGGCAAGGCGTTTGCCCGCCAGCACGACCGCAAACGTCACGAAAGTCTGCATTCTGGAGAGAAGAAGTTTGTCTGCAAGGGAGAGCTGAAAGCAGGCGGCCAGTGGGGGTGCGGCCGTCGGTTTGCTCGAGCTGATGCTCTGGGCCGGCACTTCAGAAGTGAAGCTGGTCGCATATGCATCAAGCCGCTGCTGGACGAGGAGTTGATTGAGCGGCAGCGCCAATGGCGGGAGCAGCAGATGGCGCACAACGCCAACATGGTGCCACAGCCCATGGCCATGGATCCTACTGGAGGCTACTCGCACGATGCGAACGGCAGCTTTACCCTCCCCGCCGCTTTGCTCGCGCAGTACCCGGCGCTGGCGCAGATGAACTGGTCTGGACCTGAGATGGGCAATATCGATGAAGACATTAGCGGGCGGTCGTCGTTTGACGCGAGCGACTTTGACGATGGGGACGATAATGGATATGTCAGCGGCCCGGGCACAGGGTATGGCGACGGCGGGCTGAGTCAGAACTATGGCGAGCTTGGATACGCCAGCGACATGGGACAGCGCTGAAGGAGGCTATTGCTCATAGAATGTGGGGTATGGGCGACTCGTGTCGCATCCCTTTTTACGTGTAACGACAGCGCGACAGCTTGGAGTTTAGGGCCTAGCCAAGGAACAGGCGGGCGGGAGGCACTCGCGGCTTTCATTGCGCATTGGCTTCATTGGATATAGACGGGGCGTGCGGACCAGTATGATACCAAAGCGACGCTTTTTCTTTTTTACTCTTCGTCACCTACACAATGTCGATCTTGATGGCGAGGATGCTCTTGGAGACGAACCCCGAGACGTAAAGCCAGGCCTTGCGTTGGCCAGCTTCCAAGGCTGGGTCAATGGCCACCAGGACGGCCACGCTGGCGGCCCTGATTCTACTGCCATCATCCTGAAACAGGAGTTTGTTGCCCCACCCCTGTGCGCTGTCGCCCTCCGTCACTGAGGGCCGCGTGATCCAGACCATGGAGCCGTCTAGGCCAGCGGGATTCTTTGCCGACTCGACGACCTTGTAGCCGTTGCTCATGCCGCCATTGACGTAACCTGACAGGTCGAGCGCCGGGGTGGCATAGGGATCTCGAAAATACGTCGGGTTGTCAATGGCCGAGTCCAGGTTGATCGACTCCAAGACCTCAAGCGTCCCCTCGCGCTTACCAAACGTGGCGAGGTGCATGGTGCCACTGGCCGCGCTGCCGATGAGCACCTGGTCTGATGTATTTCCGTGGCCGAGGCCGTTGTTGTTGTGCAGGCCCGTGAGGGCGACGTTGGCACGGACCTCGGCGCCCTCGAGCAGGACGTGGATGGTCGTGGACCACGTGGCGCCGGAAAAGACGTCCTCGGCAATACGCATGGCGCCCTCACGGTAGTGGTGGTCATTTGTGACGTAGAACTCACGGGGGGAGACCGCGAAGATATCGTTGGGCGTCGCGATCAGGGGATGTTGGACGCTCCGGACGTGGCGGGCGGAAGATGCACCGAGGAGGTGGTGGAAGATGTCGACGCGCGAGGCGGACTTGTTGGTCGGCTCGGGTGTCTGTCCATGGGCCGAGGCGCGCTTCCACTCGACGTAGGCCGGGGCGGGGACGTGGTTGACGACAAAGATGTAGACGGCGGGCACCTTGTCCGCGTCTGGATCCTCCACCACGTCGATGCCATGTGGAATCAGGGGACCCTTGAAGTCCTCCAACGTCAAGCGCTGGGCCTTGTGCGTCTGCGGATGCTTGTCAGTCTACTACATGTACACGGAGAGAAGGGCACGTGGACTTACGCCAGCGCCAATGACACGGATCGACCCAGTGGCTTCCAGACCGGCGATGGGGTCGTCAAAGTTGGTGAGGGGCGGGAACCAGACATGGCGAGTCTCTGCCGCGTCGGCACACGCGCTGAAGAGGACGTTGGCGGGCGCGTAGTAGTGCAGGTCCTCGCAGTGCGTTGTGTCGGGGATGTAGACGAGGTGCGCCGGGTTCTCCACGACCGAGGAGTTGGGGGCCCGGAAGACGCCGAGGACGGACACGCTGCGTTGCAGGGCCGGTCCGTAGAGGACGCCGACGAGGACGGGGAGCAGAAGCAGAGCTAGGTTCCTGGGGGATGCGAGGGACGACATTGTTTACGCAGTGTCAGACCGTCGGCAATGGGGCATGCTGGAGGTGAGCAGGACTGCCATTGAAGCGGCGCGTCCATAAATATAAGTGCATGTATGATGGATGATCTAATGAACATGCCAGGAACCGCGGCACCCCGCAATCTGATTCGAGTAAATCGGAGTAAATTCCATCGTGGAGGACGATCACATCCTTCTCCGCTTCCCCCCTCATCAGTTCATTACCCACCCACCCACCCACCGTGTCCTGGTGTCCACAGCCCATCGGCCCCATCCCCAATCTTCAGCTCGACGCTCGCGAGCTCGGCCACATGCTCGACACCGGCTGCGTGCTTGGTTGCTTCGTCAGGGAGGGCGTGTCAGTGTGAGCCTTGTCGTATGAAACAAAGATCTTTTGGCTGTACTGCTCCAGCCCCACGGACCACGACGGACGTGTCCCAAGCAGGCTCCCAGTCCCAGGTGAAGCAGACGGGGCCCACAAAGGGGCGCCACCACGGCTCGGGGTCGTCGTTGACGATGAGTTTGCCGCCGTCAACCTCGCGGGCCTCCCGTCCAACCAGCTGCGCGCTGAGATAGGGCATTGCGGCTATGGCGTGCGGGAGCATTGTCGGCGAGTGACTCGTTGACAAGACGTCCCCATTCTGCAATGTTCACGTCGAGCTCCTCCGTCCGGAAACTCGTCCAAGTCGCGGTGACTGTCGTTTTTCGCAGTATCCAGTCAATCTTTCAGCGTGCCGGTAGTCACAGTGACATCTACGCCTGGACTGAGTATGGGGTCGTGACTCGTGAAGCGGGTCATGGAAAGGCCCCAGCTCGATTATGCGGGGGCCGCTCTCTGGTTGAATATATTGACAGCGACCTCCGAGGGTCTCTTGTGCCTCCAGTACGATAGCCACGAAACCAGCACTGGTCATCTCCTGAGCAGATGTTAGTCCCTAGGTGCGTCCACCTACGATAACCCCGCCGGTTCTAGAGCAGTCATGGGGAACAAAGACGCCACCAGACACGGAGGCCAGGAGGCCAGGAGGACCGCAAAAGATCTGATTCTTGGGGACATCATTGTGCTTGGAAGTACGTGTCAAGGTACGTAAGGTAGGTACACTGGACATGATATGAGCAATGACGGAGAGTCGTGGCGGTATAGAGAGCTCTCCGTCCTTACTCTTCGGTCCGATTCCTTGCCAGTTCCATGTCGATTTGCGTAGAATTGCGTTTTCGCTGAGCTTGGTATTATTTTGACAACGTTGCAAAATATGCCAAAGATGATGTTATACATATGCTGCACGAGGACGGCGCAGCAGCGCATCCCGGTCGATTGGTTCTCACGTGCGCCTTGCATGCAGTGTACATACATGTAGGCGCGCTGTGCTTGGCGGCGACCATGCAGTACATACTCCTCCATTTGTACGTATGCCCGAGCCATCGACTGCAATCCCACTGTCTCCTAGTGTTGCCCCCCTGCCAGGCTGTTGCGCTGACACCGAGACTGTGTGAAGCTGCACAGGGGCTTCGCCCACCCGCGGACTGAGCACGTTTTCCAAGGGCAAATACAACGAGGATGTGGTCATTACTTCTCAGACAGGGTTTCGAGTGCTAGGTAGTGAGTGGGTGAGTAGCCACCACACCGCTTTGACTAGAGTCAGCCTCCTGAGACCTCCTCCTTTTATGAGCACAACAAGCCAAGCCGATGCAATATGCGCCAGCAGAAGATTCGAAGCGGATGCGTGACATGTCGCGCGAGGAGGAAAAAGTGCAACGAAGTCAAGCCACCATGCGCCGGCTGTCGACACAACCAGATCCCATGCAACTGGCCGCTACCTCCTCCGTCTACCCAACCCTCAACAACTGCCTCCCCCCCCCCAAAGACGAACAGCATCTCTAAGGCGCAAAATGGATGGCAACCCTCCCGCCCATCTAGCAGTGTCTACCAAACCCACGGACTCCCAGACAGTCCTCTAGTATCAGCACCAGCAGCACGTGTCCTTCATACCGCCCCCACTGCCCCCATGGTCCACCGGGGCGCTGACAGCGATCGTGGCGGCCAGCGCCCTCGTGCTTTGACACCCCTATCCATCTCCATGCTCTCGCACTTCCTCACGCACACGGCTTCCTTCTTCGCCATGAGCCCTCTGCAGGACAGCCAACCACTTTGTCACCCTCCTGGTCCCGCTGGCCTCGACGGACGACCTCCTCATGCATGCGCTTCTGGCCCTGAGCGGCGAACACATGGCGTCGCAGGACCCTAGAGGCCAAGATGTCGCCCAAGCCAGGGACGTGCATTATGCACGGTTATTAAGTGGGCTGCGAGCCGAGTTTGGGTGTCTACAAGAAAGTGATCTTGCCAAGAAGGAGAGGTTGCTGTGCCTGCTGCTGGTGGCCTGTCGCTACGAGGTACACCGAGCTCGTCTCTCGTTCCTAGCCCGAAACCTCTCTTTGCCAATACACCTCGGTCTAGAGAGCGTATTGCTAACGTGGCATGACTGTCCCCGGGAACGTTCATGGGGCCTTCTCCAGGCATCTCTGCGCCAGCCGTCATCTCGCCAAGTCACTCGTGGCCAGAAGGAGCATGAGCGCGGAGAACGACCAGCTCTGCCACGAATCACCATTCACCAACGGTCTTCTTGGATTCAGACTTGAGCTGTACACATACACCATGCTGTGCAATCTCGGCGTACATCCTCCGTCCACAGAACCTGTGGCCGACCTCCTCTTCATGTCCTTTGAGAACATGTCCAAATTCCCTACCTTTGGCGTCCCCTTTGCCGGCAGTCATAAACTGTACCGAGTCATTCCCGAGATCGATGCGCTTCCTTCGAGGCGTCGGGTCGAAAAGCGCAATGACCTTGCCCGTCCCATCACATCCCTCATGCAAGACAACGATAGCCTTCACAGTCGTCTGAGTGGGGGCGGTGGCGCCGCCCTCCTGGCCGGGAGAGACAGAGAGACAGAGACAGAGTTTTACAGTACGCTTCTGCCGAGGCCTTGCGCCACGCATTGCACATATACCTCGCCACGGCTCTCGCGGGCTCCTTCGTGACTGGGACGACGTGGTGCGCCGTTCGTCGTCATGCGGGTGCCTTGTTCCCGTACGTACGGACCCTCGTGGCCTCGCAGCATTACGTGGCGACACTGTTATGGCCCGTCATGGTCGGCGTGTTGTGCATCATCGAAGCTGAACCGCAAGCGCTCTTGGTCCAAGAGATTCGCGCAGACTGGTCTGGCATGGGCCACGTCGGCATGATGGCGGATGTTTTGCAACTCTTGTGGGACAACCCCGACCCTGAAGCATTCGGACCACATGGACTGAAAAAGTAATGAGACAATCTGTACTCTATGAAAGGAATTATGGACTCGAGAGGACTCATCTATCCTTGACGTTCTTTTTCTTCCTCTTCTTGTTCTGTCTTGCGACCACATTGCTCCGACGATGCACAACGCCAGTTAAAAACACAATTATCTCCAAGGTCTATGCCAGAAAACTAAAAACCATTTGTTGATCTATCCCAGGACAAAGGAGAAGTATGTCGGAGGGCCAAGTGCCCGCATTTTGAAAGGAGCTTGGCGAAACCCATCGTCTACTCGGCCTTCTTGGACGTCTTGGTACGCAGCTTCATCAGCAAGTACACCAAAGCGTAGGAGCTGAAACACATGGCGACCACAATGCCAGCGTCGCGCCATCCGTACGAGTATGCATTCAGGTTCAAAGTCCGGAGGTAGTCCTCGCCCTTTGAGTACGTGCATACCTGGCAGTTGGCCGTGGCATCCGGGTTGACGAGATGGCTCGCCCGTCCCATGCCCTGCGTCAAGTAGTCAGACAGGTACTCGCCGCAAGTCGTGCCGTTGACGGGGTCAAAGACGGCCAGCTCACGGTCTTTGCACGTAATCTCCGTGCCCCAGAGGTTGAACACGAGCAGGCTGCCCATGAGGTAGTTGAAGGGGTTGAGCCAGTAGAGCCAGTGCCGCCAAAAGGCGAGGATCTGGGCGTACGGGACCAACACGCCACAGAACGAGACGAGGATACCGATAATGAGGGGGTTGACAAGAGATGCAAACACCTCATTCGGAGCGTACGCGGCGATGAACTGGCCGATGCCCGTGTACAGAAACTCGTACATGAGAACGACGAAGAAGGTGGCGCCGGCGCGGTCGGAATCCGTCGGGAACCCGACCGTGTAGTACCAGCAGACAAAGTAGAGGACGCCGCAGATGACAAGATAGGGGATCTCGGAGACAATCAGGCCCGTGACAAATGCGACCCATGAATACATCTTGCTCTTCTTCTCCCTGGTCTCAAATATGTCGCGACGGTGGATGAACAGGGGCTGCAACTGCGCGAGGACACCAGGGGCGACGAAGATGAAGTTGAAGATGGTAAACAGCTTGAGCTGCATGTCGCCGACCGAGTCGCCGACCATCCAGAAACTGAATCCGTTGAACAGGGCGGAGAATATGTGCAGGGCGAGCTTGTTGTTGACATAGTCGACGTTGCGGAACAGGGAGACATTCATGCGATGCGTGACCAGCTTGGTCTGCTCCCAGAGGGGCATGGCGAATTCGTGCCCGTCATCCACCGTGCCAGGGGGCTTGGACGCGGCATCGCTGATCATGCTGTCGAGCTCGCTCGTCATCTTCTCGTACTCGGGGGACGCCAGCCATGTCTCGCTCCAGTCGGTGCCACGCGACAAGGTGCCGGAGACGACATCAATCATGTGCTCGGCCGGATTCACGCCGGGCGGGCAGGGAGCGCCGTAGCGACCAAAGTAGCCCTGCACGGTAGACGCCTGCTCGCCAATCTCACCAAAGTAGACCGTCTTTCCGCCCTTGGCCAGCAGCAACAGCGTGTCAAACTGGGCGAACAGCTGGGCAGACGGTTGGTGGATGGTGACGAGCACCGCCTGACCGACAGCCGCCAGCTTCTTGAGGAAGCGCACCGTGTGGTATGCAGACTGGCCGTCCAAGCCCGAGGTCGGCTCGTCGAGGAAGACCAGGATGGTGGGTTTGGAAACCAGCTCGACACCAATGGTGACGCGCTTCCGTTGCTCAACGCTCAACCCAGCACCGACCTCGCCAATCAGCGTATCCGCAATGTCGTGGAGCTCCAAAAGATCAATGATAGTGTTCACATAGGACAGCTTTTCCGCACGGGGTGTCTCACGACTCTGGCGCAGGAGGGCGGAGAACTCCAGGGCCTCGCGCACAGTGGCGTACGACTCGTGCACATCAAGCTGCTCGCAGTAGCCAGCGGACCGCTGGAAAGACACCGGCAGGGGGCGGCCGTCGACCATGATAGAACCATGGATAGTGCCGTCCGTTTTGCGCTGAGCGAGAACATCGAGCAAGGTCGTCTTGCCGGCGCCAGAGGATCCCATCAGCGCCGTCAAGTTTCCAGGCTTGACCCAGCCTTGCACATTGTCAAGCAAAAGGCGGTCTCCCTGGGGCGTCTTGACTGTGTAGGAGAGGTTCTTCCACGTGAAGATCGATGTGTTGCGGATCAGGTTGGGCTGGCTGGTTTCGTCATCCGAGCCATCGCGCGAAGGCGTGCTGGAGCTCGCAGCGGTCTTACCGCCCTGCTCCTCGTCATCACGACGGCCGACCCTGATGGCAGCTTTCTCGCGAGGGATAACAAGACTGGGTCCGTCCTCGGATGCGGCGTGCCAGCGAGATGTAGAAAAGATGGTAATGGCCACGAACAAAGCCCACCAAGCCCAGACGATGCCGAAATTGCGCCATATGTGCGCGTGGCTGTAGGAAAGCGAGGCCAAGTATGCATCGCCGTCAACATAGGTCTGGCCGGGCACAGCGCCGCCAACACCTGCACAGGCCTGGTTTGCAGCGCTCGTGTAGTCGCCACCGCTCGGGATGAGATTGGGGCCGACGCAAGATATGGTCTTGCCATGGAATTCGTTTGACAGCATGGCGTCAAAGGCGTACGCCAAGGGGTCTATCCAAAAGATCCACACAAACCATGGGTGCATCTGTGGCTTCTGAATCATGTAGCCGGTGTAGATGATACAAGCGGTGATGAGGAAGCCAGAGACCTTGGAAGCGCCGTCAAAGGTGCTAAACGCCGCACCCACGGCACGAAACAGGGCCGTCATGCAGAACGTCGTGGCAACGAGGATGATCCAGAAAGTGAAGAAGATGCCAGCGTCTGTGGTCAGGCCCACCATGAAGTACAGAATGAGAGTAAAGGTGGATACCTGGAACAGGATGAGTGGAATGTCTGCAGTAATTTGAGCGATACAGAATGCAGCTGGATGGAAGAAGGCGAACGACTTGTGCTTGAGCAGGACTGGACGACCAGAGAATGAGTCTGTGACTTCAGACATGGACAGCAAGCTATTGAAAAGCACGGCAAAGAAGCAGGCGCCAGACTTGATGAAGAGACCCGCAGTCGTATCGGGCGCGTTGTAGAAGAGGGAACCAGCGATGAGGGCCTGGATGATGGTGGACACTTGCTTGATGATGAATGTAATCTTGTCGCCCCAGATGATTTGGTACTGTCGTATCACACACGCCTTGGTCTGTGCCATGAACCCGACAGTGAGGGGACTGGAAGCGGGCAAGCGCTTGTCCTTCTCCATGGTGACGCCCTCCTTGAAGGCGAGGGTCTTGGTCTTGGCCTCTTCGGTTGTCGGATAGCCGTACTCGGCCCGCATTCGCGGATACAATGGTGACTCCTCGTAACGTCGACGGATCTCCTCGGCCGTTCTGGGGAACTTGTTTTCCCATTCGGGTCGAACTTGGCGTTCCGTGGAGACAGTGACACCCGTTAGGTAGTCAGCCACGTTGGCTCCAGGTTGGCAGACAAAGCCCAGCTCCTCCATGAAAGGCTTTGCTTCAGTCATCGGTCCGTAGTATACCTGCTGGCCTTCGTCCAGCACGAGCACCTTGTCGAAAAGATTGTAAATCCCATTGCCCGCTTGGTATAGCGTCACGATAGTTGAGAGGCCGAGAATGTCCGTCATTGCTCGAATAGCTTTGGTGTATTCAAGGGCACTACATCACAGTCAGTACAGATACTCTCAATGCTCATCAGGTGGTCTACTGACGTGCTGGCGTCCAGCCCTCGAGTTGAGTTGTCCCAACAAAAGACACTGCCTTTCGAAGCGAGACATTCAATGATGGAAACTCGTTTCCTTTCACCGCCGGAAACGCCACGGACAAAAGCGTTGCCCACTTTCGTGTCGGTGGTATGCTCAATGCCCATGGACTTGAGCAGAAACTCTCGGGAAGCAAGGCGTTGCTCCTCTTGGCTTGAAACGCCTTGTGGGAGATGAGCGCCTATCTTAAGCCGAGTGGCAAAATCCAATGTTTGACCAACGGTCAGGGATGGAAAGAAGAGCTCTTCTTCCGTGTTCATCACAATTTGGCCTCGGTAACCATCAGCCTCCTCGGCATCCATGGAGCCATAGTTGACGTTGCCAGAGACCTTGGCATAGCTACGCCTCTTGTTGGCGAGCATGTTCAGCAGTGTCGTGCATCCGGACCCTGGACGCCCTAGCACAAGGAGCATCTCGCCGGGCTTGACACATCCGTGGCTGTTGTTGAGGATCTTTCTCAGGGGGGGCTTATGTCGAGACTCGCGAATCTTGGTTGGAATGTTGAATTGGGATATGACATTCTCGTGAATGGCAGCACCCGTGCTGAGCGCCTCAACCGTCAAATCTTTCCACGTCACACCCAGCTCTCGGCGAGGGAACCCAGATGTTTCGTCTCGGGCCGCAAAGGCGGCGACTTCTGATTGCAAAGCCCATTCATCATGACCTTTGGTCTTTGGGTACTCTTTTGCTGGGCTTGCTTTGGGAAGACTCCCGGCTTGGGCGGTATCCATCGGCGGTTGTGTTGTTGCGGTTGGGTCGAGGTGTAACAAGAGATGAAAGAGAAGAAAACTCTATAGGTTGATGGGAAAGAAAGAAGACCGGAAAAGAAGAGGTGATTGGAGTCGGAAAGTGAAAGAGGAAACAAGGCTATGCAAGCAGTAAACGACAGTCACTCGATATATATGCTGCCAAACATAGCTCCCAACACAGCCAAACTAGATTTATAATTTCTTCAGGATGGGTCCCTTACCTCAAGGAACCCACATGGCGAGCCTCATGCTTAGGAATAGGGGAGCTGTCCAGTCCAGGCGCGAATTAATGGGCTCACATTCGAAGTTTCGGACGATCTCTCAACGCGTTGGCCGAGCCTCAGGAAGCGGGCATGTCGGGAAGCACCAGATTGCCGCAGAAGGGCTCCGAAGCGCGCGCAGATGGACCCATGTGCTAAATTGCTAAGGTCCGAGTGCGAGCAGCTGTACGTAGGTTGGGTAAGGCGATGTAGCGATGGCCGCTGAGTCATCTGGCGTTTGTGCCGCATGCGCAACGAGCTCAGAGTTTCCTCAGAATCCTCACCACCGCGCGCGAGCTCGACTCAGGGGCCCGAGTCCGGCGGGGCTCCCGGCTCAATGACGAGCTATGCATTGCGTTTCCCATCTTGGGATTTGCGTGATGACGAGATGTTGAGAATCTTGTTGACTGGGGTTCGCGCATGCGAGAGCGAATGAGGTGACGAGGTGAAGTTGAAGATGGGCTCGCGTGTGTTCCAGTCCAGCGTGGGTCCCGGAAGGTGCGAGTCGGACTCGGGTACCGGCCGGACAAGAACAAGGGTCCATGAAGGCCGCTGACTCAGCGGCAATCAAAGATACCTAACCAGACAGTCCAGACTCCAGACCACGACGACGCGACAACCGAGTCCGACAAGGCCCTCTTCACCTCAACTCCAGAGTCCAGACTCAGACAGGGACTTACGTACCGTACCGTACTGTCTTGGCCTTGCTGCCCTGGCAGCTGGCCCGTCTGCAAGACGCCCATCAGCGCATCATAGTTCCATTCTCAGATCTATCTCGCCTGAATTGTTGGCGGTGCGCACAGTGGCACGCAATCCATTCCGACAGCTTCGCTTTGGTCCCGCCTCTGGGGTCCCGGCGAACTTGGCCTTCTTGATCACAAGTTCATAACCACGTCTTCGCCAGACGTTCACACTGAAGCATGTCACCCGCCCGGCGGACTGCTTGCGACTCGTGCTATGTACGCAAGGTGAGTCCTGACCACGCGGACAGTTGCGATACATATACAATGAGTCTCATACGACTTTGCACTCAGATTCTGTGCGATACCCCCAAGCTTGGCGACCCCTGCAATTGGTGCCAACACCACAATCTGGTCTGCACCTACGATCGCCCCAGCCGCGCGACCTCCTCATCACGGTGTGGCACCTACTTTCCCATTCTTCCGGTGGTCGTCAGGCTAGCTCACGCGTAGTAACCCACAGCTCAAAAGCAAAGAAAAGGGGGACTCTTGATGTTGCCAAGCGTCTAGAATTGCTAGAGGCCAGGATCGCGCAAGTCCATGAACTTCACCAGCACCCTCCCCGCAAAGGGCCTTTGCACGGCACTCCGGCCCCGTCAGGACGACTAAAGAAACCCACGGCTTTCAAGGGAAGCCCGCGTGCATCTCCGTTTGGAACAAGCTCGGAATCCGCGTCTCCTGCCACCAGTTCGCTCGACGCTATCAACCCACGGGAGCATGTATACTTTCACAACCCTTATCTGCTGACATTGTGCTCGCCTTCAGGTTTGCCTGTTTTCACTGAACAATGTATAAAATGGATCCAAGACGCCACGTGCGAGTGTCCCAGATTCGAGGAATTTTGCGATCAAGATACAACCATCTCACCTGAACCACCTCAGCAAGACACCGCCACCGGAGAGTGTCTTTTGCCGGAGCCATGGGTTCTCAACCCTTTGGTCGAAAACTTCCTGGGCTCCGACTTTGGGCGCAGCTTTCCTTTTGTAGATAGCCTCCTTTTTGAGGAAACCGCACGACTGGCGTACGACGCTTCCGATCAAAGCGACTCACCCTTGCACCTGGGTGCAAGGGCCTGCGCGCTCGCTATCTGCGCAATCGCCAGCACCAGAATAAAGCAACCTGAAGAAGTAAGCCGCATCGACGCGCAGGCATGTATACGCCAGGCGGAGCGCCTGATCAACAGGATACCCACAGACACGAGCCTGCAGAAGTTGCAGGCCACTGTGATGCTGGTAAATACGCTCGTGCCCATTTGCCCTACAAGTTGCTGATGACCTAGACAGTGGCTGTGGAAAGGTCATGTTGGCGCTTTCGCAGATTCTAGGGTATACCACGTAATGGCCTGTCGCATCCTCTTCGCTCTTGGAGGGCACACGCGCGTGGCCAACATACCCCAGGACCGCAAACCCACCCTGCAAGAGCGCCATGACCACAACGTCAGATGTTTGTTCTGGCTCTGCTACTTTTGCGACAAAGACATTGCGTTGCGAACTTTGCTGCCCCCAGTCATTCCAGACGAGCACTGCGACCTCACCCTGCCCCAGGGTTATGTTGAGCTTATCTACGGACCCAATCGCAGTTCTCGCGGGGCAGGCGAAATACCAATGCCATGGCTCATCTCCGATCTCCGATTGATCCAGATCAAGTCGAAAGTGATCAACCAGCTTTACTCCTTTGCATCCACCAAGAAATCCGACGCAGAGATCCTGCACACAATCCGGCAACTGGACGAAGAATTGGAGCGATGGCGCCAGACCATACCGGCCCAGTTTGCACCAAGTCTAGCCATCCGGCATGGAGTCAAATTGAGCGAGCACCTAGAGCAGTCTGCAAAGATGTTACACATTGACCTGCATTTGGCGTACCACCATCTGCTGAGCATTATCCACTACGCCAGCGCGCGCTGTGCTGGCGTACGAAGCAGCGCGAAGAGTGAGATTCACTGTGGACTACAATCCAGCCTCGATCTTTCGGTGGAAGCAAGCCGTTCGACATTGATATTCCTCAGTCTCGCCGTGCATCATCTGGCCAGTGAAGTGTTCTGGTACAGTCGCCATCATTCTTTGTACAGAGGGACCATACTAATCGCACAATGATGCAGGTTATTCATATTTTACCCAGTCTCGGCTTTCCTGAGCCTCTTCTTCAACCTGCTCCGCAGTCCAGGTAATGAGTACGCAGAGCTTGATCTGGAACTCATCCGGACAGCGTCAGAGGTCCTCCGGAAGATGCCAAAGAGTGACTCGTCGCCAGAAAAAACAGCCTACTTGGATAGGATTGACCAGTTCTGCGGAGAGATCAGTCGCCTGGCCGAGTGCGCCATTGCTAGATATCGGGAGAGTTGAGATCCCGCATTGTATCATTGTTCATCATGTTTCGCTAGCCTTTCACGCCACACTGTTGAAGATAGAAATAATAGTGGTAACAGGTTGTCGAATGGGAAGCGAAGTGGATATACAATACTTTTCATGGAACCATGTCTTTCTTGTCTGTTTGTATTGCAAATAGCGACGGTAGACGAAACAATAGGTTGGGAGATGTCTTTCCATTACCAAATTTGATATTTACGAAAGATCGCGGGTAGTCTGCGGTTTGGTTGTGTACAAGGACTCTTGGTCAAGTGAATATAGCTGATGAGCACGCATTATGTCTATAGACCGACTGAATACAGCAAGGAAAGTATGATGATTACATACAATGTACTCAGCGGATGATTTTCGCTCCGTCCGTTCCGTCGCCTCTATTCCCAAAAATTTTCCCCTTCTATAAGTAGTGAAAAGTGGTCGAATCAATTAGTCGACGTACTTGGCCAGGGTAGCCATGGTACCATCGCGGTACAGACCCTCCATAGCCTTGGTAAGCTCCTCGACAAAGATCTTGTCACCACGCAGATCATCACCAAACAGGCTCTTCACGTCCAGCAGAGGGAAAGGCTTGGCTCCTCCCTTGATCGCCCTGGCCTGGAGATCCTCCACCATCGGGTCGTCAATGAAGATGGGCTTGCCCTGCTCATCCTTGCCGTTGAGGAAGCGGAACCAAGTGGCCGTCACGAACACGAGGCGCTTGAAGTCGTGGGTGCCAGCCATGATCTGCTCGGCAATGGTGGGCATGATGAACTGAGGCAGCTTGCCGGAGCCGTTGATGGTGAGACGGCCGATCTGGTCCATGATGGTGGGGTTGGCAAAGCGCTCCAGCAGGGTGTCGCAGTACTTGTCGATGTCGACGCCGTCAATGGCAGGCATGAGGGGCTTGACCTCCTTGTGCATCATGTTGTAGATGAACTTGTAGTACAGCGGGTTCTCAAACACCTCGTGGACGTACTCGATGCCACTCAGGTAGGCGGCGTAGGCTACAGCCGAGTGACTGGCGTTAAGCAGGCGCAGCTTGTGGCACTCAAACTTCTCGACCTCGTGGACGTTGCTCACGACCTGCACGCCGACCTTCTCAAAGGCAGGGCGGCCGTCCGCGAACGAGTCTTCGATGACCCACTGGGTGAAGGGCTCGGTGACCACGGGCCACGAGTCCTGGATGCCAAAGGTCTCGGCGAGGGCGGTCTTGTCGTTGTCTGTGGTACGGGGTGTGATGCGGTCCACCATGCTGTTGGGGAACTGTCCCTGAGCCTCAATCCAGTCGGCAATCTTGGCGTTGCGCGCACGGGCAAAGCTCAGCAGCATATGCCGAGTGATGCTGCCGTTCTTCTGCATGTTGTCGCATGAGAGGACGGTGAACGGCTTGAGCCCGGCGGCGTGACGCTTCTCGAGAGCAGCAAAGAGGAAGCCAAAGGTTGTGCGGGGAGACTGGAGGTCGCTCTTCAGGTCAGCGACAATGTCCGGGTGCTCAATCTCAAGCTCATGGGTGTTCTCGTTGTAGTAGTAGCCGCTCTCGGTGATGGTCATGGACACAATCTTCGTGTCTGGGTGGGCCATCTTGTCAATGACCTTGGTCGGACCATCAGGCGCGAAGAGGAACGAGTTGATGCTGCCAATGACACGCGCGCTGCTGCCCTTCTCGGCACGCTCGATCAGAGTATACAAGCAGTCCTGGCCGACAAGGGCATCGCGCATGCCAGCATCGAAAGGCTGGAGGCCGACACCGCAGATCGCCCAGTTGCGATCGCCATGCTCCTTCATCAGGCTGTCGATGTAAACAGCCAAGTGAGCTCTGTGGAAACCACCGACGCCAATGTGTACAATGCCCTCCTTGACATTGCTTCGATCGAAGTTCGGGAATTCGACATCCCTGTTCTTTTGGCGGGCCGCCTGCTCGATCGCTTTCAAGCTCTGGTTGCTGAGCGCGGGAGCTGTAATCGTAGACTGAAAGCGCGATTGGGAGGTGTGGAATAGGCTCTGGCTCTGTGGTTGGCGGACGAAATGCCTAGAGGCATTGTACGTAGCGAAAGATCTGGGGGTGGCCGCGAAAGCTCTGGGGGCGGCCCTTGGGGTGGTCCTGGCGCAGGCGCGCGCGACGCCGTGCCACATCATGGACATTGTTGCAATTGAGGAGGCAAACTCTTGCTGCTCAGCGTTTGGCTAGCTCTCTAACAAGTATCCAGGCAGGTAAGCTGAGGCACAGACGCGCTTCAGAGGATCCCGCTGCTGGGACTCGCTGTAGTCACGCGGTGTATCTTGGTGAAAGAGATTGAATACGCGACTGGTGATAGGTAGTCGGGTAAGATGGAGTGGTTTACGTGCTTGTCGTCGAGGGAGAGCGGATGCGGACTGGGGGTGGAGGACGCGAGGAAAGTGCAAACGGTAGAGTTGATGAGTGGTTTCAGGAAAGTCAGAGCAGTCTCCCTAATTTAAAAGGTGCCATAGCGTCATCCTGACAATCGATAAGTCGAATGGACCCTCAACAGTTTCTGGACCAGACCACACAAAGCAATAATAACCAGACCCTGGTGCCTGGCTGGTGTCCGCCTCCTTGATCCTTGCAGGTGGTAAGACATTCAATCTCGCCGCCTGGCAGATGAAGAAATTTGTTAGCGGTTCCAGTTTCTGTTATCGATTGCGGCTGGCGCCAGTGGCCAGATCCAGTTTAGCTCACCTCACCAACATGGATTACGTCGATCTTCCCTCCCACGCCAAGCTGTAGCCCGTGACCCATCCACCCCACGTCCTTGGATATTGAGACTTGAGAAGGCGGTAAGAACACTAAAACAGCCCATTCACCTCGAGATCCGAGACGTAATTCCTCCATTCACCACAGGGTCAAGTTGACAGTGCCTTGCTCACAGAGTTCGACGTACAGTAGCGACGTTGAAAGACTGGGCTCGGACCCAACGGTGTGGAGAAGTTGCTCCAGCAGGCGTTACAAGCTTTCCGTGCAGCCACAGGAGTTGTCGGACCTACCCGACGGCATTGACTTTGAACTTTGAAGCAACAGGAACCTTAACAATGGAAGTGACATTACTCAGGAGACGACTCATGTCTATGGCTTACGTGGAGGCAAGAACGCGAACAAATTTGGTGCGAAACCTGCTTCGAGTTTGGGGGCCCAAGTGCTTGTATTATCAATCAATTGGGGTCAGCATGTTATCGTGAGGTCGTGGCACGACTGCAGCTTGATCGGTACAATTACGTCATGCGCGATTCAGCCTTGCATGAGAACTGATATATGCACGCGAACGTCGGAGCAAATTCTGTTCAGAAGCGCACCGCCAGACTTCATGTTCAGATATCTGTAATGTTCAAGAGTCAAGACATTGAAGTTGTTGTAAATTTTTGCCTCTGAGGGATCAGGGGGCAACGTCAGGCCCCCATGCTAGACAATCATAATTGCCATCACATGATCTTGTTTGATTCAGGGGTTTCTAATTAATACGGGAGTCCAGAACCCGGCTTTCTCGGGTGGCAAATGAAGAGGAACCCATCAAAGAAATTTCACCAATCCCCTCCATAATTTTATCTTAGAGAGTATTCGCATAGAGCAGTCAGTCAGTCGTCCAAATGGACTCGAACATTCCAAGTGTGAGAACCTAATGGATGGTACCGGAGGTCGAGGGTAATCAATTCCGCGACTAGCAACTGATAGTTAGATGGTACAGAATATGGATAGACCGGAGATACTTCCGGCCATACCCTCCATGACAGTTAACCATCGTCTCTACATATAACTTAATCAGTTGAGAATCTTGACGACATCGTCGCATTACTTGCAGCCTTGGCAGATATTTTACAGCAACAAAGAAGGCACACGGCAGCCGGTATTTGCTGGTTGTCACCGACCTCACCAACATACCCCCGCCGCGCTGGGCCCCTGACTCCTAAGTCCCGAGTCCTGAGTCCTAACTATGTCGCCCGTTCCCTCCCACCAGTTCTCTCACTGAACGACCCTGTACACCACAAGAGTGAGCTCAGGCGCCGGTGTTATGACCTCAGCCAGGAAAAACTGTGACCTGATGTGCTCATATGGAGCGCCAATATCGTATTGCTAATTTATTCACCCGTTAGCAAGACAAAAGCACAATGGGGAGAGAATAACGTCCCCGCCATGGACGGGCAACGTGTGGAGGTGAGCTTACAATGCGACGCAGCGATGTCTCGCTCTTTTTGCCAGTTCCGTGTTCAAACACAGTAAAGGGAACCTCGTCGGCGGTTTCACACGTCAAACGCACTTCGACGTCGGTGTACTCCGCTTCGGTGTCGGCATCGTACGTGGTAGTCCAAGAATATCCACTGCACGTGGCGTTGAACATATTGTCACTCTTGACGACGACTTCGGAGACCGGTATACCTAGAGACCCATGAGAATCCTCTCATCGATTTTGGCGCTGCAGGGAAGAGGATGAAGGAAAAGAAAGACGCCATGTCCAAAGGGAGCCATTGTTCTTCATTTCACCAGGCACAACTCCAGTCAGAAGTTGGAGAGCAAGGAGCCGTGACTTACCCAGCTGTGAGCCACCCGGTACGGGGACCACAGTCCTTGCGGTCAAATCAAGCGTGACGGCAGCATCCTGAACCTTTTCCAAGGTTGGCACTGCCACTACCGAGGGTGCGAACAGCGCAAGCACTGCTGCTGACGAAACATATGCGGAAAGATGCATCCTGTGTTGGAAAGTTTGCAAGGAGATGTTGGTGGCTTCAATATGGTCCAGTCCGGAAGACTAGCTGTTATATGTGGTTTGTCTCCGCCGACACATTGACGTGACGGGTTCGATAGCCCTCACGTTGTAATGCTCGCATGGGCTCGGCTCTGCAGACTGAATCCTGATCCCACATGTTGGATTCTGATCCTACGACCATATACGCCTCCGCGAATGACAGGGATGGCCAGGGTTCGGAAGGACGGTCAGCAGCATCATGCCATCAATTGCCTTGGAGTCCGAGAAGTACTTTGGTCTTTAGCTACATAAGCTGCTAAGGAGTCCGAGAGATTCGAAACGTAGTGCCGTCGGTGGCCACTCCGACTACCCCGTACGGACCTACCGCTTCATTCGCGCGGCGACAAACAGTTATAAATATACGTACAATTGATTATACCTGTCCGGGTATGATTCCTTCATTCCTTCCCTTCATTCCTTCCTGCCTATGTGCAAGGTGGACCGTAATTGCGGTGTGGACATGCAACCCTGGAAATTACTACGCATGTAGTTTGGTGCACGGGACTTTTCCCCGGTTGCGTTTCGCGTAGGGATTTAGCGGACTCCAGAGTAATAGATAGCTCCGCTTGAACCGCTCCGTGAGCCTGCTAGCGCAAACGTATTACCCTTTCGCGACACGATTCCTGGGTTGCAGCGCAGGTCGTACAAGTAGCTTCGAAGTTCAGGCTACAGGGTTAGTCGCTGCGACGTAGTATCGTTTCGGGGATCATGAAGGATTCGGTCAATATAATAGGGGCCTGGAAGGGGACGGCTCTTGTGATTGATCATTGAATATATGTGCGCTTGATTTCAGCTGGATGCCGGAAACCAATCAAAAGCTCATCCATATGGGCAAGCAAGCTTGACATGAATTGTGGCTCTCATCAACGCCATGCCTATGTATAATCAATAGGAAGTCTCGCTCAACCATGTAGATGCTCCATGATCAGCCAAACATCATCAAAAAGACGAGAAGTTCCCGCGACGGCATCATGAGGATGATGAGGTCCAGCAAACGGAAAGAAAATGATCCTCACGATATTTTTTTAGACGCCGTGGGACGCCGAGGAGGGGCATGGAGGCCAGAATGATTGTGCTACAAGGCTTGGCGGTCTGTTGGTTTCATCAATAATAAGCGCGCGCAAATTAACATCACTTCAGGTTGAAATCAGAACCAAATCTTCCATCGGACGACCCATCACCGTACAATTAGCATTCATCTGTCAGTCCTCGAACAAACGCTGTGAGTTGTGAAAAGTTGACCATCAAAGTCATGTCGAGTTCTATTGTCTCCGGCAACGCTCTTTTCAGGTTCTATCTACAATAATTCAGCCAGTGACACCCAACGTCACACGGCTGCGTTCTGGCAGACATTCTTCACCGTGCCCTTCCAGGCGCCAAAATACGTGCTCATCATGTGGGCATCGCCGGATAACTCCGTAGGAACGGCGGACGGGGTGCTCCAATACACTTCGGACGACTTCGACGAGCCAAGTATCGTCCTGCTCAGGCTGCAAGTCGGGAACCCCTTGGGTCTGTGAGGGATATCGAGGCACAAGTGCTCGACGTGGCTGAGAGACACCTGGTGGCCAAGGCGACTCTTCCAACTTCAAGACAGGTGATCTTTGTCATGACGGCTACCGGCCCAACATTCAGGCTCTGGGAAGTGGACGGGGTGGGCCAAGGGCTTCAGCCATTGCACGGGGTTGCGCGGCGAAACGACAAGGCCCAATACCTCGACGCCAAAAGCGACGACGGATGCCAAGTTCTCTCCCGGCTGCGCGGACAGACCATCGAAGAGTAAAGCCCGTCTTTGCACTGAAAAAGATGAAACCAAGAAAAGAAAAAGTGCCCTGGTGCAAGGCCAAAAATGGACAGATATACAACACCGGGTATTCGCTGGTCGTCACCGACCCAACTACTAATCCAGCCCTCAGCGGCTTGACTATGGGAGAGCGGACGGGATCCCGTATTTTCCACTGGGTATGGTCGTATATGATGATTGACGCTATCACCAGTGCTTATAGGCATAGCACCCACTAACAAACCAGAGAAAAGGCGTGGAGACCAAAAAACATACAACAGCCGGTATTCGCTGGTCGTCACCGACCCAACTACTAATCAGCCCCTCAGCGGCTTGACTATGGGAGAGCGGACGGGATCCCGTATTTTCCACTGGGTATGGTCGTATGTGATAGATGTGCGCATGTGTCTTGTATATATAAGTATGTATGATATATTACGAAAGTCACTAATGATGCCCAAACGGCCTATCTTTAGTGACTATAACAGGCATAAGCAAAGACCTTGGGTCTAGACCCGTTTGTTATTTGAAATCACTGATGACGATGCCCTTGATGTCCGCCTACTATCACCTTCTCTCTCTCTCTCTCTCCTCCTTATTTTCCGCAGGGCGTTCTTGACGAGAACGTTATCAAACACCCTAATAAACAATGCCATGTACTGGAAGAAAAGTGGGCGCGCCCTCTCGGGCAGGAAGATCTGCGCAAAGGCTACCATAGCCGGCGCTAGGAAACCCAGCGCCGCTAGGGACGGGAGGAACACGCGCTTCACGGTCCCCTTTAATCTGGTGTACGTCTTAGCGCCACTCGTATACGCAACTATTATAAGAAGCGTGAGCTGCTGAATCGGAGAAACCTGTTCGTTTCTAGTGTAAGCCAAAGGGTGCGCATAGAGCCGATATCAAAGAGACTGCATGTGTGTCTTACAATGATGAACGCCAAGACGAGCTGCAGAGTTGGTCCTATGCTGCCGCGCATCTTCTCCGAGATGACTCCAAGGCACTTGAACAGAAGATGTGTGACTGTGGTGTCTATCAAGGCCCCGTAGATAGCCATCTTGGGTACACGTGATGTAAAGCCGGAGCTGTCCTCTTTTACGCGAGTGATAGTTGATGCAATGATTTCTTCACCGGCGGCGAGGGCTGCGGAGCGAAGGAGCTTGGAGAGAAGGCCACGAGAGCGAGGCTTCCGGGGCTGTCGGCTGGTTAGTTTGGTCCAGTCGCTCCTGGACGCGGAGGATGGAGTCATGGACGAACAATAGAAGGATAATGCGACATGGAGGTGGCGCCGCTCGACACAGTAGGCGCCATCATCAAATGATATCGAACCAGCGACGGGCGGCTAGGCGCATGCAGAATGGATGACTGTTCTCGAGATGTGGATGTGTCGCTGTCCTCGTCTGCCGCAGGACGCCATTACCACCGTCCTTACTACCGACTGCTGCTGCTGTGTCGATGGTCGGAAGCACGAGCAAGGTCATGTGACTCATGTAGGCTCAGCTGCGCTGACTGACTGAACCTGAAAACGAACCCTCTCCTCTGATTCCGACTCGATTCTCATTTCCCAAAACACGGAGCATTCTTGGCGTTGTATTGTGGTTCCTCCCCTGGCTTTCCATGCCCCTGGTGTGCGTTCCATGATATACCACAGTCCTCCCACGATTGGCGTCTCACGGTCTCAGACGCGGGCCCTTGGCCCGTTGTTTGGGTGTGACAATGTCCGACAAACAACGCAAGTAGGTACACCTGGAGTGTCACCACGATTGATCAAATCTCATCAACCGACACTTGACCTGTTCCCTCTTAGATGTCTATCGCGCAGCGCCTACAACATAGGATGGATCTGCGCCTTGCCTCTTGAGCTGGCCGCCTCCGTCGGCATGTTCGACGAGGCGCACCAGGACCTCGATCTCGCGCGCGGCGACGGAAATATGTACACCCTCGGCGAGATCGCGGGCCATAACATTGTCATGGCGTGTCTCCCTGCCGGCAGCACGGGCGTCACCCCCGCCGCCACTGTCGCGGCCAATATGCTCCGGAGCTTCCCCAAGATCCGCTTCGGTCTGATGGTCGGGGTCGGAGGGGGTGCGCCGGCGCGGCGGGCGAGACCGGGTGAGGATATTCGGCTGGGGGATGTGGTGGTCAGCATCCCTCAACGAGAGCTGGGTACGCATCTTGTGCTCAACCCCGGGTGGTTATCCGCTCCGCATTTCTAGACTAACGAGCCTCCACATCTAGGTGGTGTCGTCAAATATGATTGTGGAAAGACGGTCGCGGGGGGCGTGTTTGAGCACACGGGACTGCTCAATATGCCGCCTGCGCCGCTGGCCAATGCTGTGGCGAAATTGCGAGGGATGCACGAAGCGAAGCGCAGTGCCGTCTCGCGGTACGTCGCGGCCATGATCAACAAGGTCATGGCGGACGAGGACGCGAACCCCGAGTTCGAGGACTTGTATTGTTGCCCTGACCCCAAGTACGATCAGCTGTTCGCGGCCGAGTATGAGCACACGATTGTCCCGGTCTCACCTAGCCAAGAGGATAGCGATGACGATGAGCGGTTGTCTAGTGAAGACGAAGACGACATCCCCCTCCCCTGCCCTCACTGCGACCCGGCCCGCCTTGTTCAGCGCAAACCCCGCAAGTATCCAGGCCCCGTCATCCACTACGGGACAATCGCCTCGGCGGATCAGGTCATGCGCCATGCCCTCACGCGGGACGCTATCCGCAAGAAGCACGGCATCCTTTGCTTCGACATGGAGGCCGCGGGGCTGATGAACGACTTCCCCTGCCTCGTCGTCCGCGGCATCTGTGACTACGCGGACACACACAAGCACAAGATATGGCAGCGGTACGCAGCGGCCACGGCGGCGGCGTACACAAAGGAGCTACTGCAGGTGGTGCTTAGGGAAGACGTTGAGACGACAGAGGAGGTGGTCAAGATCTTGGAAAGGGGTGAGTGATTGTGATTGTGTGAAGCATATATACAGGAGCGTTGACGGTCTTGTGCGTATCGTAGTTGAACATGGTGTGCATGATATCAAGCAGAATGTAGACCGTCTCGCAAAAGGTATGCGAGCTGTTCCTCGCCCTGTGATGCCTTCACTGTATTGACAAGTAGTAGACAGGGCACGGCAAGACCGCGATCGGATCCTGAACTGGCTCGACAGCGACACGCATACAAAGAGACTGTTGGATTCATACGAAAAATGGCAACCCAGCACGGTCCAGAAGCTATTCGAGTCCGAGGCCTATAGAGACTGGACATATGGTGAGGCGCAAACACTGTGGTGTCCCGGAATCGCCGGCGGGGGCAAGACTGTGTTTTCCTCAGTGGTGGTGAGCAGCCTCAAAGCTGGCCAGGAAGCTCAGGCGGAAGCATCTAGGGCCGCAGTGCTCTGTCTCTTTTGCGAGTACGAACGACAAAAGGAGCAGACATTGCGGACGTTGGCTGCGGCGATGCTGCGGCAGCTCGCAGACCAGTGCGAGCTCCTCCCTGACGAGCTGGGTGACCTCTTTGAGAAGCATGGGACTGGCGCATCATCTCATCTGCGCTTTGAAGACGTTTCTCTAGCACTGACTCGACTTCTAAAGGAATTCCCCAGGGTCTATCTCATCGTCGATGCGCTAGACGAGTGCTCGGATCAAACACGAAGGGAGCTACTCGCGCACCTGGCAGAGCAGCAGAGGAAGACGGGTCTCCGAATCCTGGCGACGGCTAGGCCGACTGTTGAGTTTGAAAAAGAGTTTAGCATAAAGTGCCAAGAGCTGGAGATCAGGGCTGATGTGCTGGATGTGAAGAGCGTGCTCGACACGCTCATCGACAAGTCGACTTCTTTTGTCAGAGAGGATGAAGGGCTACGCAGACGTGTCACAGACAACATAGTCTTCGCTGTCGATGGGATGTGAGTATTTCTCGGTCAAGACGGCGGGCGACATGGCAGAGTCTAATCTTGCCCCAGGTTCCTCCTCGTCCAGCCCTTCCTTGACTCCGTCATTGGCGAGCGATCCAGAGGCCACGTCGAAGACGCTCTCCAGACGCTCATGGACAGTCCCGACAAGCTGACCACCGTGTACGAAAACGCCCTCTGCCGGATTGGAGGACAGAAGCCGGGCGACCGCAACCTCGCTCATCGCATGCTATCCTGGGTCGTCGAGTCCAAGAGGCCGCTTACGCGTGACGAGTTTCTCCACGCCCTGGCTATACAGACCGGCAGCCTCCATTTTCAACGCCACTACATTTTAGAGAATCTTGACGGTGCTGTGGCCCTCTGCGCTGGACTGGTCGTGATCAATGAGAGGAGTGACACGGTGCAGCTGATGCATCACACCACGAGGACCTACCTGGAAGATCCGGAAAGACGGCCGGGCTGGATGGCCGAGTCGCGGGCGATGATTGCGAGCGCGTGCGTCACGTACATATCGTACTCGGTGTTCGAGGACGGCCCCTGTCACGGTGATGAGGAGATGGGCAGGAGACTGGATGAGTACCCCTTTCTTCCCTACGCTGCTCAGCACTGGGGACACCACGGCCATGACGCGGGAGGAGAGACAGAGTCCATGCAGCATCTTGCACTCCAATTTTTGCTCAACCAAGAAAAACTGGCGTCCGCTAACCAGGCCATGCACTTTACCGGACGCAGGTATTCTGGGTACAGCTCCTGGTATGACCGGGAGGTGACGGCGTTGCATTTGGTGGCGGCCTTTGGCCTACCCAGTACCACACGGCAGCTTCTGGCCGCTACTGGCGCCGATGCAATTGACAAAAGGGATGGAGATGGCCGGACGGCTCTTCATAGGGCTGCCGAGAACGGCGATGAAGCCGTGATCCGCATCCTCCTCGGACACTCGGCCAATATTGTCGCGGAAGAGGGCACCTTTGGTCAGACACCTCTCCATCTCGCCGCCCTGAACGGTCGCGAGGCCGCCACGCGGGTTCTCATGGAGCACGGAGCCAGCAGTCTCGCCTGCGACGCAGACGGCTGGATGCCAATACACACAGCCTCCTGGATGGGCCATGCCGACGTTGCGGGGACACTCCTCGTCACGACGGACGCGGTTCATGTCCTCAGCGGGGATGGTCTCACGGCTCTACATTGCGCCGCGGCGCAAGGGCACGCTGAGCTCGCACAGCTCCTGATTCGCAGCGGCGCGGACGTCAACGCTGTGGATGACGAGGGGTGGACGCCACTCCACTGGGCGTCCAAGAAGCGACATGACGTGTTGAAGCCGCGGGTGCTGTCCCTCAAAGACGAGACGTCCGCCCTTCTCCGGCGGTTCGTGGAACTACAGGAGGAGATGGACGAGGTGATTCATCAGCAGGCCGATGTGCTGCAAGACAGGCTAGCGACGACGCTGAGGAAGCCGTTGGACTTTTGGCAGACCAGGTTGGCGTGGCTGCCGTCGGGCGCTATCGGGCTCAACATGGGCCACGAGTATGGCGAGATGGTGGCGGCGCTGCAAATGTCCCCGAATGTGCCGAGCGTGACCCTCCCATGGTCTATCTGGAATATGATGGGGGATACCGGCGAGGGGCCACAGTGGCAAGGGGCGAGCGAGGCCAAGGAAGAGGAGGAGGACGAGCCTGCAAACGTCCGTTTCATGTTTGCCATTCAGGATGAGCTCACGGCGATGCACTGCACCACTGCGTGTGGGCATGCCGAGGTGAGTAGGCTGTTGGTGAGACACGGCGCCGACATTGAGCAAAGGTGCCACACCACCATCGAGACCAAGTTCCTCGTCAAGGTCGAGACAATGACCACGGCGCTGCACCTGGCGGCCTTTTCCAGCCACGAGGCCATGGTCAGTATACTCCTCGAGCAGGGCGCTGACATGCGGGCCAGAACTGAGTCTCAGTACAAGACTCAGGGAGTAGAATTTGTCCGGCCCAAACCAGCAAAGAAGTTTGGCATGTTGGCGAGGCCCGATGTCGAATGGACGCCGTTGCACTGCGGCGTGGTATCGGGGTCAGAGGACGTGGTCCAGATGCTCCTAGACATCATGAAAGGTGCGGGAGTGCAGGAGACAGGTATCGTCGACTTTTTCACGCTCAAGTGTGAGTTGACGGCACTCCACATGGCCGTCGTGCTCGGCTACGTGGGCAAAGTGAGGCTGCTCCTGGCTGGGGGGGCGAACGTTAATGCTCAGGGATGGATCAACCTGGACTTGCCGTTGAACTACCATTCGTCCGTGGAGAAGAAGAAGACGCTCCCGTTTAGGATGGAGGGCACGTCGCTGCAGCTCGCTACTCTCCTAGCTAGAAACGAGATGATGGGGATTCTGATCCAGCGCAAAGCTGATGTGGAGGCCAAGCTCCGTATCGAGATTGGCACGCTCCGTGCGAACTTGTCGTCGCTGCAGATCGCGACTATATGCAGGCGGAAAGCGGCCATTCAGCTTCTTCTCGACCAAAGGGCAGACGCCACCGCCAAGATCCTCGTCCGCGTGGAAGGAGACGAGAACAATGGTGCGGAGCTGAATGGGCTCCATCTCATGGCCTTCTTTCGAGACTGGCGACTAGCGGACTCGCTCATCCACGCAGGAGCAGACGTCAATGACGAGTTGCGCATAGACGTCAATGTCTGCAAGGCTGAGAAGCTAGCTGACCTCCATCGGGGAGGCCCCGATGGCAAGCACGGGCGGGACAAAGGGAGCGAGGAAGAAGCTGAAGAACCTGTGGACTCGATCCACGCTTTCTTCACGCGGACAGCCCGGAACTTTGTAGCACTGCTGGGCGATCAACTCGAGGACACCCCCATGTTTGGCAGCCTCTTCCAGACTCTGGAGAGGCAGGATGAGAAGGAGACGTCGTATCACGTCAAGATCCGCTCCACGGCACTCTCTCTCGCGATCCTGGCCGTCAATGAGCAAGTTGTCCAGGTCCTCATCGACAATGGCGCAGACATGCACGTGGCGTCGATGTTTGCTGTTGGCTCCTTGTACATCCAGTGTCAGCCACTCCATCTTGCAGTCCTATGCGGGGCCGAGGCAGCGGTAGCTCACTTAATCGATGCCGGCGCTGACACGTGTGCGCAACTCGTCATTCAGGTGGGCGAGGAGATTCGGGTCTGTCTGTCCCCTCTCCATCTCGCGTGTCTGATCGGTCATGAGACGTTGGTGGGACTGCTCCTCGAGAGAGGTGTAGACGCTCGGGCTCTTTGTCGTGTAAACGATGAGGATGAGAATGTTGTGAGCGCACTCCATTTCGCCGCATTATTGGGACAGGAGGCAATCGTGGCGGCACTTGTCGACAGCAAGGGCGACGCGTCGCAGAGGTGCCGTCTGCTTCTTCGACCCAAGATCGATATGGAAATGGACCTGAGCGCTTCACATCTCGCCGCCCTGTCAGGAAATGTCCATGTTGTCAAGACCGTGTTAGATACGGACCACGACAGGCAGCAGCTGGCAAGATTGGACTGTCACAAGATGCACGCCACGTTTACAGTCCTGCACCTCGCCGCCCTCTGGGGCCACGAGCAGGTGGTAACTCATCTGCTCGAAAAGGGCCACGACGTCCACACACCGTGTGTCATCGACATACAGTACATGTCACATGTTCAGCTGACGTGCCTCCACCTGGCCGCGTTTGCCGGTGGCCTTGATATGATGACTCGGCTACTCGACGCTGGAGCCGACGTTCACCAGGCCGCAGTGATTGACGGCCCAGCGTTCCGCACCAAGCTAACAGCATTGCATATCACAGCGTTCGCCAGACACCGGGGTTTGATGGAGATGCTCCTCGACTTGGACATGGACATCCATCTCCCCGTCCAAGCGGACGTCTGGGAGGAGATGCACGTCGAGTTGAGCCTTTTGCACATTGCCGCCTTGTGGCGCGTACAAGTTACGCAGCTTCTCCTCGACAAGGGCTTCGACGTCAACGCCAGGCTCGTCATTCAAGGTCCCGAGACACACGCCGAGATGACTGCCCTTCACATGGCGGCGGGCTTGGACAACAAACGGTTGGCCCTCCTCCTGCTCGACCGTGAGGCCGACCCCAATGCAAGAGCACTCGTCGTGACGGACGATGTGAATGTCGACATGACGGCGCTTCATGTGGCACTTGGCCGCAGGTGCGACGACATGGTCCGCCTACTTGTCTCCAAGAGACCGCTGCGTACAGAGGAGCATGCTTGGCTGGCGTCCGATGCTGACTCGGATGGCAGCAGCCTACTCTCGGAGGTTTCCAACTCTACCTCTCCGTACGACTCCAACTACACCAGGCCCTCGAACCGCTCGTCTCCCGGGCGATCCTATTTCTCACCTAGAGCCGACGGCGACAGTCAGAGTGAGACATCCACACATTCCATGTCCTCACAGCCGCCGCCGCCGTCCGCCGCTCGATCGCCATCCCGTACCCGTCTAAGAGACTTTATGTCGGCCGGCGCAGTTTCTGCTGCCACCGCTGCCTTTCGCTCTCGTCAACAACAGCATAAAGTTCCGCCAAATTCACCACCTCCATCAGGTTCCGGGGCCAGAACCCCGTCTCCGTCCCGATTACGATCGCGTAGCAGATCACCAACGCCTCTGGCTTCCGTCTTGGCCGGCGCGGCAGTGGCCCTGGCGGCTCGTGGATACGCGGATCGGAGGAAGCGTTCGCATCGTCGGTCGCGAGCCCCAAGGCGTTCTCGGTCTCACTCACAAAGGGCACGGCCTCAATCTTGGGACAGGTTTGGACATGACCCCCGTTCTACTCCTGAGACCCATCAAGTCCAGCCCGGCTTCGCGGAATCAATACACTCCCAGTCAGAGTCCTCACACCGCAGACGACGGCGACGGCAATGGACAAGACCACGGAGACAGCGACGCTCTCCACCAAGACATGGCCGTTCACCACCAAGACGTAGGGCTGGACGGCGGCCCTCAAAGCCCCGTTTCCGAGTAGGGCGAGCCACCAGCATGCTCAACCGACGCATATTTCATCCTTTACTCGAGCGCATGGATAAGTTGGTGGAACGCAGGATCAAGGCCAGAGGGAGCGGCAACCCACAGGAGCCGACCCAGGGTTCATGTTCCGATGGGCCTCCATCTCCATTTGCTGGCCAAGAAGCCCAGCAAGCGCAAGAGGCTCGCCTGACCCATGAGACCCTGCCGGAGAGAACCAATCTCGCCGATGCAAATGCCATACTCTTTCTCAACGTCGCCGATACACGCATTCAGCTGACCGCCCTACATCTGTCAGCCATGCTCAAAGCATCCACCATCTCAGCGCTCCTGCTTGGGGACGACACCACCATCATAGATCCAAACTCCCTCCTCAAGGTCATGTCGTATGGCAACGCTCTCCAGTTGACGCCACTCCACATCGCCATCCTCCGACAGTCTAAAACCGACATGCAGCACCTCGCCCGGAGAGGAGCAGACTTGGAGTCAGTACTAGACCTCGACGCGGGAGGTCTCTATGCTAAGCTGTCGCCGTTACAACTGGCGACCATGGTGCGCTCATGGAACATTGCGCAAGCTCTCCTAGGAAACCACGCCGACGCGCATGCTCGACACCCTTTGGGCCTTAGACGAGACTGTCAGATTGAGGTCACACCTCTCCACATACTGCTGTTGTCTGGGGAGGGCGATGTACCAGGGTTAGCAAGTATGCGGTCCAAGGCGCCAGCCAACATCGAGCTACGGATGGAAACCGACATGTCGGCCCTCGACGTCGCTGCCGGTATGAATCAAGCTAGCATGATTGATCTATTCTCCGACTACGGGTTCGATGTCGCTGCTGCCAGCAGTCAGAAGACGGGCTGGCTGCGTATACTTGCTCTCATGATAGCCTCTGCCTCGGGAATTGAAATGCTGGGGCAGGCGGGCTTGCTTTACCTGCGAGAGATTGACGACAAGAGCGCCATTACTGTTGGCGTCCAGATGGACGCTTACTTCTCCTCCACAGTGACGATGAGTCTCACGTTTGAGGCTCTTGGCACCATTCTCCACGTCGCATGCGCCCTTGGCAACACGTCCATGACACGTGCCCTTATCGCCAAGGGAGCGTCCGTCGAGAGCAGATGCGATGTGAATGCCGGAGATACGATGCAGGCATGCTTGACTCCCCTTCACCTCGCTGTCTTGGGGCGTCACTCGCGTACAGCCTCTTGTCTTCTCCAAAACGGTGCGAGCTTGTCAGCTTCCGCCGAGTTTCACGTGGAGAAGACTGTCCGTGGGCATGTCCTAGCACCTCACCTTGCCGAGTGGCTCGGGAACAATGCCGTCTCGCGCCTTGTCGAGAAAGCAGCGGACACTGTGAGGATCAAGGTCAAGGGAGACCTCGCGGCAATCCATCTCGCTGCTCTGACGGGGGATCAAGAGACCATGTTGACTCTTCTGAACCACGGCACCAGCGTGGATGCACCGTGCAGTGCGCACCTGGAGGCCAAGCCGGCCTCGAAACATGAACTTGACCTCCACGTCGACTTGCAAAGTCAGCTCACACCGCTCCACCTGGCGGTAGCCGTCGGGCGCGCGCATCTGATTCCGATGCTTGTTCAAAGCACAGGTGACGTCGAGTGCCCGATCAAGGTCATTGGCATCACCACTGTCGAGGTCGGAGGTGCGCGCGTGAAGCGCACGGTCGCATTCACCGGTACCGCTCTTCACCTCGCCGCTGCCCTGGGAAGCATTCAAACCATCCGTGCCCTCCTTGACAATGGCGCCAATGTCCATGCGAAGAGTGATAATGGCCGCACGGCGTATGAGTGGGCCAAGACACGTGGGCACGAGGACGCGGCCAGCATCCTCCGCGAGCACGAACAGTCCGACGCCGGCAAGCAAAGACGGCTCCTCCTCAAGCAGAGGTGGCATGACGTGTTTTCAAGGGGCGCTCTCCACACGTCCGGGACTGTGGAGGGCAACCAGAGCACTGGGCACCTGGATGGGGAAGAAGAGTCATCGCAACGAGACACGTTCAGACCGAATGGTGTTGCAGGGATGATTGCACGGTGGGTTGCCAAGAGGGCCAAGGACAGACGTGACAAGGCAAATGATGACCGGCTTTCGGGTGCCACTGACGATGAGCAAGGTGTTGACTAGGACCCTTTTCGTTCATGTAAGTTCTTGCAACATTATCAATGAGGATATAGGTTCATGTTGGTATATAGGCTATGTATCAACGAGACCAGCAGCATCAACAAAGCGCAACAGCCCCTCCCCAAGACAGAGCGCAGATGTCCTCGGAATCCATACCTCTGATGGTCCTGGTCACAAGCTGTCTGACGTCCTTCCACTTCAGACCGGAGGTACCGAGTTGGTATTTGGCGGTTTCAGCAATCCATTGTCATGCAAGGATGTGGCTCTTCAGCTCATTGAGGTGGGAGCTGTCGACGCCCGGGCCGACATGCGGGAGAGTAAGTTGAACGAGGTCGTCTGCGCATATAGAAGCCATTGGAGTGTGCTTGAAGATTTTCTCGGTGAGGACATCAAACACCCGTCGCGTCTCACCGAGCCGAAGAGGATTGTTCTCGATGAAGACCGACTGATGCGCGTACTCTGCCACCAGGGTCTTGGCCAAAAGGGGAACGTCGGCCTTCATAAGAACCTTGAATTCTTCGATTTGGCCAAGTAGATCTTTGTATTCCTGTTCTAAAGCGCGTTGATGGGTGTAGCATGGACGCGCGCAGAATGGTTCCACATACCTCTTGTAGGGCCGCGTAGGGCCGACAGTCAGCGGGACGGAAATAATCCTCCCACACTTTCCCAGAGCGGGCGAGTTCTTCGCATTCAGAGGAGCTCTTGTCGATGCTCGCGAGCGGTTTATGCATCTTGGACAAGAGCTCATGGCGCGCTTTGCGTTGGGTATGCGTGATCCAGCCTTTGGTGCTAGGCACATTACAGCAGACATTGGCAACGAGGCCGCGCCCGCAACATCATGCTGCTCTCCAAAATAGGCAGGATGCTAAATTGGTGGCCACAGTGGTCTCAAAGATGACACTAGTAGCTAGCTCATGGCCTGGGACGTATGTATGGGTGCGGGCCCGGTGGGAGTGTGAAGAGGGAATCTTTACTGTGGTGGGTGGACAAGAGTGCTTGTACGATTCTCCACGTAGATTAGGTCTCGTCACGCTGAGTTATCAAGAGCAGCCACAAGATGGCTGTGCGTAGTGGGCACCCAGTGGCTCAGGTGCCGAAATAATCAAGGCCGCCGAAGAATTGAGTTTGTGAACTGGTCAGACATGGCGAGGCGCCATATGATGATCCCTAGATGGACATCTGCAGACGACGTTCCAGGCAGGAGCTACTCATCTCGGTCGTCATGATTGGAGCCTTTGGACATGGACACACATGGTTCAAGCACATGGCTTCCCACCTCCATATCCGACAAATGAACCAGATGAACTGACTGCCCATATCACGTGCTCAGCTCACAATGGCCTCAAGTCCATGAGGTCATGGAATCCAACGCGACACCAACCCTCTCAGATGGGTACTCGGAAATAATCTACCCACGGCAAGTCATTCAAATCTCGTCCTTGTTGCGGGTACCTCAGTCTGAGATGGATATCTGCATACAAGTACAACTTACAAGCACCGGCGCAGGCAATCCCGGACGGACGGACACCCACCCCACAGAAGCTGTCGCGCGGCCAACCCAACCGTAGCCTAGCCCTCCGATTTATGCGGCGTCCGAGACTCCGAGGGCCCTAGATGTTCTCGTTGTTTTAGCTGCAATTAATACCTGGTGAGCAGAGTTTTTGGTTGAGCCGAACCTTGGCGGCCGCAGCAGAGGTAGAAGGGCAGACACCGTTCATGCAGCACGTTGCCCAACGATTGGCAATGGCAAGGGGAGCTTCTCTCTTTTCTCCCTGAATGGTGCTCATCTCGGTACAACTCTACGGTGGCACCTGTCGATGCGGGTACAACTCCGCCCGAACAAGCTTCCAGAAGCGGTATCGAACGCCGAAGCCGGCGTGGAGCACTGGGGGTCCTACGTGCGAGCGCGAACCGGACGCTCGAAATCCGGCACGTTTATTATTACCCTGAGCTTCGGGCGCACGCGCGGTTGTGGAATTTGACGGCGGGACCTGTATAAAGCTCAACAAGGTGCCCTCAACTCCCGGTCTCGACTTCCCATCGCAGAACCGGTGAGGAACTGGCGCACATTCCACGAAAATGAAGGTCGCCCAGCTCGCCGCCCTCCTCGTCAGCTTGACGCCCGCTGCCCTGGCCGACTGGCCCGAGGCGGAGGGCAAAACGATCCGGTACACGCCCGTGCCGGGCTATTTCCTGCAAGACAAGCCCGACACGGACCCCAGCGGCTTCGACTATGTCGGTACACCTCCAGTCTCCTTGCGGGGCTCCCATGGATGCCAATGGCGACTAACAGATTGGTTCATTAGGCCAGCGTCAACTTTGGGCTCATTGAGCGATCGTACCCGACGGACAAGCGCTTCGACCCCCAAGGCGAGAGGAGCCAGTGGGAGCGGTTCGAGCATTGGCTACAGTACCTGAACGCAGGGTGCAACCGAGACGGCGGCGTGCAGTACAAGATGCTGTTCATCGGCCGCCATGGCCAGGGCTGGCACAACGCCGCCGAGTCCTTCTACGGGACACCCGCCTGGAACGTGAGTACATCCACGACACCCACATCCCCCGCAAGACCTTCTCACGGGGAGACACGTCTCCGAACAATAAGAATGCAGATATGCTGACGCGCCCTGTCCCCCCCCGTCAGTGCTACTGGGCCGAGCAGCAAGGGAACGGCACCGCCATCTGGGCCGACGCTCACACGACGCCCGCCGGCGATCTCGAGTCCTACAAGGCCAACGCCTACTTCAAGGAGCGCTACGACCAGGACAACATGCCGCGCTTCTCGTCGTACTACTCGAGCCCCCTCACGCGCTGCACGATCACGGCGAACCTGACCTTTGGCGACATGGAGGAGGCCGGCTACCTGCCAGAAGAGCACCCGTTCGTGCCCGTTGTCAAGGAGGGCTTCCGGGAGGGTATGACGGTGCACACGTGCAACCATCGCTCGGACCGATCGTACATCGAGGCCATGTTCCCCTGGTACCGCTTCGAGGCCGGCTTCACCGAGGAGGACGAGCTGTGGCGCTCCTACGAGAGCGAGACGGGCGAGGCCCATGACGCGCGCTCCAAGGCCGTCCTCGACGAAGTCTTCCGGGGCGCGGACGGCGACAGCGGGGCATGGGTCAGCATCACCACCCACTCGGGCGCCGCCACCCGGCTGCTCAAGGCCCTGGGCCACCGCCCGTTCCGCCTCAGCACGGGACAGATCATCCCCGTCCTGGTCAAGGCCGAGGCGGTCGAGCTCCAGCCGGAGCCCACGTTTGTGGCGCACGAGCCATACTCGACGTGCACGAGCCCGCCCATCACGAGCATCCCCGGCGAGGGATGCGTGTGCTCGGCCACGACGGCGCTGTCGTCGCTTGTCCCGTCCGCCACGGCCTCGGGTCTGTGATGCATGCACGACACACCCGCGCACGAGGCAGCAGGGAATTATGTACGTACGGTAGTGGCTAGCAAGAATTTCCCCTCCTCAGCTCCTTCTCGGGTTTAGCAGGAGAAGCCTATAATACCACTGCAACCATTTTTGTCGTCTTTTTGTTTGCCATCTGGTGCCTAATTTTATCGCGGAGGCGTGTCCGGCGACTAATACACGCTAGCGAAACTTGGAGCGGCTCCGGGAGTCCGGGACTCCGGGGGACCTGGACCCGCCTCAAGCGGAAAAGGACGGCGTCTTGAAAAGGCTTCCTAAAGGCCGTTCCGGTGGCTGCTTTGCTTGCCCCGCCGGCATCCGTAGAAGTATATGGTATTGTCGGTCTCAAAATCCACAACCATCGATGAGACTGTTGAGTGATGTTGTGATTTGCTACATGTAGCCTTCAGGGGGATGTCGAGCCACATGCTCAACGTTCATGTTGCCCATGGTGCTTCCACGGTATGTATTTGACAGCAGTCGTAGGGGGATGGTCTGCGTCCGTCTGCCATCTGCGAGCTGATTGCTTGCGTGAGGACCGGACAGAAATGGCGTCCGACACTGTCGTCGTGGAGCTAGTGGTTCTTATCGCTGCCGACAGCGCGCGACCTAGTGTGGCCGGCGCTCTCCTCGCCGAAGTCGCCAAGTACGACACTGCTTTTGTGAGACGGGCGTATGGTGATTGGACTGGTACCAGTCTCAAGGGCTGGAAAGACCAGCTTCTCTACCATTCGATCCAGCCCGTCCAGCAGTTTGCGTACACCCATGGCAAGAATGCGACAGACTCGGCCATGATCATTGACGCCATGGACCTACTCTATTCCAGCCGCTTTGACCGGGTTCTGCCCGGTCTCTAGCGACAGCGACTTTACCCGGCTCGCGGTACGCATCCGAGAGTCCGGACTGGTGGTGTACGGGTTTGGCGAGAACAAAACACCCAAACCTTTCGTCTCCGCGTGTGACAAGTTTACTCATTTTGAGAACATCACGCCTCACGAACAGCTGGCAGGACCCCAGCTGGGCATGGTCATTGGCATTCCACTGCACAACCGAGCGTCCTTGACCAAGGTCCACGACGATACTCCCTTGACGGCCCAGTTACGGAGGGCGGTCGAGGCGGCTTCAGCCGAGGAGGGTTGGGCCAACCTCGCCAAAGTCGGCGTTCACATCACCAAGCAACAACCTGATTTCGACCCTCGAAGTTTTGGATACCTCAAGCTTGGCGACTTGATCATTGCCAGGCATCAGTTCGACATTGACCGTCGTGGTCCCGGAGAGGGTAGAGCCGTGGTGGTGTACGCGCGTGACAAGCGCCAGAAGCATATAAGCCAGGTCCTTTTATTCATATTTCATGGTACTATCCCTAAAATTGACGTGTATAGCGTGCGGTACATGCGGGGGGTCGGCCTTGACATTTCCTAGTCTGTTTTTGGCACACAAGGACAAGGGGGGATCTTATCAGTTCTGACGGAAGCTATCTGGTTCTCAAGCCGCCCCAGTGGGGCACTAGGCTCGGTGGTAACGAATCCACTGCATGTGTACATGAACCTCATCACCTACTGGGGATTCAGTTTGCTCGGCTTTTTGGCCTTGGCGTTCGTCTTTCTGATCTGAGGTTCCTGTGGCTGAAGTACCAAGGCGCGCATTCAGAGCCTCAATTCTGGGTCATAAGACCATGGCAAGACTCTGAATGCGGTCGCGTCCCTCAGAAGCGAAACAGGATCTCCCAACTGGGTGCATGACGGTTGCAAGCACTCCTCTGACAACGTCCGTCGATGCCAGAAACCGCTTGCAACAGTGCAAGGGGTGTATTTCAGGTCCGTTCTAATCTAACAAGCACATGACTAAAATGATGTCTCAAAAGTCTGCGAACGCGAGCCCCGCCCACCCAAATTGGGTGACGCACCCTCCAACTTCTATACACAATTTCAATAGTAAATACTTACTCAAATTTGAAGGTGATTATATTATTAAAGAGGGAATTTCTTGGTGTTTAATAATGAGTGTAATATCCCTTTGCCCGGATGCATTCGCGGAGCCTACGCGGCCAAGAGTCGATCAGGTTGTCAATGTCGGCTTGTTCAATCGCTTCCCACGCCTCGACCATCCACTCCTTCAATAATACGATATAAGCCTTGTTCCTCTTCAAATATCTTACTTCTGGATGCGTCTTCGAGATCATTTGCTTCAAAGCCTTCCAAACGTGCTCAATTGGGTTGAGGTCCGGCGAGTGTGGAGGCCAGTCAAAGAGCTCTATCTTATTGAGCAAGAACCACTCAATCGTAGCTTGTTCCTCATGTATCGGCGCATTATCTTACATGAACCTTTGCCAAGGTTGATAATATGGAAGAAGACCCTTCTCAAGAGCCTCACGATAGCTCTTCGCAGAATAGCCCTTACGGGGGGCGTTCTTATCGCGTTCCATAATCACAAGGTGGCTACGGCCGCCCTTCCAGATAGCCCCCCAGACTATGATTGATATCTTAGCCTGGCCATGCTCCCTAAGGTAAATAAATGGCTTCATGAACTTCTCGTGAGGCTTGCGGAAGATCCACCGGCTTGGGCAATTCGACTCGGACCTAAGGATGGTTTTATCGCTGAAGATAATGACCTAGACGCGTATAGCGCGTAAATTAGCTTTGATCGTGTCTTGAAGGGTATCTTCGTAAGTAATTACACCTAGTAATTCTTCTGCAAGAGGAAGCTAATCGCGATAATATACAAGACGATCTAAAGCAGTACCTTTATCAAGAGGAATTCTCTCGATCGCCCTCTATTTACGCGAATAATGCCTGCCAATAACGCGACGAAGAGTGCTCACGCTCACCTAGACACCTACGTCGGTCGCTAACGCCTTCTAGGTAATATCCCGGTCTCTTTTAAGCAAAAGAATATCATACTTACGTTAAGCCTTGCTTAATTTATGTGGTCTTCCTTTGCGTGGCTTGATTTGGACCGTTTGCTTATTTTTGAAGCGCTTGACGATGTTAAAGACTGTCGACTTTGTGGTGTTGAACTCGGCCGCAATAGCGCCATAAGATTTACCTATTGATTGCATCGCGACAATCGCTCCTCGAGCCTCTAAATTAAACTGGTAGTTGAAGCCCCGATTGCCGCTTATAATGGTACTAAAACTTCTTTGATTTGAAGGCATCTTCGCGTTGTGATATGGAATGAAGAAAGAAGGGTGGTTGGGGCACGCGTTCTGACGCGAAGTGGTGGGGTGGATCGTTCGCAGACTTTTGAGACCTAATAGTATACGTAGCTGTTCCTCGGGGTTGATGTTGTGGGGTCGTGGAGATGGCTAGAGAGACATTGAACCTGACAGCTTGCTTGCTCGCTAGCATGCTGTTTTGATGCTGTCACAGAGACCACTACGTAATAAAACAATAAAAGTGTAATCAAGACTATTAACTGGTACTATTATACAGATTTTACAACAATTGCGCCTGCAGTTCGGACCACTCTCGGAACCCGAAGCTGTACGTACTTTGCTCGGCCTCTCGATGTCCCCGGGCCCTCATCCAGATAAAAAGCATGGGATCGACGCGTCACGTCTCCTCCAAACTCCAGTCTCTCATCAATGACCGCCATGGCCGCAACCTCTCCAGCAGACGCAGCTGGTCCGTCATTGTCATTCGCCTCACACTATGACGACAAGTTAACAACGATTGTCCTTCTCCACGGAGGCTTCACTTGCCATCTCGAGTTTGCACTCGTCCGTCCGCACCTCTCTGAATTTCACCTCCTTGTCCCGGACCTACCGTTACATTCTGCCTCACGACACATCCAACCGGGCACGACGGACAACTCGGCCTGGCATGTCGCACAGCTCATTCGTTCCCACGCCCACGGCGGCAGGGCCCACGTCGTGGGTGTGTCCATGGGCGGCTATATCGGGCAGTGTCTCGCGCTAGACCAGCCAGACCTTATCCTCTCGCTCTTCGTCACCGGTGCTGCACCGCCTGTTGGGGCGCGTCTGTTCATGGCGCAATGGCCCAGCGTGACCTACTATACCATGAGGCTTACGCTGCATTGGCTCCCGGACTGGGTGTATCGGTATCAGATGGCATCACTTGGCCTGCTGGTGAGCGACAAATTGACAGCGGCGATGAGGGAGAATATCACCTGGTCGCTCGTCCAAGACATGTTCCCGTGGATTCTGCGGTTTACGTTGGATCACGTGCGGGCATTGAAAGTGCGGACTCTGTCGATTGCGGGTGCCCAAGGGGATGACGTTCCGATGATGGAGAGGACGGCCGATGCGCTGAGAAGTAGGCGGACCGACCAGGGTGAGGCGTGGCCTGAGGATGGGTCAGGCGCCGTTGTGATAAGGAAGGCAGCGCATGGATGGGATATGCAGTTCCCAGAGCTCTTTGCCCGGGGGGTGTCGGCTTGGGTGAAGAGGGAGAGGTTGCCTGCAGAGTTTGAGAGGCTGTAGTGCCACACAACAGAATCTGTAAGCAAAGACATGTCTTTATTATGTTAAAGAAAAATTTAAGATTATTAATAAAAACAATTAGCAGTACCCAAGCTGCTGCGTTTCTTCCTCCCTTGCGCCCAAAGGTGTCACTCGTCCTCGCTCTGTTCCTCCTCAAACTGAATATTCTTCCCGATATCTCGAAGCATCTTGATGGCCATCTGATGGGCCCCCGTGCCTATCATCTCATTCAGAGGGACTGCCGCGAGATGGAACAGCCTCAAGTCGCGCGTTCCCTCGAGTCCACTGGCAGCCATGAGAATGTACCCAGCTACCCAGGGCAATTCGCTCTCCTTGTCCATGTAGGCAGGTGTGTAGAGCTCTCTCAGAACAGGATCACAACACTCCTTGATCATCCGCAGCAACTTCCAGCACCAGCGGTGCATGAACAAGAGGGGGAACGACATCTCAAGGGACTCCGAATGAAGTGACAGGACGAGCGTCTCGACGAGTTCCTCAGGCACAAGGGTGGTCTTGTCTTTGCCAGACGCCCTAGCCTTGGCCTTTTGCTGCCGAAGTCGATCTCGGGCCTTGAGCTCTTGCGCGTCGTCAATCAGTGTCATGGTCAAGTCTCCCTCGTTGAGCGAGCCTTGCATCTGATAGGCGCTGCGCGCAACAATGTTGTCGATCAAGTCTAGCGTCCAGTCCATGTCGGCTTTGGAGCAAATCTTGGTCGCAAGCATGGACGACACGGGCGCGCCCTCCTTCATGCCTCGTGGCCCAGCGCGCGAGGCAACCGTAGGCTGCCGTCGGCGATTCTTTGTGAACGCGGCAGCTGAGACGCCCATCTGCAGACAAAACTTCTGAAAGCAATCCTGCAGAGTCTGCGGCCGCTCACCTCCCGTCCAGAAGTTGCCATCGCCCATGTTGGTCAAGAGCACATCCATGTCCTCCCACCGGCCTTCCACCAGCCCCTGCTGGAGCAGAGCGTTGTAGATATGAGCACTGTAGGTGATGGAGCCCCAGGCGTTGGCGACGGCGACACCCGCCTCGTACACCTGTGCGCGGATGCGGAAGAGGTACAGTCCAGCCAGGATGGGGGAGTAGATCATGATACGGTGAACTTCCATCTCTGGAGGCACGGGCCTTTTCATCCGCGTAAACTGTTTCGCCTTGGCGCCGTGCACGGGATCCTTCCCCATCCAGTCCAGCAGACGGCTTAGTTCTCGCAGTGCGTGGTCGTTGGAGGCCGGCCAGTTTTTGGTCTTCAGGTCCTTGTGAAAGTCCAGATGGGCCTGGAGCGTGTTGTGCATGACGGTAGTCTCGTTGACCATGACCGCGAAGCTCTGTCGCACCGCAGCGCGCATAATGTGGTGAATGTCGAGGTAAATCTGCGCAGCAAACACAAGAGAAAAGGGAATCGTGCCCGTCTTTTCCAGCTCCTTGATGCCGCGCAGAAATTCGTCCTCGATCGGGTAGCCTGGAAGCAGTCGATTCACCGTGACGAGCTCCGTAAAGAATTCCAACAGGAGGATCTGGTCTTCCTGATGCCTCTGCGGACCTGTTTTGGAGGAACGGTCGCTGCTGGCGTCATAGGTTCCAAACATGCCTTCCTTGATCAAGGGAAGAGAGTTAGGGTCGAGGACGTCGACGAAGCTGGTCAAGTGTCGGAAGGCGACGAGGTAGCACTCATCGGCCGTGTCGTACAAATCGTAGTTGAAGTTATCCTGGCTGTCATCGAGATATATCTCTTGCGTTTGATGCCCCTTCCTCAGGCAGGTCGCAAAGAACAGCTTATTCAACAGGCCCCACGCGCCCCCCTTTTGCTTGTCCATGACGGGCTTCACTTGGTCAATCAAGCTACGCGCGAGGGAGATGGCCGTGTTCGTGGCCACGGCTGCGGCAGCAAGGTCAAGCATGCCATCGCGATGGTTGGACCAGATCCAGTCGATACGCGACCTGATTCTGTTGAGATCGTCGACCAGAACGGCAAAGGCAAACAGCGTATCCTCCAGGGAAGTCTGAGGCTCGGCCTCGTACGAGACGGGATCGTTGTCGCGTGGCTTGGGCCTCTCGTGGGGCGCGTTACGGAAGGCTTCGACGAAGGCTTGGGACGGCTCGTCCACCGTCAATCCAGCGAAACGGCCACCCAGGTCCTCTCCCAGAACCTTGGAGGCGTCGTTGGCCGAGTCGGCGGCTGCACTAGCCGCCGCGGTGGCAGTCGAGGGAGTTTCCCTTGGGCATACCGCCGCCCGGACGGCCTCGAGTACGCCGACAAAATACCCGTGCCTTTCGTCCGACCTGGAGTCCGGCTCGACCCCGTGCTCGCTCAGCTTGCCGCTAAACTCGGATCGAAGGGTGATGAGGCGATCAATCGTGGCGGAGAAGACATCGGGCACGGAGATGGTCGGGTTTTGGCGACCGGCAATCCATTGGGCTAGTGGCAGAAAGTCTTTGATGGCGATAATGTGCTTGGCGACCTTGGTCTCTGCGGGCTTTGGCGTGCCTTGCTTGCCACCGCTACGAGCCTTTGCTCGTTCTTTGCCCTTGAGTCGACCGACTTTGGGTGCCTGTGTTCCTCCCGCTCCTCCCGGCGCGGTTAGCAAGTCAGCAGGGAAGCCGCTGGCCTTGGCAGTCGATGCGAGCCATGAGGCCACCGAGTCGGTGTCTCTCTTGTACTGTCTGTAGGTGCCCAAGAGTTGTGAGGGGAGCATGGTGTGCAGTGAAATGTGAGGGGCTTGGGGATGGATGGTTCAAGGAGGGGGCACGCATACGGCATGAAGTTGGGCGTTTCAACAAGTGTACATGTACGCACGGCCCCGCCGCTAGGTTAGCCAAGTGATTAATCAAACTTCACGCCCCTGTGAATCACGAGAGAGGTGCCAGCACCAAATGCACTTGACTCAATACAGCTATACTTGGTATCTCTGCCATTTCCCGTGTCAGCGAGCAATGCAGCGGGCAGGCAAGCAGCGCAGATCACATCTCGCACTCCGCGCTTTGCTCGGAGTGTGCAAGGCAACGCTGAGCATTTGCGCCATCTGCGCCATGTGCATGCATGAGGCTCTGGGCGGCTGTCTGTCTGCTCTCAGGGTGCATCCGTGCGGGCCGTGGTGTTGAGGTCTGAAAACCTGTTGTTCTGTGCTGCAGTGCTATCCGTAGAGTAGGATGCGGCACCAGCACCTTGTTATCACCCGACACTCCCCATGCTCTTGGCGTCGTAATTCTCACTTCTGGTTACACATGGCCTCGGATGGCCTCCCCATGCGTCAGGAGTCCCCCATGGTTTTTGTATAGTCATCAAATCCCAAAGACGCCGCATAACTCACGGCCGCCTCCTGCAGAACCTTGTCGCAGAGCCCTCGATGCGCGTACGTCATGGTCTGCACCACAAAGGGCATCAGAAGCGAGTTGGCTTCGACCACGATGCTCTCGTACAGCTCGTAGCCGCCGACGTCGCCCGACATGACGGTGCTAGGCGTGCTGCCAGACTGTGACCCGGAGCCTTCGGGCGAACCGGCGTGGCTGCCTCGCGCGCGGACAGTGAACTCGCACCACCCTGTGATGCCCGCGGCTCCGTTCGCGCGGACTCGTAGACCTTCGGGGACGCGCTGAAAGTACGCCGGATAGGTGACCTCCTTGGTCAGGCCGGGCGCCAAGGTGATGAGCTCGTAGATCTGGTAGCTGGAGACGGCTGGCGGCGTTCCGCCGGGCGAGTTGCCCACGTTGCCGACGCCGTAGAAGAATTGGTCGGCCGCGACCGGCTCGCCGCCCGCCTGTGTCTCCTCGAAGCGCGAGAGGGTCCCGAGATTCCGGATGACGGGGGACACCGTCTGCAGGGTCGCAATGACAGCCTGGGGGGGTAGGGACGGTGGTATGGGCACCGCGATGGACACCTGTCGCTGAACCCTCATGTTATGTGGCGTGGTGTGATGAAGTCAGGTGCGACCTTGACGACGAAGGATGACTCTGGATGCTCGAGGCGCTGCACGAGGCTCGGTTCATGATTTGGCCGCGTCTGGAATGGACGGTGATGATGATGATGATGATGATTGATGAGGGGTGCGCAGA